AGATGCATTAGGACATTAATACCATGATTCTATTAGCCCACACACTTTGGTTTTATCACCGACACCGGGAAAGCATAAAAAGGGCCTCAAGGAGAGTTACGTGCAGGAGGTAATGTGGCATTGGATCGCATAATTTCAATCTGTGTGCACTCTCAGCTCGCTTCTACAATAAATTATAGAAGCTTGTCGGCCATTAGGTTGTAATTAAAACTATATTTAGACGCTCTGCAGGTATCGGACCGAATCAAACGCAAAACACTAATGCATAATTCAGACTTGGCAGAAAGCCGCAGTCGGGCAAAAAGTGCTTAAAATAGAAATAATAACACAGCACTGGGGCGGGCAGACACGACAGCAACAAGCTACAAGGAAACCCAAGAGCGGAAGGAAAACTAGGTGAAAGTAGGGAAAGCGGAGAAAGGGTAGCAAGTGCCAAGCCGCCAAGCCGTGAGAAGTAAATAAACAGAACAAAACACTTGAATTAAATTGTGAACTGTGAGCTTAATTCATTTAGAGCCAGGACATGCCTAAGGACGTTGCCTGAGAAAAAACAATTGTTATTTTGCATTTTAATTAGTTTATTTATGGCAGTGGTTCTACACTAAACTATGTGAGATACAGATAGGATTCAAAGACATATAATATCATATAAAACTCAATAAATTATAAAGAACACCCACTATTTTTAACTGTGCATGTTTTCTTTGATGGTCGTGTGGTTAAGAGCCTTGTGAACCACTGTCAATGTCAGACAGTCAGACCGAGAGGACTGAAAGCCAGTGGGACAGAGGCGTCCCATTGACAGGTAAGCAGTGGAAAGTCGTGCGTTTTGCTTTCTCCACTTTCCCTGCTTTTTTCCCAAGCACTCGAACACGCGCACAAGATCTGAGAGCGGGGGCCGGAGAAATAAGACACAACTGAGAACCAAGAACCAAGTCCCGAGAACTGGGGGAAATGAGAACTGAGAATGTAAGCCAAACCGTCGCGGCTTATGCAATCCGGCCAACGAGGCTTGACAGTTTGGTTGCCTTATCTGCGTTTTTGCCTCGAGGGCTCCTCGGGTTTTATTCTCGCTTCCTGCCATGCAAGGCGGCCATTAGTGACGTTGACTCAGCCAAAAATATTCCCCATTCAATATTCCTATTGATTCATTTTGCCAAAAAAAAACTATATTTTAATATGAAGTTGGCAAGTGGGTTTATATACTTCTGAAAGTTGCGGTTTATGGTTTTTTGGTAAGAAAGTTTTAAGGTTTTCTCAACTATTTGTTTGGCCTTAAAAGAAGTTTAATTTGTTTTTCTTGCAAGATGCAAATTCGTTCTACCTCTGGGTTGCGGCTTCTGACCACGTTTAGTCAACGCTTCATTACACAATTTATATTAAAGCCGTAACTTAACCCGCAACACCCAAGAGGCCACATTGGCTGGCAGTTGGAGTCGGGCCAAAAGTATTTGCCATATCGCACTCGGAATGGCAAAAGTTCTCGACCAGCATTCCGCCATAATCGTATAAATACGAATACAATTCTAGCCTATTCCTATTCTGTCCTATTCCCCTGTGTGTGGCCCACTATTCCCCGCCACCAAGGACAACAGTAAGGGATATTCGTTTGTGCTCCACGGCAGTGGGAACAATAGCGGAAGAGGCTCCAAGCCATTGCATTGGGTGTAATGCAATTTCCAGGCCATAAAATGTCATGCTCCCAGCCTGGGAAAAAACAGAGAAAAGTCTTTATGTTTGGCTCTGGAAAAAGCGTTTGCAGGTAATGGCCGTCATCACAGAGTCGGTTAATGCCGCCAACTTGTCCGAAAGCAGATAACACAAGTTCCTAAAGTGCTCGCGAACAATGCGGAAAGTTTCTCTGCAAATTAAATGAAAAGTTAATATTGGCAACGACTTCGATAAACAATAGCAACAATGGGGGCACACAGTCAACAAGTTGCAAGTCCTAATGCGATTATGCCACCAAACTAAATGTCGACCAATTAAAATTAACGAGGTGTACTTACCACTTTCCTAGTATCCTGATTAAAGTCTCGTAACTCAGAATAAGAAACCATTGCCGAGGCAAATTAGTGTTGATTTCCATGTAGAGCGATAACGGGTTGCATTTAGTGGCAACAGCTGCTGGAAATTTATGCTGACAGTGTTTCTATTTTGAGCTTTGTTTTAGCCACATCCACCGCAATGAACTGTCAACGATTCCCACCGCACATATCCGGCTAGATGAGCACTAAAACAAAGCCAAAAACAAGCTCCATTGGCCAGGACTTTCATGACTGCCAGGACTCAAAATGTATTTTGCGGCAGCTCAGCATCCGAGCAAATCCTGCGCCAAAAGCCTATTTTAATATGCGCTTAGTTTAAATTGAAATTTCAAACATTATTTCCGCATACCTCGGGCTTAAAGATTTATGTGTTTCCCATAAATTAAAGAAGCGTGCTCTGTAGACCAAGAAACACCAAAATGCAAAACATTTAATTCATTTTTATTAAACATTTAAATTAATCCTGTGAACACAATTTCAAGGGGATTATAAATGAAATAAAAATAGGATAATGTTTCATTTCTGCTGTACTGGTTCATAAGTATGTATAATAATAACGTTGATTTATGTTACTTATGTAAAAATTTGAGGTCAGGTTTTATTGCAGAATGGTAGAACATCGTTTCAGAAATCGTTAAGGTATTCTTCTTAAGTATCGGATAAAAATTGACTACGATATAGACATGGTTAGGAGCCCTATATGCTATTTCTGGAATTCTAAGGGGTTCCGTTAGAAAAATTTGAAAAATATCGTTGAAAAAATTTTTAGCCAGGTTTTGATGCAGAATTGTGGAGAATCGTTCCAGAAATCGTTTTAGGTATTCCTCTCAAGGATCGGATAAAAATTGACCAAGATATGGACATGGCTAGGGGCCGTATTGGAGGTCCTGGGGTTTCCAAGGAGTTCCATCAGAAAAATTTGAAAAATATCGTTCAAAAATTTTGTTGCCAGGTTTTGATGCAGAATTGTGGAGAATCGTATCAGAAATCGTTTAAGGTATTCCTTTCAAGGATAGCATAAAAATTGACCAAGATATGGACATGGCTAGGGGCCTTATATGGGGGTCCTGGATTTTCCAAGGGGTTCCATCAGAAAAATTTGAAAAATATCGTTCAAAAATTTTGTTGCCAGGTTTTGATGCAGAATTGTGGAGAATCGTATCAGAAATCGTTTAAGGTATTCCTCTCAAGGATCGGATAAAAATTGACCAAGATATGGTCATGGCTAGGGGCCGTATTGGAGGTCCTGGGGTTTCCAAGGAGTTCCATCAGAAAAATTTGAAAAATATCGTTGAAAAATTTTTTAACCAGGTTTTGATGCAGAATTGTGGAGAATCGTTCCAGAAATCGTTTAAGGTATTCCTCTCAAGGATCGGATAAAAATTGACCAAGATATGGACATGGCTAGGGGCCGTATTGGAGGTCCTGGGGTTTCCAAGGAGTTCCATCAGAAAAATTTGAAAAATATCGTTCAAAAATTTTGTTGCCAGGTTTTGATGCAGAATTGTGGAGAATCGTATCAGAAATCGTTTAAGGTATTCCTTTCAAGGATAGCATAAAAATTGACCAAGATATGGACATGGCTAGGGGCCGTATTGGAGGTCCTGGGGTTTCCAAGGAGTTCCATCAGAAAAATTTGAAAAATATCGTTCAAAAATTTTGTTGCCAGGTTTTGATGCAGAATTGTGGAGAATCGTATCAGAAATCGTTTAAGGTATTCCTCTCAAGGATCGGATAAAAATTGACCAAGATATGGACATGGCTAGGGGCCGTATTGGAGGTCCTGGATTTTCCAAGGGGTTCCATCAGAAAAATTTGAAAAATATCGTTGAAAAATTTTGTAGCCAGGTTTTGATGCAGAATTGCGGAGAATCGTTCCAGAAATCGTCAGCCATGTCCATATCCTTGAAGGTATTCCTTTCAAGGATCGGATAAAAATTGACCAAGATATGGACATGGCTAGGGGCCGTATTGGAGGTCCTGGATTTTCCAAGGGGTTCCATCAGAAAAATTTGAAAAATATCGTTCAAAAATTTTGTTGCCAGGTTTTGATGCAGAATTGTGGAGAATCGTATCAGAAATCGTTTAAGGTATTTCTTTCAAGGATCGGATAAAAATTGACCAAGATATGGACATGGCTAGGGGCCTTATATGGAGGTCCTGGTTTTTCCAAGGGGTTCCATTAGAAAAATTTGAAAAATATCGTTGCAAAATTTTGGGGCCAGGTTTTGATGCAGAATTGTGGAGAATCGTATTAGAAATCGTTTAAGGTATTCCTTTCAAGGATCGGATGAAAATTGAGTTGGATATACTCATGAATCAGGGCTATATATAAGCACTCTGTAGAAAATTTGTAATTGGATGTGTGTTGATCAAAATATACCCCTGGCAATGGCCACAATCCTTTTGAATATGTTTTCAGTTTAAATATTATTTTAAATGTCTTCCTTTTAACCACATCGTGTTTTCGTCTCCAGCAGCGCATCTGGAACCCTTGCTAAAGCCCTGAGCTTTCTTTCTTATTTTTAGCGCCACCCCCCACAGCCCATGTACAGCAATTTTGTTTACATTTCTTTCTGCTTTCTCCTTTTGCTTTCTTTTCTTTTCTTCTATCTGCGGGCGTATTTAACTCACAATGACTTGTGACAGCACAGGGGCGGTGTCAACTGGTGTGGATGGGGGCCAGCGCAATGGGGGTCACTTGTGGGGGGTACAAACACCCTCACCACCCATACTCATACAAATGCACTTTTCCAGCGAGACTCCCAATGCGACCATTTCTCACTTTTGTGGGTCCGTGTTTCCGTGGGTTCTGTGGGTTTCCGTGGGTGTTGGTATTTTATGCTATTAATTTGACAGTTTCAGCTGCGCTGACAACTGGCTTTTCCCCAGACAGCGAGCATAGCATTTAATGGCGGCAAATTAATTGTTGTATTCCTTGCTCCTCCCCAGATAATCAACTAGCATCCACACTAGCATCTCTCGCATAGAAATGGATTCCGCCGCCGCTGCCGCCGCCGCCAAGCGCGTTCAGATCGAAAAGGCCCACAACTTCATGCGCCAATATCGTGATCCGGAGTCGCGGGAGCTGAAGAAGCTGTCCGCCAATCAGTTCATGGATGTCTGGGCCCACTACGACAAAGATGGTAAGTAGAGTAAACTTCAAAGCCAAGAGGTTAGAGCAACATCTTACTATTTGTGTTATTAGGAAATGGCTACATTGAAGGCACCGAGCTAGATGGCTTTCTGCGGGAATTCGTGTCGAGTGCCAATGCCACGGACATCAATCCAGAGGTGAGCATTAAGTGGATCTGGCAAGTGCATATTCAAAATTAATCTTCTCGTGTCGTGTTATTATGCAAATCCCCCAGGCTGTCACGGACACCATGCTCGAGGAGCTGAAGTCCTGCTTTATGGAGGCCTACGATGACAATCAGGATGGCAAAATCGATATCCGAGAGGTGGGTATTGGACATATAAATGCCTCCTGGCATTAGTTGGCCCCAGAGAGTTTTGTGTACAACCCGAAACTGACCGCATACATCCGTATCCGCACCCGCACACCCGAAACGGCCAACGTGTCGTATGCGCAATGTTGTCTGAATGGCTTTTGTGTATTTGAAATGACATTTCCTTGAGAGTTGGTGGCGCCTCTTTTTCCTTTTCCAAATTGGTTTTTAAATGTCTCTACCTTCTCGAGGGCGCCCCTTCTGCATTTTCCTGTCAATAAATTATTTGGCGTTTTCTCCTTCAAAAGTAAGAACTTTTCTGGCGAGGTCCCACCAGAAAAAAATCCAAAAAAGAACTTTTTTTCTCGGTTCCTTCCCACATTAAATGAGTTTTTAATTGAAGTTGGACCAGCAGCAACAGCAGCCGGAGCACGGACTATTGAAAGGAGATTTTTGTGTACATTTTGAATGGTAGAAATAATAATAAAGCACATTCGGTGGTGGGCAGCTCTACACAATGGTCTTTTGATAAATGAGCCCCCCGAAAAGAAAGTTGGCGAAAGTAAAGTGAAAAGTTCAAGTTGCAGGGCCCCCATGGACTGCTGATTAAGGTTCCGTGGCCCACAATACGAACACAATGGCCCAGGGACTCCAATTCATAATTCATGCGGCCTGCTCATTGCTCATACGCCATGTTGTTCCAACGAACGACAATCGATTGAATTGGCTTGGAGGATAATTTGCCTGTTTAACCCATAATAAGCCGTGGCTTGTCAACATGGGATGTGCCAGAGGATAAACTTTAATTGCGATAGTGCATTAATTACCCAAAAGCAAATAAAAATGCAAATTGGAAGAGGAGCGAATTAAAAAGTTTGCCACGAGAAACGAGCTTGATCGGGCCACAGATGATTACAGCTGAAAAGGCAAGGAAGGGTTGGGCAACGAAAGGACCTTGCGATTCGACACTTAAATTATGCCGGAAACTTTTAACGAATGCCTGAGACAAAACTTTGCAAGAGTTTTTTGGTCGTAATGAAAGTGCAGCAGTCCTCCAGTATCCTTGAGTTTCTACGCGATGCACCCGAGATATTTAAGCCCAGTAGGAGTCCCTATGTGTACGCCTATTTATAACCTATATAACCTATTTTGTTATCCAGTCACGCAATGAAACAAAAGAAATTCCTTACACCACATATTTTTCAATTATTTTCGCAGCTCGCTCAACTTTTGCCCATGGAGGAGAATTTCCTTTTGCTCTTCCGCTTCGATAACCCACTGGAGTCCAGTGTTGAATTCATGAAGGTACGGTGACAATCTGGAATTTTCTTAAGAAATTCCATTTAATTATTTGAAACCCTTCTCTCTTTTCCTTTAAATTAGATCTGGCGTGAATATGACACTGATAATTCGGGTTATATTGAGGCGGATGAGCTCAAGAATTTCTTGCGCGACTTACTCAAAGAGGCCAAAAAGATCAATGATGTGTCCGAGGACAAGCTCATTGAATATACTGATACAATGGTAATAAATAAATAGTTCATAAATTATTGTAATAATTTATTTATCAATCTTTAATTTATACTTCTTAGCTTCAAGTATTCGATGCCAACAAGGACGGTCGTTTGCAGCTGTCGGAAATGGCCAAGTAAGTGTCCTTGAAGTCACTGGCTCAAAATGCTCTGGCGACAGCCAGCAACCTAACTTATTTATTGCAGATTACTTCCGGTTAAAGAGAACTTCCTTTGCCGCCAGGTGTTTAAGGTAAGTGGTGACAAGCGATATGACAATGACTTCCAGCCAAACCAGAAAAACATCGTTCAATTGAGGAAATTGCCGAGAAAAGATACGATCCATATTTAAAGTACTTAACGTCGCGATTTTCTGCTTAAGAAACTGGAACAGACTTCACGGCTTGCCTTGAAAGAATAAAACACGTTTAGCACTTAGGTTAGATATTATATTTTAATTAAACACTAGCTGCAGCCTGGTCAATCTAATTAATTTAGCTTTTGCAACTCCATCAAGCCAGCAAATGTATTTTTTATATTTATTTTTCGAAAAAAAAAACTGTGCCGATTGGGGATTTGTGTTTTCCTAACCCTGTTTGGTACTTCATTTTAGCAGATCCTTTCTACAAATTCAACGCAGTAGGAAAACATTGAAATTGAAAAGTTGTGGCCATAAAAAAGGAACCAACTTGGGCGCACAATAAACGGATTTTGGTCCCTCGACTCCTCCAGCCAATTCCGGCTGCCTCGCAACAAATAAAGCCATGGCCAAGCCAGAAATAGCAATGCTGCCAAAAATAAATACAAAAAAAAAAAACGTAACAGAGCAGACAAGAAATATTGCCAACAATCGTAAAAATAAACGAAAGGAAAGCTCAGCTAAAACAGTCAGGTGTTTTTCACCCAGTCGGTGAGAATAAAATACGTGGAATCAATTTCCGAAGGCAGGCAGGCGCTTTTTCTTTTGGCCAGAATCGTCGTTCGTTATTCGTTGTTGTCTCGAGCGTCAACAGATTTGATGTGATTTGAATTGGGTTGTAAAAAACGGGGAAGCTAAACAGCAACCACTGCATAAACAGAAGGTGGAAAGTCCCCAAATGGCTGGCCATTAAATACTTTAATATTAGTTTTCCCGCACAGCCAGATACCCGAGCAATTAGCCAAAGAAAAAGCCATGTGGTGTTGGGGAAACAAACTTTTTTTTTCGTTTTTGCAAACAGAGAGTAGCAGAGCCCAAACGGCAGATGTTCAGGGCAAAAAGGGACATTTAAAATTCCCCCGAGAAATTGAAGGAACTCATTCTGTCTTGGCCAAATGCTGATGATGCCAAATGTGGTTAAATGAAGGCAGCGATGTCGTCGTTGCATTTGAGTCTGCCACCGAATGTCACGTAACATGCCACAGGCCAAAACTTGGCCAAAAGTATATGTATTTCGAACATGTTTGCCGTTCTCGCATTTTAAGCATTTTTGTTGAAAAGAAAATCGGGAAAAGCAAACAGGCATTTCGAAGCAGCAGCTGCTTCGTGCTGAGTTTTCCCAAACAGAACTTTCCAAAAATTTATGCAGGCCTATGATTGATATGTAAGGGGTAATACTCATCTTCAATTCCGCAATCAATAAGCGTTTAAAAGGCAATAGGTTAGCGGTGTTTCTTCGAATTTGCTGAGCCCAGCCCTTTGCCAAATTTTTCGAATCGCGTTTTCCACGCCTTCTTCTAGGATTTCCTTTTCGCTGTCGCCTGCCACATGAACCACATCCCCCCACACAAAAGTAACAAATACTTGTATATGGTACAAATAGTACATCGAACAGCAAAGAGACCACATCCATGTCGATGTTGTTCTTGGCAATCAAGTGGGTTAGACACACACACATACACTGAGGAAAAAAATAGTGGGCTGGCGTGGGGGGGTATTGGGAATGGGATTGTAGCCAAGAGCTCTTATTGTTATTTGCTGCAAATGTACGTGCTTCAGCCGCATTAACGCTCATTGCTCATTGGCAGCAGTTGCCGAAAAAGTTAGGAGGGGTGTGGGGGGCGGACAATGGGTGGCAGGGTGGCAAATTCAAGGGCGGGGGCATGGGGATGGTGCATCGACAACAGTGGCATCGAAATCAAAAGTGTTGCATTCAAGCTGTACTCACTTTGTATTGGTTTTGGGTTTCAATTGGATTCCCATTGCACTAAATCACATTGTTGGCTGGTTTCGCTCCGACGCGTGTTTGGGAAACTAAACGGAAACATCACCTGGAATTCGGCTAATGAAAATCGAGGTTTCAATGTGGGATCGTTAAAATATAGTGTATTTGAAAGAGTATATTCCCCAAAAAAATTACAAAACAAAACTTTGTAGCCCCCTCTACAAAATAAAACTCTAGCAACATATTTCCCTAAAACCCAAAAAAGTTTTAGAAATTTGCATATTTCGGGTTTCTAAAAAAAAAATGCTCGTAAAAATGGAAATCCCTTTGGAAAAGCCCAGAACTCTATTCCAGAACAAGGCACGCTTTATGGATGTGCACTCTGCGGTGCAACACCAGAGAGGCAGCCAAGACGAAGCCACAGCAATGAACAATGCTCGTTCATGGCTCGAATGCCACATATTTGCTCATTGTTACAGCTCGCAGCACAAACGACATTTTATTTCGGTTTTATTGATGCAAGAGGGCGCGGAGGGATGGCAGGAAAAGCTGTGTGCGGCAGGCCAGGAGTCATGCATCACAATGTAGCGAAACATGGATGATTTTAATCGAAAACTCCGACGCGGACAAGGTTGCTGTCTCTCCGTTCCAAGCCACTGAGCTCTAATGCCGGTAAGAACCATCCGGCATGGCCACCTGACCGCTTCCGATATGCGTTTACTCGAATATTGTATAAAAATTCATCAACATAGTACCGCCACCGCCATCGCCACCGCCTGCGTCATCGTAAGTCGGCCGTTATGAAGTGCCATAAAAAGCAGGCAGAGGAAAGCTCAGGCAGCCATAAAATAGGCATTTCCAGCACATTTACCCAAGGTGCAGTTATTACTTTTATATAATTTCTGAGTACCCGCAGAGCAGGCCATAAAACCCCGAACATGCATCAGCATTTTGATAACCGCAGCGGGATCGGTTGGGAGGTAGTAAACCCCCGACTTATATGCAAGACACATTGCAGTACAACCCCAAGCATCGGTAATTTAACGGACGCCCCCAAGACAATTTCTGCACCCTACTATATAAAGGTCTGAACTCTGACAGCAACTTCTGTCCTAGGGCATCCAATTATGTGGCGCAGTGTATGGCTGGCTCACGGCCAAAACTGGCGGAAAGCGTTATGCTAATGCACATCACGTATACGCCGCATGCACCGCAACGAACAGTGACATAATGTGCTGCAACAGGAAAAGCGAATGGAAATGGATGTGGGCCAGAGGTGGGGAGACAAGCTGCGGACAGAAAGAAAGGATAGAAAAGACTATGGGAAATTTTAGGAGAAGCTAAAAAAGTCCAGGATGTGGACAGGAATGGTCTACCTTAGTTACCGCTTTTGTGGTGAAAAACGGACCGGTCCAAAGAATTTTCAAAGTGAAAACGTGACTCCGCGTCGGCACAGTTTATTTTTTATTTGAAATTAGCTTTAAAATTAGCGCGACAATAAAGCAAGAACAACTGCAAGCTCTCCGATTGGTAATGCGTTTGATTAGTTAACGTTCACTAAGCGTATACTTGATATTTTCCATTTATAGTTTTGCTGCATCCAGATCTTAGATCACCTAGCTTACTAAACTAAACTCTAGCTTAACAAGTACATTATAAGCAAATCAAGGCAGACTGACACAAGGTCCTGCCTTGATTTCCACAAAACCACTTAATTTTAGTTAAAATCTTTTCTAACTTTCTATTTATATATCTTTTTCGTTTTCCCCGCCTACCTCCTCTATGCCTAACCAACTACATCTGTATCTATATAAACATAACAAATATCTCTATATATCTATGCATACTCTTCTATAATCTTGCGATTTGTTTTTGTTTCTAAACCAACAACATGATAATAATCAACCTAAAACCTAATCTAAATACTAAATAAAAAAAATTGAAAATTAATATTATACTGTGCACGTGGTGTAAACATTTTTGGGCTGCCCACCTACCAACTTCCGATTTCTGTCACAACCAAACCATGAAAATGCAATTTGAGAATCGACTACGAAATAACTAAACTATTTCCGCAAATTTAAACTTTTGGCCATACGCTGTATATACAAAAATTTGCATATATCTACAAAAATCTGCAACCAATTGCACTGCCAACTATAAAAACAAACCAAAACAAAATATATATTTCCATAAAACAATACACAAACTATTTACATTCCTGCAAAAACCAAAACCAATACCCGAAATAAATTAAATAAATAACATAAAAAACTATATACATATATTAAAAATATATAAAAATCCACACACTAAAGGAGGGCATTGATGTAAGTATTTATTTTTCACGCAATCATCGAAATCAAACAAAAAATTCAATCACGGGGAAATAAAACAATATGTACACACTGGTGGCCCATAAAAAAAAAACTCGCAATAAAATTGTATAATTTTGTATCTTGTTTAAAGAATCATTTTTTGTTTCACACTTGATGAGTAACTCAAGAATTTATATTGATTCGAGTTCTGTTTTTGTAGTTTGATTGTTTTTTCATCTACTGACCAGATAACAACAAAAATTGTACTACAGAAACACAAAACCACTTAAAATACTTTGAATTGTTTCAACAAATGTTTATAGAAATGCATGTGAGAAAAAAGCATGGAAAATTTTCCCATTATTGTATGTGATTGAATCAGTATATAGAGATTAGAATAGTCCCAAGCTTATCTTTATTTACTTGGTTAAAGTTTGAGCAATTTGTAATTTTAACATTTTAAGGAGGCTCAGCCTAAGGATTTGCCAATTTGCCACTGTGTGTGTGTGCTGGCCACAGAGAAGCTCTCACCAGTAGAATGATAGCTATGAGCTACTAATTAGACTTTTGATGGCATTGGTCCACCCCATTTCCCACTTAACACATTCCGGCCCAAGTACGTGAACAGCTTTGGCCGTAACGATGTGAGGTCCACACAAATTACACGTTGATGTGGAATCCTCCGACATCCTCCTGCCTGGTAACCTTTTGCATAATTTAGTCATTGAGTGGGGTATGTAGGTGTTGGAGGAGCTGAGAAGGGACCAAAGAACGGATATATATTTTGTGGCATTGCCATATGGATAATGGCAGCCGCAGGCTGGCACGCTCTCTGCCACCGGCTTTTCAAAGTGTTGAAGTGTAAAATAATTACTTCATTTTATCAAAGTGTATATGTATATGTATACGAGTATGTGTGTGGGCGTCACGTTCAAGGCGCAATTCGACTTAAGTGTGAGCCATTTGACAAAAGACCTGGCCCAGAGCAGCGTTACATTTATTTTATTTCGGTGTAAAATTCAATTTAAAGAGCTTTGCAACCGCTAAGTGGAAATTGTATAATGCCAGGCTAAGCCCATTTTTTTGTAAGGCTTAACTGTGAAAAAAGGGTTGCCACTTAATGGGTTTCTAATCCCGTTAAGAACGGAAAAGGAATGCGCCAAATGCGTTTTTGTGGCGCCAGTAAAACAAATGTTATCAGACCTCCACAAGGATAACGAAAACTAGGGTGACCAGATAGCTGAGGTGGGAAATACGGACACCGCCGTTTTGTCGTATCCACCCCCCCCCCCCCCAAAAAAAAACTCTTAGGAAACCCAAGTTTTCCCTTTTTTTCGCAGTGCCGCACCTGCTATAAACTTTGAACTTGAGGCGCCACCTTGGCCATATTGCATAACCCCCGAAATTACAAAATGCAGGACCTTCCACATACACACACATGTCTGGGGCTGTGTGTGGGAGAGTGTGTGTGTGGCAGTAATTCAGTGTTTCGGCGGGAAAGGAGGGAAAATAATTCGAGCAATTCGCTGAGCACAAATGGAATCGATAAATTTCGTGTTTCCCTTGTGGAAAACGCATTAGGCAGGGCATTCCCCGATGAGGAAAGCAAATGGAAAAGACAAATCTGTTGTACCTGTACAATAATTCATATTAATTAGCGAATGTCAAAGCCATAACACACACATAATTGGCAGTATGTGTTTCGTTCAGCTTAATTAGGCTTTAAGCATAAGCATAACAAATGAGTGTGAATATTAAATACCTTTATTTTTTGTATTATTATCCTTTGCATGAAATTCAAATGATTCCACTGGGACTTAACTTGGCAAGATTTGTGGCTGGTTATTAAAATCCATTAAAAAAAAGCATGTCCTCTGCATGAAGTCATTATTTTGATGCTTTGTATATAATCAATTCAAATCAGAACTGGCACCAAAACACTTCACAATTCGTAATAATAGATCAATAATGTTTTAGGGGAAAAACTATTGTCCTATTCCAGTTGGTTGTCTAATAATCTTGGCCACCAAAGTTGATATTATCCTATACTTTTGTTTAAATGTCATTGAAAGAGTTAGCATAACTTCAAGAAGGAACCTTCTTACTTTATGCTAAGTCTTAGGTTGTCTAAATTGTAAATCATACTCTGAAAATGTGGAACATTACGAACTACTCCTCTGATTGAGATAACTTTTCCCCCAGGGCGCTACCAAGCTAACCAAGGAGGATATTGAAAAGGTCTTTTCCCTCTACGATCGGGTAAGTTAGGAATAAAGTCTTGGAATTATAGAAATTATAAAACTTTCACGACACAACCAGGATAACAGTGGAACAATTGAGAATGAAGAGCTGAAGGGCTTCCTCAAGGATCTCCTAGAGCTGGTCAAGAAGGTGGGTTTCTTAACATAAAAAATATCAATTTGTTTTATATTTGGGATGCCCTTAGGATGACTACGATGCCCAGGATCTGGCAGCCTTTGAGGAGACCATTATGCGGGGAGTGGGACACGACAAGCACGGCAAGATCTCGCGCAAGGAGCTGACCATGATCCTGCTGACACTGGCCAAAATGTCGCCAGATGAGGAGTAAGCTCAATCAGGGCCCAAAATCCCAGCAAACATCCCAATAAGATTTTAGCAGACTCTATTTTTGTCACCCAATCGAGGGGAAAAATACAAATGAAGGCCATCGAGGGCCTTGAGGCAATTGTTTACTTTAGAACTGCATCCCAAGGGGGCAGTAAAGAAAAAGATTTTGGAATAGAGGGACAGGAGATCCTGAGAGACAAGGGATCCTGTCCGAAAACAAAGCTATTGGTAAAATATAATATAAATGTTTCAATCTTAAATAAATGTTTATCGTACGTTAAGCTGTTGAGAGTATATTTCCCCAAAACGAAAAAAAATCAAACCAAAGCGGAGAATTATCCAATCAAACAATTTGCAACTCAGAATCGAGCCACTTTAAGTAAACAACTAAGAAATATAAGAAAGAAATATAACATCAAGAGATCAGTACATCGATTTTATATTATATTATATATGTATTTATATTTTCTATGTGTATTTGCATAAAGTATTTTATTTAATTACCAATTAAAATTTGAAATAAAATTACCTACATTTAAGCGAAAACAAGCAAATCAGTAACGATTTATTTGAGATTATATAAGTATAAACTATGTAGATAATTGTTGTTAATAATTGTGAAAATGGATAACTTTTAAAATTGCAACATAGCAAGTATTCTTTGCCAAGGCTCTACTCAAACATCTATATACGTGTACTATGTGTATTTGAACCTATGTATATCTCCCGCAAACATCAATCAATCAATCAAGAGCCACTTGCCACAGCCCTGAGGATGGACGCACCTAATACAGGTAAAAGCAAATGCATCTGCCGCCACCGCCCCAGGACACGACAGTGTCAAAGTACGAAGGGTAGACGCCACCTGCTGTTCGAATGCATCCAGTTGGACACTCGTCCTTGTCGTGGCTCAAGTGCTGCAACAGCCATTTTCCATCCGAGGATTTTCAACAAGAGGAGATTGTAAGGCAGAGATTTAGATTCAGAGCAACTGGCAAGCATTTCCATTTCAATTCCTGGCCTGTAAGAAAAACAAATCGGAAAACTAATACTAAAATTTAACCTACAAAGCTATGAACTATCCAATATTTTTTTCAAGGTGCTATAGCTATATACATATACAACTCGAATGAATCCTTTCAAAATTTTATTTCATTGCTCTTGGAAACCTAACTAGAACAAATACTCTATATTACTAACTTAAGCTTTAAAGTCAAGACAAAGGCGGTATTTGCACAAGGATTTATTTTGGAAATAATGCTTACAATCATTTTAAAAATAAACCCTTGTGTAAACCCAATTGTACGTAGTGACAAAATGAAAACTCGTACGCACCCGTACAAGCAACAAAATGCCAACTTAATATATAAATAAACTAATTACGATACAACTCTATATGGTACTTATGCTAAACCTAAGATATTGTTCAAACCACTTGCATGTAAAGCTTCGAAACGGACTTTCTCAATATACAAATATCGAATATCTATATGGATAAATGTCTAATACTATACAAATACAGCAGAAATGTTTTAATAAAATAAATACAATCTATGCAGACATCAAGGGGTCAGCACTCCAAAAGCAAGCCTCGGCTTCAATTGTTTTTTTCCCCCTCTACTTTAATAAATACTATCTATATTATGGTCTTTTCAGATGTCCTGGTAACGAAGATTGACCTCTTTCTGGAGATCTAGGAGGTTATGTAGTTTCTTGAGTAAGAAACTAGCGCTCTGCACTTTCTCGCTCAAAGCGGGAACCCAAGCAGAATCATCCTCCGATGACTCGATCTGAAACATTTCTGGTTCAACTAGATCGTTTATAGTATCCATTATCTTCCTGATGCGCGGACAAAAGCTGAAAAAACTTTCTTTAGTCTTTTAATTTACTAAGATATTTCTTTAACTTACCATTTGGCCCCCCTGTATCTATCACTGATAATTAACTCCCAGGCCCTACAGTTCTGCAAATGCCAAGCGAAATTCAATATCTTTATAGAGTCCGTCTCTGGTTCCTTGTACTCCACAATGCTCGCCCTTTGAGCTGGCGGTAGTTCAACCTCCTCTAAAGTCACTTCATGCCACACAACAGGCTTATTTTCCTCCAAATCTATATCATTGTAACTTAAGACAGTTAAGTCCAATAATTCTAGGCGTTTTTTAGCAGCTTCCGAGACCCTTATATGTGAGTTAGTTCCAAAATGTCTTTCCAAAAAGTGTTTCGCCTCCTTGGGATAATCTTTGGGCGCTGGCTCACACATCGGGCTGAGGTCCGCCATTCTGCCGTTGTAGGTTAACCAGGAGGGATTCGCACAAGAGGCGCGACTCGAGTCATCTGCGTAAGTAATTTTTGTTTGGCTAAGAAAATGGAAGAAAAGCTATTAAGATGGATAATTTCAAGAATCTTTAACGATTACAATTTTTATTCAGTTAAACAGTTGAAATAAATTATCAGTATGCTATTGATAATATTCTAAAAGAAGCACACTTCGTGGCTGAAGGATATATCCCCTATGATCGGTCATCCACGCACCCGGACTCTACTCACCCGCTGCTAATGCTGACCACCAATTTGGTAATGGGCCCGCAGCGGGGCGTGACAATTTCAGTTCGAATCATACGGACAATTTTATACGAAAACCAAGAAAAACCGGACAAAGGCTAACGAAGTCTAAGTCTAAGGCTACTACTACTATTTTCTGGAACTCTCCATGTTGTCTAGTTTCTGCTGGTATTCCAATCTCTGGAGGATCGTGGGATGAGTGTGATGCCAACGGGCATAGCAATCATCATAGATCGGGAAACTCATGTGATCGGCGTAGATCTTCACCAGGGCCATCCTGAGGGGTATGGAGTAGCCCATTTGATGGGCGAAACGATCGGCAGCGTACTCGAAACGGCGTAGATTCCACAGCATAAGTACATTAGCCAGGACCAGGTACGGAGTCATGGCGAATCTCAGAACTATGATGAATCCCACGATTATTGGACAAAGTCCCTCTTCGAAGCCCACTGCCATGTACAAATAGGGGCAATGGAAAAAAAGACCAAAGAGTGCCATGGTCAATAAAAAGTGGATCTTCATGATGATTGTGGCTTTGTAAAAATGTCCATGCTTCCAGTGGCCAAGTTCGTGGCATACCACACCCGCCACCTGGACGTTGGTCAGTCCGCGGCCCACTTCGTATGGTTGGATCTCGCTGGGATCCAATCCTTTGTTAAGCAGCAGAGTGTCGAATATTACGATCCGTTTCAGACAACAGCTCCCGTAGAAGTAGGCATTGCTGTACTGCATAGTCCTGGTTCGGATGATGAAAACCCGGTTCATGGGGAAACCGACCACGTCGCAAACACGCTTTACCTCGGCGTAGAGGGCATTTCCTTCTGGCAGCACTACCTGTCTACCAATGCACGGGATGCAGCAGTACGGCAAAAAAAAGACCAGGCTAATGGTGAAGCCGGCCCAAAAAAGCCAGAACCAGAGGAAGAAAAAGAATCCGATCGTCTGCACACTGAACACAAGGCCCAGGGTGATCGGGATCAGGATGAACTGGCTCAGTAGCATGGCTATGAAGCCCACGCAACAGTACAGATACCATGGAAACTTCCTTTGCATTCCATAGCGCAACTCCAGGAGACACTTGTCGTAGATCAGCACCGGCAGGAAGCGGATGCATATGTACACCGTCAGGTAGAACACAAAGACCAGGCTGACCCAGATCTCCGCTGTCGTTAGAGCTTGCAGCGTCTTGGAAGCCAGACCCCAGAGAAAGGCATAGAAGCCGAAGATCAGCTCACACAGGGTAATGATCAGGTCTATGAGAGTCTTCCAGATCAGGAGCTCTGTTTTGTGAAGCTCGTAGATGCGGGCGCGATGGAAGATCTCCGGCGGGATCACTCCTCTCAGTTCCTCCGGCACCATAATGGAGTTCATGCATACCAGATGCTAAAAAAGACCATGGAACCGATCGTATATTAATCATAGGGAGAATACCAAGTACCCCGACTTACTTGTCTCTTTGTGAGTATTATCTCCCAGATGCGGTCAACTACTGCAATCACACATAACACCACCAGGACAATGAGAGGATCTATTTTTGGCCAGAACTCGTATTCGAATGCCATTTAAACTGATCATGACCGCCAAAACTAATAATAACTATAAATATATGTATTTTATGATATATCTATAATATCCGAGCGGGATTGTACAATCAGAACCTACTTAGTTTGTATAATGTATTGACTTTTTGTGTATGTCAGCTTCCATAGTTGAGCAGCGTGTCCAAGTGCTCCAGACGATCCATCATGGTGGGATGGGAGTCATGCCAGCTGGAGTAGCACTTGTCCGTCACAGGGAACACCAAGTTGTCGGCGTACAATTTCAGAAGAGCCGTACGTAGTTCTCTAGCGTATCCCAGCCGGAAGGCGAACTTGTCAGCCTGGTACTCGTAGCATCGACCCAAGCTCAGCATGACAAAGTTGGCAAAGGTCAGGTACGGGGTCAGCACAAATCCGAAGATTAGGAAAAACCCAACGATGATAGGCTGGACTCCCGGGGCGAATCCCACGGCTTGATAGATAGGTCCGTGGGGGAAGGTAATTGTGAAGAAAATAAGCATTAGTATTAAATACACCTGAAACGTGAATACAGTCTTGAAGAAGTGTCCGTGCCTCCAGTGGCCCAGCTCGTGACAAACCACCGCCACCACTTGTTCGTCCCGCAGACCCTTTCCAATCTCCTCCGGCGGCAACTCGGATATATCCCGCCTACCTCTGTTCAGCAACAGGCCGTCAAAGATAATGATTCTCTTGAGGCATCCAAAACCATAGAAGAAAGCATTGCTGCCAATGTTTGGATCGTGAACCTTAATAATGACCACCTGGTGCGCCGGGAAGCCCACTTTTCGGGTAAGATGATCCAGCTCAGCCTGCAAATTGGTATTCTCAAGGGTCACGCGTTTGCCCAAAAACGGATCGATCAGAAAGGGAATAACTAGCATCAGGCCAAACGTCAGAACCAGAGACTGAATATATAGGCCGAAAGCTGTGAACACACCCAGCCAGAGGGTCAGAAACACAAGACCAACTACCATGGCAGTGGTAAGAAGAAAGCCCACCATTATGTCCACGACAAATTTCACGATAATGGCTGCCACTGATGCCTTTTGCCGTTTGTGCAAACTGGGAATGCATAGCTTTTCGTATATCGCGCCGGGAAGGCTCTTGATCCAAAAGTAGATACTCAATATGAATACGAAGATCAGGTTTAGAATAACCTCGTGCTTCATCCAATTGGCAATGGCACACTGTGTAGTCAGGTCCCACAGCCATGCATAGAGTCCAAAGTATAGCTCCAACACGCCCATTATCACCACCACTACCATAGTATTGACAATGGTGAACCAGCCCTTGTGGATCTTGTGAAGACGCATCTTGTCGAAGAGATCCTGCGGCAAATAGGGACGTATCAAGTCTGGCACCTCTTGTACTTTGTAGACCAGGTGTATCTAAAATATAAAAATAAAATATTCTAAAACAAAGAATTTTAGGAAGGAACCTTTTAGGGACTCACCTCGCGAAGCAGCAAGTAAATGCCCCACAGATTATCGCCTATGTGGATAGCCAGGAGAAGATACAGTATTAGTACTGGGTCATCCCAGAAGTGCTCAGACATTTTTGGTTCCTATGGCAACTTGACATTGTAGGAATTTTTTTTTTAATTTTGAAAAGTTTTTATGACATCATTTTCTGTTGAGTTCTGATTGAGGGAACTATAACTACAGGTTTACATGTTTCGCCTACCTTATATGTCAATCTGACATATTTAAAACTATAATATTGAATTGTTTGCTGAAAACTCCCAATAATGTAGATGTGTAATCGATGGTAAACAAATGAAAAATTTCGTTGGGAATATCCCTCCGCTTTATTATTAATTTTACGTAAAACAAAAGAACAGAATAAACTTTGGTCTTGTGTGATGTGCGCTATCTAGTTTAATTTCTTGCTTGCCTTAAGCTCCTGCAGGCGTCCCATTCGCTGCAGCAAAGTGGGATGAGAGTGGTTCCATGTGGAATACAGCCAGTCATAGACAGGGAAGCCAAGATTGTCCACATTTAGCTTGATAAGGGCACGACCCAACTGCTCAGCGAATCCCAGCTGGAACGCGAACTCGTCAGCCTGATACTCGAATCGTCGCGACAAAATAGTCATAGCGAAATTCATGAGTGCGTTGTACGGTGCCAAGACATATGTGAAGACGATTAACAGTCCTACTAGAATAGGTCGGGTTCCAGGTTGGAAACCCATAGCGACATAAAAAGGTGGATACTTGAAGACGTTGCCAAATACTAAAAACATAAGGAAAAGGTGGATCTGCATAATAATAATGTTTTTGGTGACGTGTCCCAGTTTCCAGTGACCCAATTCGTGTCCCAAGACAGCAAGCACCTCTTCATCCGTGCATCCCTTGCCCTTTTCATCGTCCGATAGTTCCGAGTCATCAGGTTTTCCTTTGTTCAACAACAAGGTGTCGAACAGCACGATTCGCTTTGAGTTCCAAAGGCCATAGAAGTAGGCATTGCTATGGGAGGATCGCTTAGATCCCTCAACCACAAACAATTTAGTGAGTGGGAACTTCAGCGAGGCGGCCAGATCCTCGATAGACTGGCGCAACGGTCCCTTCTCCAAAGGAGTGTATTTGTCAAACAATGGCGCAATAAATATAGGGTAAATCGTGAGCAGCACCAACGAAATAATTCCAGTAAACATCCACAACCAGATGAAGAAGTTGTCGCCGCCCCGCTGAACAATGAAGATGAGTGCCGCCGTGATGGGAATCATCAGCACCTGGGTGACCAAAAAGCTTTTGATCTGATCCCAGACGAAAAATCCAGCAGTCTGTTTGTTGAAGCCGTGAGTCTCCTCCAGCACAAAGATCTTGTATATCTTGAAGGGCAGCGACTTGAAAGTGCTCAGCACATTTGAGATCAGAACAAAGACGCAGCTAACGAGGATCTCGTTCGAAGAGTTCCAATTAAAGTGGTCCACCACCTGAATGGACAAGTTCCAGATAACGGCAATCAATCCAATGTATAGTTCCAGACAGAGCAATCCAACGTCGGCTACAATCGCCTTGAAGATGCCAAACTGCTCCTGATCCAAGCCATATTTTCGTGCCTTATGGAACGTCTCCTCGCCCATGTGTTTCGCCAATTCCTCTGGCACTTTCAGTGCAGTTCGGTACACTTTCACCTGTGGGGCAGACAGAGAAAGAAAATCGGCATGTTAGTGGTCAATTAACATTTGCGACTCTAATTTTATCATTTGAATTGATAAAATTCTTCGCCCTCTTATCCGTCTCACTCGCACGTGCCGGTTAAAACAAATACACCCACCTGGCGAAGTGCAATATAGATTTCCAGGGCATTTTCAACAATAACCAGGGCCAATATGCTGAAAAGCACCGTGTCCGCGTCTAAGGGAGTCATTTTATCACCCTATTTTAAGTTATTTCAATAAAACTGGAATTTTACAAGCGCCAACGACTGACGCGATTTTAAAAGTGTTGGAAAACGTTTTTTTTTTTTATTATGAGAAATTGTGAAAAAAACGGCGGAAAAAATTTACCTCTGAAATGATCGAAGGTTGATTTAAAAGTAAATATTCTGTTTTGAGGTATTAACTTGTAGCTTTAAATCTGAGCACTAGCCTACCTAGATCCTCAAGGCTACTATATGAGGCTAACATATTATTATATCAGTTGATATTTTTTCATATGTATGTATAAAAATTTTTGAATTTAAAAACAAAATAAATCATTTTGGTAACCAAAATAATTTTCATTTTATTTATTTATTTCTATACAAAAGTTTTAAATAAGTGCGCCATTAATCCTTGCTCTCACCCTACTGTAACTATCGCCCATCTCTAAAGCCATTACCGGCAGTACTGTTTACTTTATAAGCCCGAGGAAATATGTTATTTTTGAAACGATTTTACAGCAGCTCGCAACGAATAGCCCAGGTGGCAAAGTTCAGCACACCAGGAGACTCATTAAGCATTCAGGTAATTGAGAAGTCAAGCGGTTTCACGTTATTCCTCTCTCATAATTCCATGTTAATAGGGCTGGATACGTAACATCCGCAAATTGAAGAGCAACACATTTCTGGATGTCAACGATGGATCCACAAGTACCAGATTCCAAGTGGTTGTGCCCAAGACTCCAGAGAACCAGCATCTCGCGCCTGGCAGCGTAATATCTGCCCAAGGACAAATCCAAGTGGCACCCAATGGCAGTTATGAGCTGCATGCAAGTCATGTGGAAACGCTGGGTAATTGTGTAAGTTTTCCCTGTCTAGTTTAACTAAGTAACTAAGTTCTCTCCTCCAGCTGATGGACATCTTCAAGAAGGCTACCCTTTCGCACCAAAGCAAAAGCTCCCGCCGGAATACGTCAGAGAGCATCTACATCTTCGTTCCCGCGTGGATTACATAGCTGCCCAAATGAGAATCAGACATAAGGCCCAAAAAGCCATTCACGACTACATGGATGAGCTTGATTTCGTTCAAATCAATACTCCCCTATTGACCACCAATGATTGCGAGGGAGCTGGAGAGGTATTCCGAGTTCAACCAGACTCTGAAGCGTTACTGAAAAATATGGCCAAGCCTAATGTTCCCCTAGACCAGAGTTACTTCGATGAAAAGGTCTTCCTCAGTGTATCCGGTCAATTGCACCTGGAGGCCATGACCTATGGTCTGGGAAACACTTACACCTTCTCACCCGCGTTTCGAGCGGAGAACTCAAAATCCCCACTACACTTGGCTGAATTCTACATGTTTGAAGCAGAGCTCTCCCATTTAAAAAAAGTGGAGAAGCTAGCCGCATTTATTGAGAAGATGCTTAAGTCAATAACAAGTCGTTTACTGGAGTCAAGCTCAGAGGATCTTAACTTCTGCCAGCGAAACGCCAACTCTTCCTGTGACCTAGCCTGGTTAAATGTGCCGTGGAAGATAGTCAGCTATGACGAAGCTCTCCAAATCCTGCAAGATAATGTTGATAGCCTGAAAACCCCTATTAGCATTCAGGATGGGTTCTCCAAAGACCAGGAACTCTATTTAGTTTCTCACTTCGCCGCGCCAGTTTTTGTTGTGGACTGGCCCGCTCACCAGAAACCTTTTTATATGAAAGTTTCAAGAAAGAACCCAGACAGAGTCCATGCTTTGGATCTCTTGATGCCAGCTGTAGGAGAACTGTGTGGTGGAAGCATCCGTGAAAGTGATCCCAGCATATTAAGCTCCCACCCACAACTGCCAAAAAATCTGGCCTGGTATGTGGACCTTCGAAAGTACGGCGGGATCCCAACGGGGGGCTTTGGAATGGGCTTTGAGCGTTACTTGCAATTAGTTACAGGCGTTAAAAATATTCGGGATGTAATACCCTTTCCCAGATATCCCCATAGCTGCAAGATGTGATCTGTTCTACGTGCAAAATGTTTTGGACTTTATTGTTGAAAATCTATTAAACTTTTATTACTTAAGACGATGCTTTCGAGCTTAAGCTTTTTTTTAAATGTTATTTTTTCTAAATCATAAAATCTTGTAGAATACCTGCTATGTTATAGGTATTTACAACTGCCCCAACATGGGTTTCCTGCCAGGCCAGGCTTCCTTGGCGTATTTCTTTTTCTGTGGTCCCAAAGCATCTCCTTCGCCACTCGAATCGTGGGAATCTTCGACATACCGACGAACTGAATCATAAGAAACGATTGTAGTAACGATAATGAGAAATATTTCCATCGAATTCTTACCGTTCGCATTGGCCATGGCTAGTTTCTGCGCCAGTGACGAGTTAGCTTCCACATCCTCATCAGAAACAGGCATTACATCTGGAGCAGGGTTGGGGAGAAGAAGGCCCAACTTGGAACCAATGCTTAACGGAGATATAGGCTCTAGATCGCCCTTCCCGTGAGATTCCGCCGGCAGTCCCTGATACAGCGAGTTTGTGGGGGAATGAGGTACTGTGTTGGGCGGCGGCATTTCCCTATGATGTTGTCCGTGTTTCATGTCTGCCAGTGTTTGCTGGAACATCTGATGCAAGTGGGCAGCGTTGGCACTACTTCCCGAATGAATGCCCATATGATTGACATCGAAACGAGCTCTCTTCGCCGGCACAACAGTTGTCTGCACCAAGTTCCGGAAGCGCCCCACATTAGGATCGACATCCTCCGGGTTAATGACGATTTCTTCATCGTTAAAAGTCACATTCCGCGGGCGTCTTCCTTGCTTTAGTGCGTTCTGCTTCCGCAGATTGGTGTCATCCTCGATTCCCAGCATTGAGATGCGCCTGTTATGAGCTGTGTTGTACTCCGTGAGATTCTAAAGGAGAGAAATACCATTATTTCTTTTGTAAGGTTATTATTTACTAATTTTACTAACATCCAATTCTGTTTGGCTTTCGGGAAGACCAAGCAGAGTTCCATCACTCGTTTCGCTCAGTGGGAGGTCCTCCATGATGTTAGTATGGTGCCCCGACGGCCGTTCTCTGAGAATGTAGTTCCTCGTGGAAGCTCCAAAGTGGAAAGTGCTGTTGATCTGCAGCTGGGTGGGTTTGTGGGCTTCAAGTCTAAGTGTGCCGATAAAAGTACCGTGAGCTGTAAACGAAAAGTTTGGTTAATGGCTTGGGATTAGACTTGGCAGGATTAGACTACTTACTAGAACCCAAATCTACGAGGTAAGCGATGTTCAGGTGTTTGTGGTACACAAATGCTGCGTGCACCCGCGAGCAGGACGCGTGATCTATACAAAAGTCATTCATCTGGCTATTCCGCCCAAATAAATAGCATCTTTTCTCATCCACCATAAGTTTCTGGACCAGTTTCTCATCCTTGAGCACGTCCAAATGCAACCCAGTGGGCGGTTTGCCGGCCCTGAAAACAACGTCAAATATATGAATGGTACAACAAACTGTCGCATTCTGTTGTTTACTCACCAACTGGGTATGTCGTAACTGTTCGCCATGCGTCTAACTCCTGTTAAACGCTTTAAAATAGATAGAAAAGAATTTGTTTATTTATATGGTAAGTCCTTAGCCAGTGTGTCCACATCCACAAAGAATAAATCTGATTAGAGTGACCAGATGGCAGTACATTTTTAGGCGGGTTGTTTATTTGAAATATTTAAAAAAATTTAAAAGTAAGCCTTTATATCAGAATTAATAATATTTGCTCAAATAAAATAATAGTTTATCCAATTATTCTATTAAAATTTAATTGGTTTTAAACTGCATTATGCATTTCAACGACTCTGGGCACACCACATCTTCCAGCTCACAACATTTTCCATCCAACTGACAACAAAAACATAAATAACGGCCAGCTGACAAATCTAAAAATAATACCTTGAGTTAGTTAATCTCATTAAATAATTAACGTATGGTGAAAAGTTAAAGGCTTTTCCAATGAAAGCAGTTCTTTCAAGCCCTAATTACGCTAAAACTGAAAGCTGTCAAGTTCAAAACCGGATTTGGATGCCCATGAACTCATCTCTATGCCTTTTGTGACGTCCAAAGTATTAATCATAGATAATTAGCGAGTAGAAAAAATGGTTACGACAACGGTGATAGCGGATTTATGCATTTTCCTGCTTACATGGAATGTTGGGACACATTCGCCGCGGGATCAGCAGTTGGCATCGCTACTGGCTCTCAATGGAAACAGCACCTGCCCGGGAAATCAGCTACCCGACATATATGTGATCGGAATGCAGGAGGTGAGCACCAAACAGGTGCTGAAAATCTTCCAAGATGATCCCTGGGTGCTCAAGATTGCCAGTGCTCTGCAAGAGCACGAGTTTGTTAAAGTGGAGGCCAAACAGCTTCAGGGGATTCTTATCACCATGTTTGCCCAGCACAAGCACATCCCTCACATGAAGAACATTGAGACGGAGGCGACACGAACTGGGCTTGGTGGTCTATGGGGAAACAAAGGAGCTGTGAGCATCCGGCTATCCCTATATGGCACAGGAGCTGTTTTTGTTTGCTCCCATTTGGCGGCCCACGACGACAAGTTGAAGGAGCGCATTGAGGACTACCACCAGATTGTGGACAACCACAAGTATGATTCAGTGGGTTATCGCAGAATATTCGACCACGATTTTGTGTTCTGGTTTGGAGATTTGAACTTCCGCCTGTCCGGAGATATGTCTGCTTGGGATGTGCGCACAGATGTGGAAAATAGACGCTATGCTGATCTTCTCAAGCTGGATCAATTAAATATTCTGAGGGAAAAGGGCAACGCCTTCAGCCTGCTGGAGGAGCAGCAGCCTGACTTTGCGCCCACGTTTAAGGTACTTTGTCTTATCTTTTTCAATTCAATTAACGTTATTTTCTGGTGAGCTCAGAGCTCAGCTACTTACCCAATTAGTCTGTTATTAAGACATCCTCTGCTCGTAAAATAATCATTTGATTTTCATTCAAGTTTGTCGAGGGCACCAACGATTACGATTTGAAGCGACGACCCGCCTGGTGCGATAGAATCCTGCATCGCGTGCAGAGCAACGTTTATCCGAGCATTGCCCTCAGCGCCAATCAGTTGTCGTATCAATCGCATTCGGACTATACGCTCTCCGACCATCGACCCGTATCCGCCACATTCAACTACAAGGTCGAGTCCGTCAACCAGACCTTCACCGACGAGGAGCTATACGAGATGACGCACGGAGCTGCTTCCAATCCAACCGCTGCTCCAAATGTTAGTTTAACCTTCGCCTTTATTTTGCTTGTAGCCGTGCCGTATTTTCAACATTGATTTTGCTTCTTTTGTAGTTGTTGTTTAACGCTGAACTAGAACAGTGGTAACGCCGCCATGACGTCCCATAGTTGTTAACTATTAATTGTGTCAATCGATATGCTTCTAGATAAAATCTAAAGTAGATTTATAGAGTAACGTTAAAGACTTCCTTTCAGAAGGAGAACCGTGAATGAAATAAATATCAAGTACAATGTGATGGAATCTCAGCTACAAAAGCAATACAACAAGTAATTCTCGAGTGATTTAAATATCAGATATACAGATATCATATAGAAGAAGTCAATTAAGTTAGATTCTCTGAAAATTTGTATTTTTTTTGTACAAAAAACAAACCTGTTGATCGAATAAAAAAAAGTTTACCTCTCAAGATGAGTCATTGGATTTGGATTTAATCGATGCAGACGATTGAATCTGCATGGTCTTTATTAGCTAGGTTTCTTGGTTTTGAACAGTTCTTTATACATTCGCCAGGGCAAATAAAATTAAAATTGTATTATATAAGTATATAAGCCACCATTAAATTATGATTAAAGCGATTCGCTTTGCATTAACTTAGAGCAAATGTACGGATCTAAAAATTATGTATGGTAAGAGTGGTGGTTTTTGCACAGAGGGTTCATAAATATATGTATGTATGTATAAGGTATTATATAAGTTACGTGTACAGGTGTATTTTTGGATGAAGCATTACTAGTACTGCGGGATAAATGCTAAGGTATCATAAACTATCGTAAAATTGCCTCCTCAATTGCGTTCTGTATCGACTTTAGATGTGGTTCAGATGGCACTAACAACAAAACAAGAACCGAACATATAATTTTACACATAGACGTTAAATAATTTCATGTCTGAATATATAAATATTAGTGTAGATTGCCCCTTTTCGAAATGTCTGTTCTAAGGGTTTTTATTAATCCCTTTTCAGCTTAGTTCACTAACGGACGTTTTGTTCTTTTTCTTTGCTTAGATACAAAAGCAATTAATCTGGTTTCACAGTATCTTTGTTATACATATATATTCATATATATATATTTTTTAAACCATACTGAGTGGTCCATACTGAGTAATTGTTGTCGTTGGATAAAACGATTGCATAAGCGACACCGAACCACAAAAACCACGCGACCTTTCCGCGTGTCACCGAACATAGTTGATATCTAGCTAGTTACATAGATAAGATTGAGTGTTGTGTGTGTGTCTGCTGTAAGTATAATCTCCAGTCGGGTTTTGGTTAATTTCGATTTCTATTGAAGAACACATTTGTCTTTGCCGCCACTTATGTCGACCTGCTCGAGTTCCCTCGCTATCTCGTGATCGTCTTCGATCCTATAAATACAAAATATTATGATATAAGTATTTAAAGCTAAAATATGAAGCTTCGATAAGGGTACTTACGCTTGTTCCTGATTGTGCAGATGCTGAACCAACTGGTCGCGCTTATCGACAATAGTCACCAGCTCCTCGAGCAGCAGGCGTTCCTTTTCCCGTTGCACTTCCGTTTTGCGCCAATCCTCCACTGATTGCGCCGCCCGCAACTCCTGATTCAGCATCGTAAATTTACGTTCCAAATCTTTTTCTTGTTCGCTGGGGATGGGGGGAAAAAATACAAATAAAGTCAAGATAAGGCCAGCAAACAGATTGGAGGTCTTACAGTATGTTCAACTGCATTTGTCGACGAAGGAGGGCATTTTTCTTGTTGACCAGGGTAAACCATTGCGATAACAGTTGCTCCTCGGTTTCCTCGGTCTCTGCGGAAGGTTCAAATAGTACAAAATTAGTTGGCATTAATGATAACGAACGGGGTGATAAACTAGTTTTAGAATAGAATAGAGGGCCTGTTCCAATTTCCACAGAACTCTAAACACAATTTCGTTATATACAAGGCAGTTAAATAATTAATTGTATGGTTATTTATGTGAAAGCCCGAACAGGCCCCAAGGTGATAAGGTTTAGTCTAAGAATGCGTCCTTTGGCGATTTCAAAAGCTGCTATAGAGCTGTAGAGCCCTGTGATTAGTGAGCATTTTGGGACACGAAATGAATACAAAGTCCGAACAAAGTTAGACACAGTTTGGAACAATTTGGCTGCCCGGCTGCCCAGTTAACAAGCAAACACAGAGACACAAATTAGAACAAACAAACGGCACAAAGTATGAGCGAGCGAGCGAGCAGGCGGGCGATCAGGCGGTCAGGCTATCAGGCGGGCGGGCGGTCGGTCGGTCAGGCGGTGAGGCGTGGCAGTGCTCGGCGGAAGCGGTTAGAAGGAGCGCAATTTTCAGTATTATGGAGATGAACCGCACTTTACCACAATGATTGTGACTATGATGGATACACATATGGGGTCGAGGCTGACGGCGTCGCCTATGGATCGGCCTGCGATCCTGTTGCCGCCGGACATCGTCATCGTCGCTGCACGCGGGCAGGTTATCACAGGAGGACTGCTGCGATGGGCAGCTATCTAGCATATGGGAGTAGGGCACAACGTGATGTACATGATGCGGGCGCAGATGGGAGGGCGAGTGGTGGGTCATGCTCGATGAATGGGCCGGCTTGTTCGGATTCACGAAACATGACTGCGAGCGGGGCCGTTGGCGAGGCGGAACCCTCAGTTGGGAATGCATCTCATCGCCGGTGATGTAGACACTTTCACTTGACGTGCCCATGTCGTCATCCTCGCTGCACGCCCCACTTCCAGCACCGCTGGTACCACCACCACCACCAAACAGACTCTCGTCATCAGAGTCCAGCAGCTTAATACGAATCACATCACCACCACCAATACTATTTCGGATTAGCCTAAGGAACGGGTTTCTACTGCGATTATTACTTGGATTGCCGCCCATAACGGCGCGCAGCTTGGCTTCCAGACTGCTGGCCTTTTGGTCGATGGCCTCCTGCTCCCTTTCCAGAGCCTCCAGTTCGGACTCGATGTACGACAACTTGTCGCCCTGAAAGGGAAGTTTATCAATACAGTTTCAATAGGATATCTCTTTAAACATTACCTTCTTCTCGTGCTTTGGTGAGATGCGGTCCACCAGCCCATTGAAGGACTGCAGCGGACTGCCTTTAACCCTCGGATCGCTTAATCTATGACTAGGACTGACCGGTTCCTTCTCGTCACTCTTCTTGGAGTGGTCCCCGAAGAACTCATCGGCACCGTTGTGAATGGGCGAGATGGTGCGCTCCTGCGAGAAGTTGAAACGCTTGGGCTTGGTGGGGCTGGTGGGACTCTCGATGGATACGCCGCTCTTAACACGCGTCTCCAAGATGAGCCGGCGGGCTTGCTCTCGCAGCCGCTGTTGTCTCTCCTCCTGTCAGGGAAGTAAGAGACTAAATGAGGATCTGCTCCAGATGGTAATATAAACATTACAAAAGCATACACTTGAATCACGATTGGATTTAAACCAAATATTTACAGAAACCAGCTGTTTTAAATAATAAATATTTAAGGTAAACGGAAGAATCTACAAAATATGTATCTTAATCTAGAAAAATTTGATTGTATGCTTGTGCAATAGCTAGTTATAGTAATTAATTATAATAATCATGCAAGAGATAAGCTGCGCTGCGTGCGGCGGTCATTCTCTCTAGCAGGAAGCTACTTACGTCGATCCCATCGCTGCCATTGGAAAGCTTTAGCTTTTCCATCATCAGCTTGGCTTTCTCGCTCATCGCCTTGTGGCGCGTTAAAATTCGCTACAAAACAAAATTAAAAGTGAAGCCAAAAAAGGGAAAATAAAATATTTAAAAAACTATAAAACTAAAAAGCTAAAGCAACAACTCAATGGAAAACTTCAACTCAACGATAGAACACGATAGAATCCGGTTTATACTCACATTGGCCGCCTGGGAATCGAGAACTGTCAGGGAGGTGTTCTCCTTGCCGCCCAGCTGTGTGGCCTCGTCCTGGCCGTCTTCTTGGGGCGGTGGTGTTTGGCAACTGCCGTGCTGCGAGGCGTTTATCGAATTCTTGTCCTTTGTGGGTGAGAGCACCTTGCCCAGTATGTTCATCGAGTTGTTCAGAATCAGATTCTTAACATCCTTCTTGCTGGTTGGCGACAACGGCTCGGTTTTGTTCAGGGCCGTCAGAATGTCGTCATCGAAGGTGCTCTGTTGGATCTTCATGCGCGAAAAGGACATACGACTCTGGGACAGAATGTCCGATTTGTAGTTTCCAATCACATAACTCGATTCATCTGCCGTAGAACCTGCAAGGAAGGATATTCTTTTAGTTCATCCAAATGCTCCTGGTTGACCTGGTTTTCCTTACCAATTTGTTCGATTTTCAGCTGCTTGCCTGTGAAATGGGCACGCAATTGATGCAAATAGGTCATCACGGCCAGCTTGTCGGGCACTGTCAGCAGATTCATATCGCGCGGCTCAATGACCCGAGGTATTCCCAAGGACTCGGCAGCATCAAAGGCAATCTTGCAGTTGCCCACCACCTCGTGAGCACTCAGCTTTGACATGTCTCTGCAAAAACACACAAATATCCAATCAGTCAGACATCAATATTTGAATAAAATAGCTTTACTTACATCAGCTCTGGTACAAAGTGATGGATAATGGCACAAAAGGCCATGCCATTGCGCCAGCTGGTGGTCAGATTGGTGACTTTGACATTGGGATAATCTTTGGTTACTTCTTTGCACCACTCCAGCAGATCCTGCCCGGGAGTGTTCTCTTTTAGGACGATCTTTTCCACTGGCTTGAGGCTGTTGTTCACAGACGCTGTTCCACTAACTCCCGACTGCGATCCAGTGGATTCATTTATCACAGGTGCCGGACCAGGTATCGGGGAAGGTTCATAGCTCTTCTTTAGGTTCAGGGGCTGCAGCTCAGAGCGCTTGGAACTGGTAGAGACATCCTTGTTGGTCTTCTCCTCAGCTTTGGGAGTTTCCTTGATGGTGATGCTATTGGCCACGCTCTTGGTGGAGTCATCCCTGATAGACTCGACCGAAATATCGGCCACCTTCTCCTTCTTCTCGTCAAAGTTTAATGCCTTGCCTATCTTTGGCTTCTCAGGGTCCTTCGTCGTTTTGGGCTCCAGGGGCGTGGAAGTAACCACCTTGGAGAATCCAGCCACCCTAGGCAGCAATGTCTCTGCAGGTGTCTTCGGCTGCTGGGTCTTCGCCTCACCTGGAGACTTGATGGGGGTTTTGTCCACCAAGGACTGAGCTCCACTGGGAGTTTTTAGGGACTCGTCGGCGGAAGGACCTCCACTGGCTAGAGGCCCACTAGAACTGCCAGATGCAGCTGTGGACAAGTCTAACTTGTTGGTAGCTTCGCGATCGCGATCGCCATCGGCGTCTAGTTCAAAATGCAATTGATTAAATGACTCGGCCAAAGGAGTTGGGTCTTCAGATAACGAAGGTACTACATAATTACAAAAATAAACAAAAACAAAAAAAGAAAATCAAGTTGTACAATCGTCTATATACACTTTACGCACAAGATACAAGTTGCAAGTGTCTGGTAATCATTCAAGATACGTGATGTGTTGTGGATGTTTTTTTTGGGGAAAAAAGAGTAAAAGTCAGAGAGAAGAAACTTTTGTACACAATTTCTACACATTATATAGGCTATAAATAGAGTCCATTGTTTGCTGTTTCGGAGAATGTGAAATTTTGATTTGTGGGAATTAGATCATGCAAAAGTTTACAGATATAACCATATATGATATGTCGTTAATCATATGCCTGGCGAGTGATTACGATTACTGGGGGCTGTCAAGATACTTAACCAAAGTACATTTTATAACTATGGATATTTTCTAGTCCATTTTCATACACTAACAATAAGATACAATAAGTACATTGAATTTAGAACACTGTTCAGAAACGTTTAATGGCAGTGGGAAGGACTGCTGGACCAGCTTACCACTTAGGGGGGTGGTCGCGTCAATGCAACCGTTGAGGCTCGTTGTCATCTGCTCCAGTTGTTGGGTAAAGTCATACAAGTTGTCTGTGATTTCACTGAAATTCTCCAGATCGGGTATATCCTCCAGGTCGTCCAAGGGCGCCACATCACAGTTGTTGTTCACGGACATCATAGAGACCACGCTCTGCATGTCCTCATCGCTGCAACAGATTATTTATATTTAGAATTCTTTCTTGATAACGAAAGATGGACTTACGTTGCCTTGCCCTCGCGGAGAAATACACAACTAATGGTTAGTTCCAGGCTGGCGGCTGTGATCTTCTTCGAGACAGGCTTTAGTGCCAAAGTAAAGCTCTGCTGAGTGGATTCTATGCTGGCATACTTTCTCATATTGATACTGGCATTGGCCAGCACCCGTTTCTTGCCCATGGGAGTAATCTACAAAGAGATAAGGTAATGAATTCTGTTCCATAAATACCCTCTCCATAAAACTTACATCTTCAATGACAAATGTCCAGTCCTTGTCCTCCAGCTCGTGTGTGCGGGGATCCTTGAAGAGGGTCACCGATATGGTGTGATTGTCGGGCACGGGCCAGGATATGTTACCCACCAGCGGATTCATCATGTCCGGCTCCCATGGCAGGGGGGCACTGGCCTCTCGTCTAGATCGTCTGGTCCAAACTATCGAGAGGTTCGAAGGTCGCCTGGAAAATAGTCATTTTGGCATTAAAATTCTCAAGAGTTTGTTCAACTTTTTGTTATATTTTCGTCGTTTTACAGTCATACCGTATAACGAAGACCCTGAATAATAATATGCCGGGGTGCCGGATGAGCCACAGTAATAACAATATGTATATGGTGGGGCCCTACAGCTGATAAATGGATGTCTGTATGATGAATTGTGGGTTGGACATGATGTGTTCATAAACAGGAAGTGTGAATATTGTTCTTGGGACTACAAAATAACTACAAATAATAGCGTGGACAGTATTCCTCGCAAACAACTTACTGAAATTGATTGAAAATAATCAAAAGTCTTACTAGAGAGAGCTATCTACGTCTCTTTATCAAGCGATTCATTGATATGATCAGTGTATCTGGCAAATTACAGGGAATACGTAATAGAATATCTCTCAACCTTTCATTAGACCCTGTATCACTTGGCTGAGCACTTGAGGATGAGCCCACCCCCCGCCCACATCGTCTAATGGCCTTATCCACTTGTCCAGACTACTTACCACTTGGCGGTGGTTTCCAGATGCAGATCATGATAGGACGCAGTGAACTGGAATTTGGCAGCCCGCTTGAAATTGCGCTGCAATCGCTTCCAGACGCTGGCCATTGTAGCGGGTGTGGATCGTAGTCAGTAGTCAGTAGTCCAGTGGGTGACTTTAATTTGGTTTCTGTGCTGATTGCCCGTCGTCGTCTTTGAGGTTTGTATAAAAATTAGATCCGATACGGCTCTCTTCGTTGCTTGTCTGCTATGTTCCTTGTGTTCTTAATTCATATTATCGTGTTTATATGGTAGCTTTTATTGGGCGATCTGGGTATAGATAAAGAAAATGTCTTTACATTTTATATAAAAATGGAAAAAAAAAACAAAAAGTCTTTGGCAGGGCTTTCTGGGTCATTGAATCTTCTCATTCACAAAAAAAAAAAACTGCAATCAATGCACTTTGCAGGTGCACTTGTTCAGGTCGGAAGGTTCCTCTATGGAAAGTGAAATTCTACGAGATATAGCCGCGAAAACAAGCCACAGCAGTTGCGGAAATAAAAATCGCTAGTTTCGGAAACATTTTTCAAGAAAAAAGGAATCCCGGACGCTTTGTTGTCTGCAAAAATACTCAAAATCGAAAAACGAAAAAAAAAAAAAACACACGCACACACACACAGACGCACCAGTGGACACACACTCGTAGTGTTTGTTTTTGTGACCTTTAGTTGTCATTTTTCACATCGTTGTTGTTGTTTCGGTTGATTTTCTCGACTTTCTTATAAATACTCGCTAGCATTACAGCTTATTGCTAGTTTTGTTTTTATCTATTTATGTCACTGGCGAATATTTAGCAAACTGTGTATATACAGCGACGTACATACATATATATATGTACGTACATACTGAGCACCATTATGACGTCACTCTTGTTTTGGTCTCCGATTTCTGGGTAAACCGTCAGACCCAATGCTCCACGAGCATCGAATTAATATACGCTATACGTTGGGGGAGCACACTCCACTCTTCACACTTGGCGTTGTCAATTATCACCCCCGTCCGCTGATCAAATGAACCACAGCGGTCCGTGTTTTTTCTGCTATTTCGATTGCGAATTATTTACAATTTTTGTTGATATCAAACTTAAATTAATCGATATATTTTTGTTGGTATATCGATTGTTATATCGAATCAGATTCTTATTTGAACCGGTTTGACGAACCGATTCAGGGCCGGATTTACATTCAAGGGAATTTCGGATAGAAAAATTTTTATAAAAATTATTATTTTATATCCACTATTGATAATGGTTATTTCATTTCCCCATATGCAACTACCCATTGAAGATCTCAACTGCAACTAAGATTCCAAGCCCCTTGATTTTATTTTAAACGCAATTCGATAAATTTTATTTATATTTTAAATCATGGTTTCGTTAACATTAATTACAAGTATTTAAAAATTAGGCGTGGCTGCTGTTGTATTGGTTTTTTGTTGTTTTTTTTTTCGTTTTCGATTATGTTTTTTCGATTCGTATGATCAAGAGAATGTTTAATTGAATGTGAAATTAGCGGTTTAGTTCTTACTGCCATTTATGAGTCTGCATATGTGCCATGCAAGAGTGGGGGTGCGCATATGAGTACGAGTCTTTGAGTGCAGTTGCGTAAGTGTTTGGGGGGCGGCTCAGAGGCGTGGCAGTGGCTTTATATATTTTTAAATCCTAGCTTGTCGTCTTCGATAGTTATTGGAACTTAAGCGGTCATAACTATAGCGAACGAAAACAGATGGAAAAAGGACAAACTTATTAATTGGAATTGAATCTCTTAGATATAGATACAGAACGGGCGTATCACAAAAAAAAAAAGCGTTCAAACAAAATCGCTAACACATGTCATAATATGCTGGAAGATATCACAAACAATTTGCTATCAATAATTTAAAAGATAATCACAATTGGTTCTGAACCAAGCCACTGCAATCATCAATTCTACAACCGAGAATTTGTCGGAAATGCTTCTCTACTTCCGCCCAACTGCCACGCCTCTTGAGAATCCGTAATAATCACACGCTACGCAGTTTAGGTCTTCTTCTGTTGGCTACAGAACTCCTTGTAGGCGCGCTCGGTCTCCTCGTCCATCTCAGCATCCAGATCCAGATCTCCACCGTCGCGCAGATCAAAGTCGTCTCCATCGCTGCCGTTGGCTTCGTCTTGGGCGGTCAGGAACTCGCTCTCCTCGGCGGTCAGCTCACGTCCATCGGGTCCATAAAAGACCGGTTCATCGCTCAGGCGCGGCGGCTCAGTAACCGTATCCTCCTCTCCGCCCAAGGAATTCGACACCTTCCTGCCCCAGTTGTTCTGCTGCAATGAGATCACACTGGCTGCCATCGGGTACTTGCCCGGCGATTTGGCCTCAATGGCCTGCAATGCAATGATGATATCCTGCATGTCCTTGGGGCAATCGGCAGTAAGATCATAGCCGGCCAGCTTAAGAGTCTGGCAAATGCAACGCACATTCTCATTGCTCTCGCTGGCCAGCAGCTTACTCAGCGAGTACACAATGTTCACGGCAATCAACTGAAGACGTGAGTCGTCCTCGCCGCGCAATTGCATGTACAGCTCGGCGAGGAAGAGTGCTGTCTCGCGCACCTTCTGCTGCTCGCCGGAGCGCATGTACTTGGTAACTTCCTCCTGATGGTAGTCCAACTTGCACTTGAGCAGTGTGTGGAAAAGCGAGTCCGGCTTGAAGTTAAGCATGTGCAAAAGGTTGTAGAGCTTGGCGCCCATGTATCGGAAATTTGGCTGCTCGATCGACTTTTCGAAAATGTCTTCCATTGCAATAGAAAGCACGTAGTTGTTATTCTCCATGCCATCGAAAATGGTCAGGAAACGCGAAGCAATCGCATCAAATTGGCCCGGATTCTGTGGGAGAGTGTAAAAAATATTTGTTAAGTACATGTGTCATAAACTGGCAGACTCCCCAACATTCCCAGATAAGAAAATTAGCTTCTTGGTACTCACCTGGTTAAGGCAATGTATGACGGTGTCAAGGTATTCCAGTGCAATGGTTGCCATGTCCGGCTGAGCGTTCGAGTTGGAGTTGGCCGACGACGAGGACGATGCCGCAGCGGATGATGTGCTCGGTTGCTGTTGCTGCTGTTGTTGATGGTTCTGGTTTTGGAAATACTGCTGCTGCTGGTTGTGCTGGTGGTGCGCGTGCTGCTGCGGCTGCTGCTGGTGGTGCGTCGGCTGTGCGAGTTGTTGGAATGAGTTATTCAAGTGGGCATGCCTTTGAAACTTGACGTGTTGGTGTGATTGCTGCTGTTGTTGTTGGTGGTGGTGGTGTGTGTTTGGTTGGTGTACCTGCTGCGGATAGAAGTTACCCGTCGCCTGCGGATTTCCAATGTTCAATCGATTCTGCACCGAATTGGCCAGCTTGTGCATGTCATTGTTGAACTTCTGATGGTTGTGGTGATGGTTGTAGTGGGACTGCTGTTGGTGGTGCGGCTGCTGCTGATTTTGATGATGGTGCTGCTTATATCCATTCGCATAGCGCTGCTGCTGTCCGTGGTGGCCGCCCCCTCCGCCGCCACCACCCTGCTGCTGGTACTGCGGCTGGTGGCGCTGATGCGGTGGAGCACCTCCACGAGGAACAAAAATACTGGCCGCGGCCGAGAGCTTGGCCTGTGCCGGAATCGGCTGCTGGTATCCCGAAGCTACTGCCTGATAGTCCTGAACCTGGGCGTAGGCCTGACGGGCCCCAGCCCCGTACTCGTAAAGATGGGCCTGCTGATCTAAAGGCATGCCTCCTCCAACGGGACCACCGGCGTTTGGGCGGCGCAGCTGCTCATACTGGTCATCGGGCTGAAAGGGGGCGCGGCATTCCATTGTGGCAGCGGTGGCAACTGAAATCGAAACCAATTATCAACCAAAATCGGATTAGTTACCAATACGTTGTATCACATTTGGTAGGCAACTCCAGCGTGGCCACATCCACATTCACAACTCCGAGCGTCACTGGGGACGCCAATGTCGCGGACATTTTGTTTTCTACTTTTGTAAAACTTTTTTTTTTTTTTCTTTCTTCTTTGAGGCGAGGTGATTCTTTTGAAAATTCACTTTTCACTGCCGAATGTCTCTGGCTGTCGGAATGAAACGCTTATGATTGGAAAAGCCTACCTGAATTCTGTCAAAGCCGAACGAGTATACGTCGCCGATTTTCTTTTTTCTCGTTGCTTGCGTCGTCACCTTTTCAACTTTCGCCTGCTTTCGTCTGTCTGGTCGTTCCTCTACGTCGGTTCCACGCTGCCTGATAAGTTTTAATGGCTTATATTACTCTGCGATCTGACCGCTGGCCAATTAACAGCATTTGCTTATCGCTACGCACCTATTATTTGCGCTATTGGCAATTTTTTAGAATTAATATTTCGCCTTTTCACCGTCGGGTTCGGTGTGACCACATGCTTCTTGCAAAAATTTCACCTGGCTTCGCTGTGGCACGGTGGTTTTTATCGATAGTTGGTAGCGCAGGTAAATTATATATACAACTTCTTGTAATATGCTTTGATTTAAAATATTTATTATAATTACCAAATCAGAATCTAAAAAAGGAAATTATTAATATAAGAAATGTATAATTTTTGAGATTGGGATAATTTTTGTATCTATTGTGAACCATCGAAAATATTTTATAATTTGCAAAATGAAACTAACAAAGTATTATTATTTATTATAAATTATTATTTATTTATGAATCTCAAGAATTTACAATAAAAGAATAGGTAAATTTTGTACTTAAACAATGGAATCAAATCGGCTTGTTATTTTTTTGTATAGTCACTACATATACGGCTGGTCACACTATTGTTTGTTGTCTGTTTTTCGCCAGCTTGCATGTGCAATTAATTTATTTTTTTAATTATTCCCGTAGCTTTGCTTAGTGGGCGTGACAGCCAAAACCATGTGAGCACAAAGAAAGTGACACAAGTGTCTAGCCGCAGCATCAACTAATTTAAGATAAAGTGCAATATTTACACATATACGTATTTTTTAAAATATAAGTGCGACGATTTCGTTATAAATAAACTAAACGTGAGTATTCTGGCGAAATATGCAGGTGGATAGCACCTGCTACTATACCGAATCCTTATATATTCATATTTTTCGGTTGCTCCAGTCCCAATATTATTCAATTTTAGTGAATCCCCGAAAGTTCTTCAAGTAATTCATTTCTTAGTTCCTTTCTGAGGTCGCAGTGACGTTTGTGAGTCAAACGACAATAGATGTATGTGTGATAAACCGCCAAGTTCATTCACACTTATCTGTTGTTATGTTTATACTACACTGGAAAAAACAAATATGTACTATACCGCACTTAAACTACTATTGTGTGGATGAATGATAAATTGTGGCTTTGAGTGGCAGATTAATTGGAGAATTTTCTTAGAAATTATTACAAAACATTCTACAAACAATAGGTGGGGCAACTTCCCTCAGTGCATCATTACCATGACTCATCCTTTCATCTTATCTATAAGTTAATTCAACAAATGAACAGTAGTGCTCGATCGATTTGATCCAATCCGTTCCATATCCGAGTTTGGCGTTGGATCATTGAGAACTCGAAAGTGCAAGGATTTTCAGTGGAATTGCCATTTTTGATGTGTCATGAGTTCTAAATGTTTGGAGTTAATCACGTTTGTCTCCTTGGCCACTTGTTGCAAAAACAACATCTTTTGAGTGAAGCAATTTCTTATCTAATTTCACCATTCTGCCTGGTCGTCTGGTCGTGCATTGTTTCCAAGTGGGTCAAGACCGCTTGGCGCCGAAAATGAGCGATAAACGTCCTTACATCTGTGTTCACTTGTCCAATACGATTTATTATTTTGGCCAAATATTCATTTACTTTTCTGCATTCTGTATTCTAGTGCCAAATAAAGATAATTATGGCGGTCCTACAGCACGGATATAAGGACATCATGTTTGTCTACTTGGAGGCATTCAAAAAGGATTTCGATTGCAAGGATGTCCAGGATTCCCTTCACAGTATTTTGTCAAAGGAAGAAATCGAGAGAATCATCAAAAGCAAGGATGCCGAGAGGGCAACGTATCGACTCTTTTGGTCCTTGCTCGCCAAGCCCGAGTCGCTGGTGAAGGACTTCGTCGAGGAGGTTTTGAATCCGAAAGATCAGCCAAACTACGAATTCCTGACAGCTGCCCTACAGGCTGAATACCAGCGACCTAGCATAATAACCAAAATGTACATCGAGCAGCGGGATCGCCTCTATAACGATAACCAAGTCTTCGCCCAGTACAATGTCAACCGTCTGCAGCCGGTAAGATATTTCTCATTTTAATAAAAATATTTTAACTTATTTATATTCAAATTCCAGTATCTGATGTTGATGAACGCTCTGCTTATGCTCAGGCCTGCCAAAAATGTGGTTATAGATGGTGCACTGGGTTCCGGAAAACAGTGGCTAGCTCTGGACGTTTGTTCTTCGTTCAATGTTCAGCACGCCATGGACTTTAAAATCTTTTGGCTGAACATGAAGAACTGCACCAGTCCCGAGTCTATTCTGGAAATGCTACAGACCCTGCAGCATCAGATAGACCCCAATTATTCACCGCGTAGTGATCCGCCCAGCAATATCAAGCAACGGATTCTGAGCACCCAAGAGGAACTGAGACGCCTGCTGAAGAGCAAGCCCTACGAGAACTGTCTTCTGGTCCTTCGGAATGTCCAAAGCGAGAAGGCTTGGAGTGCCTTTAACCTGAGCTGCAAAATCCTTCTGACGACGAGATTCAAGCAGGTCACTCAGTTTCTATCGCCGGCTACCACAACTCACATTTCCTTGGACGATCATTCGCTGATGCTGACACCAGATGAAGTGAAAGCCTTGTTCCTCAAGTACATTCACTGTAGTCCGCAGGACTTGCCAAGGGAAGTGCCTACGAAGAATCCGCGAAAACTAAGCCTGATTGCCGAGAGCATCAAGGATGGTCTGGCCACTTGGGAAAACTGGAAACAGTGAGTATATATTTATATGTTTCAAATTCAATTCCCAATGGCATATAATTATTTCTTGTAGTGTTAATTGTGACAAGCTGGCGACCATCATCGAGGGGGCGCTTAAAGTTCTTGAGCCGCTCGGCTACCGGAAGTTGTTTGATAGACTGTCCATATTCCCTCCCTCCGCCCACATACCCATCAATGTAAGTGCGTTCTACACCGAAAAGGCCATTGTTTGTAATCGTTATCACCCCAGCTCCTATCTCTGATTTGGTTCGACGACAAATCCAGTAGCGAAGATGCGATGGTAGTGGTGAATAGGCTTCACAAATACTCTCTAGTGGAGAAACATCCTGAAGAGTCGACCATTAGTATACCCGCAATATACTTGGAGTTAAAAGTGGATGGTGACGATCATGCCGCGTTGCATCAAAGGATTGTTGATCACTACAAGTGAGTATAATGAACATTCCGGATGGTGATATTTAAAACAAAGAAATAAACGTAACTTCATCAATCACAAATCACCCGTCATTCACTTTATATGGTGGAACAATAAAAATATTCTCTCTTTGAAGCATCACAAAGGCATTCGACCATGACGACTTGATTCTGACCTCCCTGGATAGATATTTCTATAGCCACATTGGGCATCATCTTATGGCTATTGAGCCAACCGAAAAGGTGGCTCTGTTTCGAAAGGTTTTCCTCGATTTTCGCTTTCTGGAGCAAAAGATTCGACATGATACGACGGCTTGGAATGCCTGTGGATCTATTCTAGATACCCTGCACCAGTTGAAATTCTACATGAAGCACATTTGCGGTAATTATTCCATTTAAACGAATAAAAACTTAATATTTATTAATTTTTTTAATATTAGATAATGATCCTCATTTCGAAAGATTGGTAAATGCCATATTAGATTTTCTGCCAAAGATAGAAGAGAATCTTATTCGTTCCAAGTTCACGGATCTCCTGAGAATTAGCCTAATGGACCAAGATGAAACCATTTTCGGAGAGGCATGTCGGCAGGTTCAACAGTTCAAGGACCGCGTTTGGTTTTTAGACCAGTGAGCATAAATAATCCCTCTATCTTTAAGATAAATGTTAACTATTTCAACTATTTTTAGTGGTCGGTTTCATCAGCGTCGGCAGATCATCAATTTGGGCAACAAGGAAGTGCGCCTGGTTCTGTATTTGAACGACGATTTCTGCCTTATGGCGTTGGCTGGTCAGGAGCTTCTCCTCACCGATGTGTCGCTGGAAGCAGAGGACACCTACCTCCTTAAGGACGAAAACGACAGCAGTGAAACTCTAAGGATGGAAGTTTTTAACAACCAGAAGCACTTGATCACTCTGCATAGCAACGGCAGCGTCAAGCTCTGGACACTATGGCCCGAATGTTCGGGTCGACGCCACAGTGCCGGCAGTCGACAAAGAGTGCGGCCCCCTGGCTCGGCTCACCTCCGCAAGCCCACCGAGACTCGCGGCCCCAAACAGCTGGTAAACAGTGCAGTGAAACGCCTGATTGTCAGTCATTTCGACCAAAAAATCACAGCATTTTATTTAAACGAGGATTCACTGTCTGGTAACAAGACGCAGCTTCATGTGGCCTTCAGCAACGGAGATGTGAACATTCTAGAGTGGAATGAGATCGATCAGGTCTTTAAAAAAACACAAACGCCGACTCTAAACACAAATCAGCTGGAAATACGATCCATTGTTCAGGTTCTTAAACGATACTATGTGGTAGTCACCGAAGATTCGACGCTAACTGTCTGGGATCTGTTCAATAGCTTCGGTGACAAGCCGGATCTACCAGGCTTCGATGTTCGAAATGACACCCTGTTGGCCATGGAGGCCTATGACGAGAGAAATGAAAATGCCACCGTCTTGCTAATCTTTAAACACACTGTTTGGCGGCTGAAGTTTATACCGGGACGCCTGGTAGTTTTAGATCAGGAAGCCGTGGAGCTTTCAGAAGGAAACTACATCACCTGTGGCAAACGTTCGGCGGACGGCAACTACCTTTTGCTGGGTACCATTGAGGGTTTAATTGTGTACAAGTTCGATAGCGATGATCCGGTTCTCCGGAGCAATGTCAGCGAGCAAATAGAATGCGTGGATATTTATGAACTGGATGATCCGGCGTTCAAGTACATTGTTTTGTGCGGAGCCAAGGGCAAGCAGGTTCTTCACGTTCACACCTTGCGCGCCGACCCACACAATAGGAGAGGAATCGTCTGGGTGCATAGCGCAGACGAGGCCAGTGTAAAGACCAGCGCCCGCTTAGAACCGAACATCTACCTCCGATCGCTGATGGACATGACGAACGAAAGATCTCAGCTTCTGGTGGTCGACTCGAAAGAGAGAATCCACCAGATCGAAACAGCTTCCGATCCAAATGCCCGTCGCAGATCGAGCATTTCGACGTGGTCCACAATTACCCCAACCCACGGGGCCTCCAAAATGAGGATTACTGCCATATCTTCCCACGACCATGAGCATATTTTCGCTGGCTACGCGGATGGCGTGATAATCGATGTCAACCGGGATGAAGTACTGCCACAGGAGTTTATAACTGAACCCATTGACTACCTCAAGCAAGTTAGCTCCAACGTGCTGGTGGCTTCGTCCCACGATGCTCAGAAGACTGTGATATTCCAGCTGAAGGAAGCGGATAACGAGCAATGGCCCCTCTATTTAAATATAGGAACTAAGTACGCATGTCTAGTTGGAGGTCCTTTTCTTGTATTGTTCTCCGACCACGGGGTGTCTGTAAGTAGATCATTCTTTCAAATGTACCATTTAAATGAAAAATATAATTTTTCCTTCTAGCATGTGGACTTGACCAACCCTTCAGCCTTCGTTAGACCCGAGGAATCCGACGATTTCTTGGTTGGCTTTGATTTAAAGAATGGTCTTCTCTTTCTTGCTTACGGAAACAATTACATCGAGGTAGGATTCAGGAAACCACCTTTAAAAAAGGATCTCTATAACTAGAAACATTATCTGCAGGTGTTCCGGTTAGTCTTCAGTGATTCTCACCTGTCGTACAAACTGATTTGTGAGGAAAAGATCGTACAAAGGGATAAGATCACCTACTTAGCGGCCAGCGAGGATGGAACTATGTTTGGCGTGGGATTTAGGAATGGGATTATAGAGGTATGTTATTTCTAACCACCCTCTACCTGAATGCAGTAAAAAAGTATTTAATTTTCGAAACAGCTTTTCTCACTGGATGACAGACAAATAACTCTGATCAATAGTATTCAGGAGGTCCATGAGCGTCCTATCCGCCAGTTGCGATTCTCGCCCTGCAAGCTACTGCTGATCAGCTGCGCCGAACAGTTGTGCTTCTGGAATGTGACCCATATGCGCAACAACCAAGGAGAGCAGCGCCAAAAACCGAGCCGCAGCCGCCGCATCAAACTGCACAGTGTGGCCCATGAAGACTCCGTGGATGCGGCTCCGATTGCTTCCGATTCTGATGCAGAGACGCCCATGTTGCCGCGTCAGTCCTTGGCCGACAGCCAGAGGGAGGCGGAACTGTGGTTAAATAAGCGGGGAAATGCTGACCGGCCGGAGCTTCTAGCCTGCATAAAGTTCGTTGGAGATGAAGCCCGGCAGTTCTTTACCGACAGCACGTTCTCCAAGTTCTATGTCATCGACGACGAAGGTGTCTATTATCACCTGATATTGCTGGACCCAAGTAGACTACAGCTCCCGGAACAAAGTATGGAGAAGATTACCGATCGTTCACTGGATCAGATTGGAGATCTGCGATATGAGGAGTATCTGCGAATTGTTGAAAGCCCAACCGGGCAGACTGAAGACAGCGAGGGAGCCGATGTCGTGGGTAGTTTAGTCCTGGACAAAAATAGCACAATAGATGACATTGATTTGGAACCGCCAAACACGATACTCGAGGAGCACACCTCATGACGCCAGTGGTGCGCCTCTTTGGGGCGCACAAATCTGGATAGTGAACCCTACAACATGGCATTTATAGGCTTACTTATCTATTACCTAGTGGTATTGTTATTCTACCTCCTGGGACCCGATTTGTCCTAGGCAACTGTTCGTCTGTATGTATAGTAATCATCAAACAAAAAGTCATATCTCAGAGGGTGCGCGGGGGCGTTGTCCTGCCTTTTGTTGGCAACCCACCCACCCACTATACCGCGAAATAAACGACATTTTACGAAACGACAAAGCGAAAGTTCATTGCCTTTTCTCTGCATTTTGAATACGAACATTTTTCTCATGACATGACATGGGTGTTTCAAGTAGAGTATCTTTACCCCAAAACACAACAATTGCAATTCGTATCTATAGTTTTTGTCTGGTGGCCGTATAAGACACGGAGGGTGGGGGCCGCTCCTACGATAAAAGGGGGCCACTGTGAGCATGTGTGGGTGGGTTTGTTTTGATTTCTAGATGGCACGCAAGATCGAGTGTTGCAAAACCATGAGCCCTCCAGTGCTGGAAAAGATCCACGCAGTATGCAACCGACAACACTGAAATTAAAAACGAGACTTTCACAGCACTGTTACAACATTGTTTTTTTAAAGAAAGAACGAACACCAGCGTGAAACTGAAAAAGAACGTCGAGCGCTCGCGAAAAAAAAAAGAAAAAAAAATACCTGCTTTTGTGGTATGCAATTAATCGCAATTCGAGTGCAGTAGAGTAAGTGCTTCGCGAAAGCAATCGCAGATGGGTTCAGTTGAGTTGCGTGGAGGAGGAGGGAGGCGAGAGGCAAGAATGATGCGCAGCCCGTTCGTTTTCATTTTGGTTTCGTTCGGTCCGTGAGCTCATTGCACAAAAGCAATAAATGACTTCAAGTGCTCACACATACTGTCGGAGCGAGAGCAACAAAAAAAATGCATACACACAATTGTGGCCTGGTGCATACTATGTGCATATTTGTCAAATGAAAAAAAAAATGTTATTCGCCGTTCGCCCAGGAGATAGTGTACGCGAAATTGGTTGAAAATGATCTCTAACCTATCGAACGCATACATACACACATACACATATATGTAGAGTGGCAAGCAAAAGCAACAGCACCAACAACAACAACTAAACAATATGGCTGCCGCCACTTGTTAGAGATATAACAACAAAATCGGAGTGAACCAAGCCGTCCAGTTGTTTATCGTGTGCTAATTAGTCTGATCGCCGCCAGTATCCGTACCCGTACCCGTACCCGTACCCGCACCCGCACCGCCAAGCCGTACATCCCTAAAATCGAATTAAGCCCAAGTACTGGCGCGGTTCAAGAGTTCAAATCCACCCAAAAGGCATACAGAGAAAATTTCACACGAAATGCGTTTGCGTTTGCGGCGATGATCGCACTCGCGCTACCACCCTCCCCTCCCCACACTCCCACACACACAGACAAACACAAACACACACTAACACTAACACATACAAATACGAAGCACACACCATAGGCGTTTGTTGTGTGTATACATATTTATTCAATTAAATATTTGCGTTTAATTATAAAGAAGTGAAATTGCAAGATTTGATTTATTTTTCGAGTGTATGTCAACATAGAAGTGAGATCAGAGCAGTGGGAGAGAGTCGTCTTAGTTGTTGTTGTTGTTTTCTATTTTCCATGCTAATTGAATTGGCTTGAAAGTAATTTATTGAACAATCAGCTGTTTTTATTCAAAGTGTCGCAATATCGGAGCAGGATTAGGATTCCACATCGGATACGGAATTGGCAAAAAAAAATGTGCGTGTGTATACTCCTGTCCGCGTTGACCCATTAGTATTTTATTAGTATTTTAGTTTTTTTTTTTTTTCGGCCAAAACTCGTTTTCCCCCCTCAAAGCCCCCAACAAGAGCGTCGTCATCCATTAAATGTGTTTCGTGAAAACTAGTCAGCAAAAAGCACAACAACAACAGCAGCAACAACAACAACAACGGTTTTAGGGGAGCACAGGGCGCAGACGTTAACGGAAGTGTGAGAGTGAGAGAAAGAGAGGGAGCCAAAACAGACAGAAGCAGTCAAAATATTAAGAAATCCTTAAAAAAAAAAATAAAGTTAAAAAAATATATATAATTATTAATATTATTATAAAATATTAAGAAAATAAAAACTTTAAATTTTTTTAAACTAAAATCTGGATATGTAACTAATATTTTGACCGCTATTGTTTCTATTCCCGTTAGTGTGTGTGCGTGTAGGAGAGAAAGAGAGTGTGCGCGTGTGGGTGTGTGCTCTGTTTGGAATAAAAACAATGAAACTGCAAGGAGATCGCTGCCTGCATTTCGCCTCTCTCCCCCACCCCCTTGCAACGCCCACCCAAAACACAAAAATATTTTAATGTACATGCATTAATGCCAATAATCTTCAAACGAATTTCTACGCTCGCAGGTTTAAGTGAAAAGTGCAAAGTGTAGTGCAAAAAAAAATAAATATTAAATCCAATAATAAAAAAAAAAATAATAAACAAAAAAAAAAAAAAAACAATACTGACCAAAAATCGACGCAATTTAAATCAGTTCTGGAATAGCGATTTTTCGGGCCGTTTTACAATCAGTTTTTGGCGAGCTCATTTAAAAATAGCTCCATCTAATTGCGTGGAAGGTGGCCCCTACTCTGGGCAAGAAAGAAACCCCCCCGTACCCCCTCCACCACCTCCAATGAGAAGCACACCTATTGGTATTATCCAAGTGGCTTACGCATGCCTTTGAATTTGCATCTCCAGACAACAGCAGTCAGCAGCTTCCATCCACCAGAGAGTATCCTATGGATGACCCATCAATAAAAACACGGTGAGTTCAGCATTGTATTAATATTAATGATATTAATACTAAGTCAGTTATAAGACTGACTCATAGTTTAATTGCTTTCCGCGATAACGAAAATATGTTTCCTGTTTCACTTCCCTCGAGAGAGATACAATACTATGTTTTTATACTCGAGATGAATGAGTGAAATATTTCAATGAAATAAGATTTGTATAAAATATTTAAAAGGGTTTAAATGTAAATAGTTTAGAAGTAATGAAGTTAACTAAGAGATAACTAACAGGAACCAATACCCATAGCTGATATGCCAAGGGCTTGGATTATCAAAGGCTTGCTTTTAGTTAGTTTTAGTTTTTAAATTGGGTTTAGTATTAAGTATTAGGAAATAAATTTCTGAAACGCACTGTTCATTTTCTACCAATATGTATAGTTTCGCCCCCCAATGACCTGGGGTTGGTTTGGATGACTTAATACAGAGACAAATACAAGCCAAACGAAGGTGTAGTAGGGAGCGGCCAGTTTTCACATTTTAGCATTTATTTCTTTTATTGCCGCCAGGGGAAGTTTTAGCCCAAATACGAGTAGATTTGGCGAAACCAATAGCTTTCTACCAAGCTCAGCTAAAGGTGGTGGTTTTTTTTTTTAACTGGTTTCAGTTTGGAAATAATTTTCGGATCTAAAGATAGATAGTTGGAGAGCGAATTCCCTTATAGATCAAACAGAGAGACATATTATTGACAGAATCAGTCAAAAAAAAAAAAAAAAATTATAAAAATGTAAACATTTGTGAGGCTATTCTGAGGTCTTGTCCGGCTGTTATGGAAATATCTCATCATCATGATGATGATGAATTCACCAGGCTGGCCTGCCTGGGAGTCGGGAAATGAGCTTTTATTATAGTCAGTCCGGTATATAGACAAATCCGCACGTACATACATATATCCATTGCCCATTCACATGCAAAATGATCAAATAAACAGCAATTAAACTGTATCTATTCTTTTGGCTGATTTAATTTTAGCTCAATTAAAAGAGCCACCCATCAGGTAGCAGCCATCAGACATCCAACTACTAGAGATCGCTTGACATTGGCTTTATGGGTTGGCTTTGGCCGTGACTTTCGTTACATGTTGGTCGCTCTCGGTCGGTAATCAGCGACCCCGCCTAATCACAAGCTATCTGGTGGGAATGGGTGGCAGAATGGCAGAAAACAGTTCCGTCATGAAATGATTTGGCTTTGATTGCCGCTCATAGATGATTGCCAATCTGCATGGGTCCATTCCATGAATGCCATGAAACTATTTCCATAAAATGCCATTTTTGTGGGTATTTGTGGGTAATTAAAGGAAGTAGTCTATAGATCCCAGTCTTTGTTCCATTGTTTTGAAGATCCACTAATATTTAGTATCTCATCCATCCACCAGGTTAATAGATTTGTATGAACATGAATACGATGAAGTCCAGGAGCTGCCAGAAGAAACAAGTATTCAGCCTCAGCCCCCGGAGTCAAGCACAACATCCACGAACGGCACTGCAGCAGCTACTGGAGGCACAGGAACATCTGGTGGAGGGCCATCTGGAGTTTCGTCGCCACCGGCGCCAGCCATCGCTGTGGATTCGGTACCCGAGCTGCCAGCGCCCAAGCAAAAGTCTGTAAAGAATTCCAAGAACAAACAGAAGCAGAAGCAGGTGGCGAACAAGTCGAAAATTCCGAGATCCCCATCGCTGGCGAGCAGCTTAAGCAGTCTGGCCAGCACCCTGAGCGGTCATCGGGATCGCGACAAAGATCGGGACCGTGATCGGGAGAACCACAATAGCCAGAGTTCAGTTCCTCCACAGACGCCGCCGTTGCCAGCCAGCTACCAGCAGTCGAATAAGCAGCAGGGCCAGATGAATGGTGACACCAACACCACCACTACCACTGGTGGAGGTGTGGCGACACCATCCACGCCCACGTCCCTCAACAATAACAATGCCAACAGTAGCAACAACAACGGCAGCATAATGACCGGAGGTGTGCCACTAAATCAGCAATCGGATGGCGTCCAAACGCCGGGAGAGCGGAGCAGTCTTAACCTGGGCGGCGGTGGCCATTCCCAGGAGCCCACCACTCCAGTGACGACACCGGGAATAGTATTACCAAAAAATTTTCAGTATTTAACCCTAACCGTGCGCAAGGATGGCAACGGATACGGCATGAAGGTATATATGAGCTTCCAAGCTAGACCCTAAGATTTATTGGACAGCTTTTTGTTTGCAAAACTGAGTTTTGATGAAATTCGTTTGTTTTTGTTTGCAATTAGTAGTCGTACGATGAGGTGGAAGTTTGAAACCAAAACCTAATCCTACTCCCATTCATCTCTCTCAGGTTTCCGGCGACAACCCGGTGTTTGTGGAAAGCGTCAAGCCCGGAGGGGCGGCTGAGATTGCGGGCCTCGTTGCCGGCGATATGATACTGAAGGTCTGTGGAGCAATCGTTTTCCGCTGAAGACGGACGATTATAAAGCTTGATCTTTGTTACATTCCAGGTTAATGGCCATGAAGTGCGACTGGAGAAGCATCCAACTGTTGTGGCTCTCATAAAAGGTGCGTAGTCCAACTACTAGTTCAAAATTGTCTAACAAACTTCACTTATTTTTAGGTTACAGTACAACAATTTGGTTTATTTGGGTGGGCTGGTTGGAGAGAAATCTTGGGCAGCAAGATTGCGGGAAAGATTCGTCAAGGGAAATGTCATCTTGGCCCACCCGGGCATCGGCACACCTTCTCCTTTTGCGGCAAGTCCTTGGGTGGGGGGCACTTGCGCTTCTCCTTGGGACAAGGCTTGGGCTGGCGCTGCTTGCACTTGCACTTGCACGATGACTTCTTGGCCGGACGCGGCTCGTAGATGAACTCGTCGTTGTAACGCTTCTGGCAGTGCGGCGGGATCAGCGGAGCCCGGGAACAGTTCTTGTCCTTGCAGTGCGGCACCAGTTCCCCCTTGGGTCGCTGGACTAAAGGCGTTTCGTCCAGCTGGTCCTTGGATATCTTGATCTCCTTCTTTTTCTGCTCCTGATACTTGCGAATGCTTTCCCTAATGGCCTGAAGGTAGAAGGGTATCTTCTCGAAAACGGCTGCCAGCCCATAGGGAACCAGACTCAAGACGTCGAAAACCGCCTTTACAAACTGATTGTAGTAATGGACGCCGAAGAAAGCCCACTGGCCCTGAGGTGGTGGCCTGGGCGGACACATTTTGAGCTTGCGACGAGCCTGATCCGCGTACGGCTCGATCTGATCCCGCGCATCCACATACACCTCCTGCGTGTCATCCGGGGAGCCCCAAACGCCATAGTTCCTAGTGGCCACGATCACGGCATATACAATCCCAGCTTTCACAATCAGACCGACAACCATTTTTCCAGCCCCTCCAGTAAGGTTTCCCAAAGTTTTGTTTGAATTTTGACGGATGGAGTGATGGGGTCTGCGTTCACCCTCGTTTCTTGCACGTCACGTCATCCTTAATCTTGGGCGAACGTACTGGTCTTCCGGACTTGGATTGCATATCGTGCGGCATCTCGTTGAAGAAGCTAGTGCCCATGTTCTCCGATATCATGCCGTATCTGTCTGGTCGGAGATCACCGTGAAAGTATTTGGATTTCTGCCTCGAGAGCTTTGATTCGTTAGAGGTAGTGCTTGTTTCGTGGAAGGGACTGGCTATAATCTCACGGGTGTGCTCCTTAAAGTCCCTCGCCCAGTCGGGCAGCCGGAACGAGAAGTAGAATCCTCGCTGGAGGGCCAAATCGCAAGCGTGGGCGGCCAGTAGCTGGAAATCCTTGGATTCCCTGGGCGGCAGTCCCATCCCCTCTGTCTTGTCCTGATTACCGAAATATTTCGTCAGCATTGTAACCCCTGTGACCTCACCCTGAAGCTATATTGATTTTGATTCTCTCTGATTTCGACTTGAATATTTTGTGATTTAAAATTGCATTTTAAAAGCCAACTAGATTGGATTTAGTTTATTTAGTTCTGGTCTTTAATTAAAATTTAGGATTTCTGTAAAGGCGGTGGCTATTTTTTTCCTCCATCGAAAAATTTACTGACGCTCTCCTGAACATCGGCCGCGGCCCGGGACCAGTAGTCCGGAATCTTCTTTATGGCTAGCCAGGTGTCGTACAGGGCATCATTGATGGCTTCCGTAAGGGGTTTCGGCTTGGGCTCGCACAGGGGAGGCTGGCAGAGCTTCTTACCCAAGTCCTCTTGGGCCCGTTTCATCCGCCGTTTGTCCTCCTCGTCAAAGAGAAGTCGATGACTATCAGGCGCCATCAGGTCCTTGGGAGTGGGCTTCTCTTCGTGGCCATCAGCCCCAACCGGAAGATCAGAGGCTGGTCTCTCCGCCCCAACCCGATGTCCAACCTCATCCCAGCTGCCGAACTCCTTGGCCAAGTAGATGGTGCCGGCCAGGACCAAGAACCTTACGAATCTGCCCAAAATCATGTTGAAAGTTTGCCTGGATTTTAATTTGGATATTTCATAGTGTGGGAGTTGTTTTTATTTCCAAAACAGGGACTATATTGTCTAATTTCGAGATATTTTTCAAAGCTTTATTGACATTCTGGTTTTGGTTCGGTTTCAGCCTCTACTACAGTGGAGCTTGCCGTGAAGCGAAGCCAAAAAATGACGCGACCCACTTCGGTTAGTGTGGTGACGCCCTCGACCCCGATACTTTCTGGAAGGGATCGCACTGCTTCCATAACAGGACCCCAGCCAGTGGATGTAAGTTTATCGGAAATTGTACTTGTAGATGCTTTACTTTAAAGATTCATTCTCCAACAGAGTATCAAGCGACGTGAGATGGAGACGTACAAAATCCAGACGCTGCAGAAAATGCTGGAGCAGGAGAAGCTGAATCTGGAGCGCTTGAAGGGTGACCAGAACAATCCCAGCTACAAGTTGTCGGAGGCGAACATTCGCAAGCTGCGCGAGCAACTGCATCAAGTGGGTGCCGAGGTGAGTAGGGGGGCATAATGGTAGTGTGTAGGGCATAGCCTTGAGTTAATTAGGTAAGGTCCAGGTCCAGATCTCCCACCTCCTTCCACCAACATCAAATTAATAAACGGCCAAGCTAATATAATCCAAGCTAACCCAGCTCTCTCGCTGTTCGTAACAAATATTTTTGGTTTGTGATGCGCCGAAACAAAATTACCCGAAAGCTCCAACTCCAACCCGATGAACTTCAAACAGGGCAGGGATCGGTTGAAACGAATTGATGCTACATGATCTCTCTCTTTCTCTTCCATCTTGAAACCATCACGATACCCTAACACAGGATGCACCGACTGTTAAGCTCCAGGCAGCCGCCGGCAACAAGAACACTGCATTACTAACGCCCAACCAAATCCAACACTTGTCCACGTCCGCGTCCGCCACTCACAGCAATCAGCAATTCCATCCTCTCCACCACCATCACAACCACCACAACAACAACTACCCGCAGCAGCCGACACATCAGCAGCCCAGCAGCAACTCCTCACCCGCATTCCTCTCCCTTCTGCCGCGTTCCCTTTCGTCCCTCTCCCTGGGCACTCGCAAGAACAAGATCGACAAGGATTTCGGCGGTGCATCGTCGCCCTTCGGCCTAACGACTGACTTCCTGCACAACCAGCGTATGAGCCACCAGGCCGAGTCCATGTCGCAGTCCCTGCACCAGCATACAAGCTCCACACCCACCTCCACGCAGTACCACCAGCAGATGCAGCAGCAGCAGCATCGGTTCAAGGACTCGGGATCCTCGTCGAAAAGCAAGAACAAGTTCGCCATCTCGAGGAGCCTCATTGAGGAGGATGTGCCACCGCCGCTGCCGCAACGCAACCCACCTAGGACACTGAACTTGGACCTGAAGAACGGCAATGCATCACCTGGAGGCGGGTTAATGGCTCCCGTTTCCGACCTGGACCGCGCCACCAGTCCCCAACTGAACCGATCACAGCAGCAGCATCACTTTCCCAGCAGCAACGAGAATAGTCCCAGCAACGCCAAGTCCAAACGTTCCAAAACCAAGACCAAGGCCCTGTCCGACCCAAAGATGTCCACGCAAATGTTCCTGCAAATGGAATCGGCCAGTTCGGGAGGAGCTGCCGGTGGATCTATCGAAGTGGACGGTGGTCCACCGCCACTGCCGCCTCGATTGCCGGGCATGATGACCGAGGAGATGAGTCGCGGCAGCTGCCAGAATCTCAACCAACCGAACTCCGTGGCCACGTCGTTTAACTATCCACTGGTGTCCACCACCACCGCGGTTCAGGGCGACAACATGAAGAACGCCTTTCCGCTCTCCCAGCGGCCCAATATTGTCCAGCAGCTGCAGCAATACCAGCAGCAGCAGCAGCAGCAGCAACATCAAATGGGTGGTGGCCAGGCCACATCAGTAAGTAGCCACAGAAACTATCTCTACCGGGAACCACAACCTCAATCTTTAATCCCCTTATTCTTTAATCTTCACCACCCCCCCCTCGCACCTAACATTTATGTGTTTCATTGCTTTTATAATTTAACCAACGCTACCCCATGAGTCTAAACCTTAATATGTTATTAATATTAATATTAATTTTAATCTGCTTACTGCCAGCGACAATAACAGCTACCAAACACCTTTGACTACACCTGAGTAACCCTCGGGATATTATGTGTATTATTTGTGGGAGATGACTGTAGTTTCTATAAGCTATCTGCAGGTTTAAATAGATATTGCCTCAGTTGGGCCTGATTTATGGGTTATTCTTTTAAGTATTATTCCAACCTTCACTTACATTCGATGTTTTACCTCCACAGGCTCTTGGACAGACGCCCAAGCTGGGGAAAAACAAACACCGTCGCGTCGGCTCTTCTCCAGACAATATGCATCCTCGGCATCCAGGTAAGAGAGCTTCTATATCCAATTCCAATCTCAATAAATTCATAAAACCCCCGTTCCAGATCGAATGACGAAAACCACCTCTGGCTCCTGGGAGATTGTCGAAAAGGATGGAGAAGTCACACCACCCGGCACTCCGCCGCCACCTTATCTCACCAGCTCGCACATGACAGTGCCCGAGGATCCCAACGAGAACTGTCGCGGCGGAGGGGCAGCTGGAATCTTCATCGAGTCCCATCAGTTCACACCGATAGCAGGCGCCTCGTCTCCCATCCCGACTTCTCTACATTCCTGCCACATTCAGGCGGCCCAGTCGAATGACACGCAGAAGGAGATCATCTCGATGGAGGATGAGAACTCGTCGGACGCGGATGAGCCGTTCATCGATGAAAACGGACCCTTCAATAATCTTACCCGTCTCCTGCAAGCAGAGAATGTCACCTTCCTCGCCATCTTCCTGAACTACGTGATCTCGAACTCGGATCCCGCGCCGCTGCTCTTCTACCTGATCACCGAGCTCTACAAGGAGGGCACCTCCAAGGATATGCGAAAGTGGGCCTACGAGATTCACTCCACGTTCCTGGTTCCTCGTGCTCCGTTGTCGTGGTACCGCCAGGACGAATCTCTGGCTCGCGAGGTGGACAATGTGTTGCAGTCCGAGTTCGATAAGGTGGAGATCCTGCGCACCGTCTTCCTGCGCAGCCGTAAGCGTGCCAGGGACTTGATTAGCGAGCAACTGCGCGAGTTCCAGCAAAAGCGCACCGCCGGTCTGGGCACTATTTACGGTCCCACGGACGACAAGCTGGCAGAGGCCAAATCGGATAAACTGAGGGAGCAGATTATCGACAAATATTTGATGCCCAACCTGCAGTTGCTTATGTAAGTAAAAAGACTCTTCTCCAAAGAACCAAGTCCCTAATCCATTTCTCCTCTTATAGTGAAGAGGAAAACACTTCTCCCGAGGATGTCCGTAAAGTGGCCCTCTGCTCGGCCCTGTCCACGGTGATCTATCGCATCTTCAACAGCCGGGCGCCGCCGAGCAACATTGTCGAGCGGGTCCATCACTTTGTGAGCAGAGACAAGAGTTTCAAATCGCGCCTCATTGGAAAGAATCGCAAGGTGAGAATCGAAATACGAAAATCTCGTCCAACCACAGCGCACATGTTTATTTTTAAACGTTTCAATTCAACACTCCATAGATGAACGTTCGTGGTCATCCATTGGTATTACGTCAATACTATGAAGTGACGCACTGCAATCATTGCCAGACGATAATCTGGGGTGTGAGTCCGCAAGGTTATCACTGTACAGGTAAACGCGCTCTCTCTTAAACTTGTGTACAAAATGATTCTCAATTCTCGCCATTTTCAGACTGTAAACTGAATATACACCGTCAATGCGCCAAAGTCGTTGACGAGAGTTGTCCCGGTCCTTTGCCGCAAGCCAAACGTCCTGCAAATAACGATAAAATCAGTAAATTAATGGGAAAAATTCGGCCGCGCACTAGCGACGTCATGGGAAGTAAGTCTGGGTAGCATATACCAATGGAAGCCTTAGATACTAATTGGTAATCTTTTCAGATGAGAAACGCAGTCGCCAAGAGGAGGATATGGATGTTGACCTGACGCCAGGTATATTTTCTCGCAAAGTTCTCCCAAAGAATCTCCCTCCTAATTTCATTACAATTCTCTTTCAAGATCGTGGCAACTCGTCGATTGTGCGCCAACCTTCCGATCGACGGCCAGATGCCAACATCTCTATACGTTCGAATGGAAACACTTCCTGCAACACCTCGGCACTGAACACTACTGACCTGCAGAGCTCTTTTCACGGCAGCTGCGCCAACGACAGTATCAACACCGTCGGTGGCGCCATGGACTTGTCCACCAGCGTGGCATCTACGGCACCGTCGAGCTGTGGCTCCGTTTCCGCCGGTCTGAGTGGCTTTGGCGAGCTGACGGCACAGGATTCGGTGGATAAGGATGCACGTAGAGAGCGGTATGGCCATGAAAAGCATGAATTTCTTGCAATTTTCACATAATTCGTTTAATCTTCCAGTTACACGCAACATGCTCAGCACAAGAGCGCCCCGGTGTCGGTGAATCGCTCGGAATCGTACAAGGAGCGCTTGAGCAACAAGAGGAACCGCAACAGTCGTCGCAAGACCTCTGATCCAAGTCTGTCGTCGCGACCCAAGTAAGTGTAGTTGTCGCGGAGAAGTCCTGACCTACTATCCCTTTTCGGTGGGCGTCTCAGCTTACCGAGTAAATTCTTCCATGCCACGAGACCACTCCCTAAACCCTCGCGGCTGAAGCTACCCCAAGTAACCGGATATTAATTTTACTAATTAATGTGAATTGCGCCGCAATGCAATCAATACTCGCTCGTATGTAGACGCTTTCCATTGCAGAACTTTTCCACAAACTTTCCGTACCATTCCCGGTTAGCTCGAAAAGATTCACGTAAAGTTTTTCATTTTAATTAAAGCACATTTTAGTTGGCGGGGCTATGATTAGGGGATATGAGTGCATTAATTCCTGCTGGCGAACTCCCAGACCGCCCCGCAGAGCACTCGACCGTCGACTAGGGTATCCCGCCTTCGAGTTGTCATTACAACTGTCCCCCCGTCTTTTGTTTACGGTGACTATTATCGTATATGTATGTGGTTAGCTTAGCAGTCACGGTGGATAGTTGATTAGACGCCGGCATTGACATCGATTATACTTTCCGTCCCTCCATTCGTCCCTCCACACCAGTGCCAGTCCAGCACCAGCGATGTTAGTCAATGCCAGGTCACCTCCTGGCATCCAGCTACCGCCATTTCTTACCATTTCCTGTTGACTAACTGTGCGAGCAACTGGTTTCATACAAACACCTGGTGCTGGTCGTCCTTAATTCTTAGTCCCTGTTGTCGGCTGTGACCTAAATCATCGGAGTGGAAGGATAGATAGAATATATCCAAATAATGGAAAGAAATATACGTTTTAATCGGAGCAAGAGCTTCAAGACAACACTGAATTTCGAGGGTTACAAGTAACATACTCCTCAATATTTAAAACAAATGCATTTTTCTTAAAAAATATTTCTCCAATCTAGTGAGGAGCAACCAGACTTGGGTCTCGCCAACGCAAACTATGTGGCCAGTTCAAATTCTAGTCTATCTTCAGCTGGCGGCAGCGAGAGTCCCAGCACCTCGATGGAGCACTTTGCCGCTGGTGGCGGAGCCGTGGGTGGAGTCCAGGCCATGCCGAGTGGCCTGAACCAGAACCAGCACCCCCACTTCTTGATTCAGCAGCACGCCCAGCAGCACTGCCAACAGGATTCCTTTCAGGGCAGCCTACCCGGATCGGCTGGCAGCGTTGCAGTCAACAGATTCTGGGGAGCTGGAGGACATCCCATGCCCAGGCAATGGAATATGGAGAGCGACGACGAGGACGATGTCAACGAGGCGGACTGGAGTTCCATGGTGGCCGCCGAGATGCTGGCAGCTCTAACAGATGCCGAAAAGAAGCGCCAAGAGATTATCAATGGTAGGTCTTTAATTATTTTATTCAAGGCTGGAATTTTTCACTAAAAGATTCATATTCCTCCTCCAGAAATCTACCAAACTGAACGAAACCATGTGCGCACCCTGAAGCTGCTTGATCGGCTCTTCTTTTTGCCGCTTTACGAGAGCGGGCTGCTCTCCCAGGATCACTTGCTGCTGTTGTTCCCGCCCGCCCTGCTGCACCTCCGCGAGATTCACGGCGCCTTCGAGCAGCAGTTGAAGGGGCGGCGCATCGAGCACAACCATGTGGTTAACCACCTGGGAGACCTGTTGTCCGAAATGTTTGATGGCCAATCGGGCGACGTACTCTGCGAATATGCAGCCCAGTTCTGTGCCCGGCAGCAAATCGCCTTGGAGGCGCTGAAGGAAAAGCGCAACAAGGACGAACAGCTGCAGAAACTGTTGAAGAAGTCCGAGTCCCACAAGGCCTGTCGCCGCCTGGAACTGAAGGACTTGCTGCCCACTGTGCTGCAGCGCCTCACCAAGTATCCCTTGTTGTTTGAAAATCTTTACAAGGTAACAGTGCGAGTGCTACCAGAGAACACCATCGAAGCAGAGGCCATCCAGAGAGCTGTGGAGTCCTCCAAGAAGATTCTTGTCGAGGTCAACCAGGCCGTAAAGACAGCAGAGGATGCTCACAAGTAAGTTTCAAGTCAGTTTCTTGAAAAACTTTTTCTTAATCTGGTTCCTGATGTATCTAGACTGCAGAACATTCAGCGCAAGTTAGACAGATCCTCCTATGACAAGGAGGAGTTTAAAAAGTTGGACTTGACCCAGCATCGCCTCATCCACGATGGAACTCTGACGATTAAGAAGAATCCAGGCGTTCAGCTTCACGGTCTTCTGTTCGATAACATGATCGTTTTGCTAACCAAGCAGGTACGTGGAGGTATATTCGATGAAGGCATTAAAATCTATCATGGTTCCCCATTCCAGGATGATAAATACTTCTTGAAGAACTTGCACACTCCTCTGTCGGTGAACAACAAGCCCGTTAGCCCCATCATGAGCATTGATGCTGAGACCCTGGTGCGTCAGGAAGCGGCCGACAAGAACTCGTTCTTCCTCATCAAGACAAAGTCATCACAAATGCTGGAGTTGCGAGCTCCCAGCAGCTCGGAATGCAAAACGTAAGTGGTTGCTTTGGAAATTGGAGACATTTTCTAACTTTTGTAAAATATTTGTAGATGGTTTAAGCATATATCGGATGCTATTGCCCAGCACTCGAAGAATCGTTCGAAGAACGCACCGAACAGCCATGAAACGAGCGTCAGCGATACACCGCTCTCCACCATTCCCCATTCCAGCACCAAAGATTCGCTGGAGCTTACCTCCGATGTGCCACAACCGATGGCAGCGACGGCCACGGTTACCACAACCCCTCTGGCTCCAATGCTACCAATAGCCACCGTAACCCCAGCACCAGCGAGCAACACCAGCTCCATATCCGGAGTGCAGCTGCGAAATCCGCAACGGGATGCGGGAACCAATGATTCTGATGCTGATTACGTGAACACACCCAAGCAGCGTTCGAGCCAGAATGATGTCAATCGCTCGATGTCGATCAGGAGCAGTGGCGAACCAAGCCACCGGGCCAATGGATCGGAGCCAGGCGATGTTACTCTGCGCCATTCACAGTCTGCCAGGGAGTCACGGGAATCTCGACCGGGGTCCACTGGCGAGGAACGCAACTCGACCTATGGAATGGTGGGTGGGCACTCGAAACGAGACAGTGCATCGATCATCTGCTCGAACAATTCGAACAACACGCGCACCTTGCTGATGCAGAGCCCCCTGGTGGACTCCACGGCCATCCAGGTCAGTTGCAGTTCGGCCCATGTCGCAGAACCGTTTTTGACACCCGGAGAGAAGCTTCGTCGGCTGGACGCCTCTATTCGAAATGATCTGCTGGAGAAGCAGAAGATCATTTGTGATATATTCCGTTTGCCCGTGGAGCACTACGACCAGATTGTGGATATTGCAATGATGCCAGAGGCGCCGAAAGACAGTGCAGACATTGCGCTAGCTGCTTACGATCAGATTCAGACCCTGACCAAGATGCTTAATGAATACATGCACGTTACCCCGGAGCAGGAGGTCTCCGCAGTGTCCACTGTGGTGTGCAACCACTGTCACGAGAAGGACAAGTTGCGCAAGAAGCCGGTGGTGGCCACGTTGTCCTCCTCTAGCGATACACCGCCGCCGCTGCCGCCACCCAATAGGCAGCAGGCACAACCGCAGGCCCAGCCGCAGATTCCGCCGGCTAGGCCGATGCCCAAGCTCCAGCCCTTGGACCTTGTCGAAGTTGCCATACACGAAGACGACGACGGCTACTGTGAAATTGACGAGTTACGCCTGCCGGCGATTCCGTCCAAGTCGCAGGACTCTGTGCCCACTACTCCACTAGCTCCCTTCAAAGCGGAGCCCAAATCTCCGAAAGAAGTTGCCGAGGAGCCAGCGAAACTCCAAAGAGCGGATGCTATTTCTCGGGAGCCGTCGCTGGAGGAGAAGGAAAAGGTTGCTGAGGAAGCACACCCGCCGCTAGAAGCAGAAAGTGAACAATCTAAAGATGAAAAGGAAACCCTGGGAACGGAAACATCCGATGAAGCTGAAGGTTCGTCGAGAAAGGTCGATAACAAAGAGGCGTTGGATGAATCACAAAAAGAGAACAACGAGGAAGCCCCAGTAGAGAAGGAAGACAAGCCCGAAGATGATAAAACCGACGTCAGCGAAGCAGTCGTAATATAGTTACTGATTATATTTAAAACTTGTGCTAATCTTTTGGTTTTTTCAGATCGCTGAAGCTTCTGGAACCCTAGTAGATAGCTCCACTCAGACAGTTCCAGAGACGACAGCCGAAACGGATAAGTTATTCGGAGGATCGGGCAGTACTTGTGGTCCGAATCGCATCCAGCATGCGAGTGCCCTCGAGCCGAGTGTGCCCTGTCATGCGCTCAGCAGCATTTTGACCGTACTGAACGAGCAGATTTCCCTGCTTTTGGTAGGTTACCTTCTAAATATATGCCTTAGAAATACTACTAACTGATTCCTTTATATCGGCAGCCAAAAATTAATGAACGCGATATGGAGAGGGAGCGTCTGCGCAAAGAGAATCAACATCTTCGCGAGCTATTGAGCGCTCAACTGGGACGCCAGCGAGTTGATGAAGTAAAGGTAATGAAACTATATATTTCAAAGATAAACAGACTAAATGATTTAATTTTATTTTAAAGGAAACTCCTTTCGATCTTTCAAAACTAATGCATGCTGAGGATGTAGAGATTGATGACGATATTGACGACGCCATTTCCAACAGTTCACTGACGCCAACGCCCACGCCCATACCGGCGGAGGCGGGTTCGAGCAGCGCGGCCAGCAGCCAAGTTCAGACAGCGGAAGCCATGAGAGTTAACAGCACTGAGGACAAGGAATAGGAGACTTGTTTAATTATTTTGTATAAAATACATATTTGTTCTTGTTTTCCCCTCCCCTCCCCACCCCCCTGAATGCGCATTCGTCCAATTGAATTGGGCGGCGATGATGTTTTACGAGTAGCCTTGATTAGAGCATGCCTTTTACTATTGTTAATGTAGCTACATTTGTTTCTTAAAAATATTATGTATTCCACAAGAACCAATAACACTTGAATTAAGATTATCTATGTCCCCCCTCGTAAAACTAATTAAATACATACATATATAAATATATGCATATTATCGACTTAAAGAATATGATATCTGCTAAAAACACAATGTTTGATACATTTATAAAGAACAATAAACAATATATAGTTATTGAGACGAACGAGAGCGCCTTTTCGCCTTCTTCGCGTCTTCTTTCCAAATCTTCAAAGACTCAACCCCCAACCACTGAAGAGAGAAGTGTCCTAATCCGATCACCTCTTTATGTGAGTGGGTCTATAAATAGGAAAGCGTCTCGTTCGAGTTACGCACGCAATTAGCGAAAGTACTTAGCGAAGCGACAGGGCTCCTCTAAAGAGGGAAATTCCTAGCCACCTATTTGGCCAGCACCAGAGTGTATCTATAATTGCTCAGTGCGTTCTTGGCGACGCTGCTGTGAAAATCACTTACTGGGCACTCTTCTCGCCACGTCGCGTCTCGCCACACGTAATCGATGCAAGATTTCGGTGAAAATATTCAGCAGGTCCACAATGACCAGCTGGGCAGGTGAAGTCCATACCATCCTCCGCTCTGTATTCGGTATATAATAGTGGTTTGTTTTCTCCCCAGGCACCTGGTGGCAGGGATGAACATCGAACCGGGTGATACTCTGCTGGAGGAGCGCCCCCTGCTGGTGACTCCTCACTGGGAGTGTGGCCAGCTCAAGTGCGCCCAGTGCTTCCAGGAGTCGTACGTCATCTGCCGGCGGTGTCAGGTGTATCCTCTGTGCATGGATTGCAGTCAGCACGATGACTTTGAATGCAGTTTCTTTGCTAGTGGAGCAGGGAAAGGTATCTGCAAGGATATCCTGGTGAAAAACTATGGCATATGTGGTCTTCTCAAGTTGCTGCTCCTCCTGGAAGATCCTGCCACTCGACCTGATTGTGAGACGCTCGTGGAACGGCCAGTTAACCTGGATGATTATAGGGATGGGGACGGAATGTGGCAGGAGCATGAAGAGCAGGTGGTAAGGCCACTGATGGCCAGTGGCCTACTGGAGGTCCTTCCAGGCCAGCAGCTGACGAGTGATGTGCTGCACGCCCACTGCATCCGTATCGACAGCAATGCCTTCGAGGTGACCGCCCGGGACGGAGACACCTTAAAAGGAGTATTCGTGTGCGGAGCCAGTCTGCCGCATAACTGTGTTCCCAATACGGTGGTGGCCTTGGACGAGCAGTTCAACATGAAGCTCTATGCAGCTGTGCCCCTCCAGACCGGTGACATCATATACAACTCCTACACGAATCCCCTGATGGGAACCAGCCAAAGGCAACATCAGCTACGTCTCAGTCGCCGCTTGGACTGCTCCTGCTCCAGGTGTCTGGATCCCACGGAAATGGGCACCCATATGAGCAGCATGAAGTGCCGGGAATGCTCCCAGGGATATGCTGTCTGCGAAATGGACTCCGAAGGTCGACCTGGCGACTGGCGCTGCTTGGAGTGTCAGGCCACCATGTCAGCTGCCAGTGTGCATGAGCTGTTGGCGGAGGTGGGAGGCGCCTTGGTGGAGGCTCGCGGTGAGCTGCCGGTCTACGAATCCCTGCTGACTCAGTACAAATCTATGCTTCATCCCAATCACTTCCTGCTGCTGGACATCAAGCAAAACATAGCCAGCATTCTGCGGGCCGCCGCACTAATGAACTCCATGGAGCAGCCTTGCAAGAAACTGCTGGCTCGCAGGGTGGAGCTATGCTCCGATCTGTTGCCCGTCTGCCGGGCCGTGGTTCCGGGCATTTCCAAGCTTTATGCCATCGGCCTGTTTGAGTATCTTCTGGCTCTGATCGAGCTGGTGGAGCTGCAGTTTGCCGAAAGTGATATGACCAAAAAGGAGTATGTGGTGAGTCAGGGATATACCTTCTACCAAGACTTGGTATGACTTACTTTTGCGTCTTCTTAGGCCCAGCTAAGGACTGCCAGGGTGGTGGGCAAGGAAGCTATGGATCTGCTACGCTTTGAGCCGGAAAACTCTGCCGAGGGCTACCTCTCCGATCGTATTTCCATGGAGTTGGAGCGCATCGACTCGGATTTGAATAAATACGGAGGCTAGCGAACAGAGAGTGCTGCTGCCGTGATTTTAAATTTAAAATAAATTAGATTAGTCCAATGGAAGAGGAATGTCTTCCCTTTCTCGTTAGTTGTTTTTAGTTTTTTTTTTTTTTTTCATTTAGTACAATGTGTGCTGACGACACGGTTCAACGTTTGGCTGGGGGAATGGGCATGGGAAAGGGAATCATTGACCAAGAAATAAATAAAGAATTGTCGTTCAATTAAAAATAAGCATTCGCTAGCAGTCGCACTGGCTGTCAGTATGCCAAAGGAAGCCGAAGGGAACGGGATCAAATAATGGCTGCAGTTACGGATGATTTCGCCAAGAAGTGCCAAGTGAAGCACAACGATACGCTGGGCAGGTGGGTCCATCTACTCCCCATCCTACCTTAGCCTTATCCGTGTGGTGTCTCTTGAAGATTTGTGATCGCTCTGGGCAATATACGAGCTGGTGAAACTTTGCTGCTGGAGGAGCCCATCGTAGTCCTGCCCCACGCTGGCGACAGACGGTGCTCCAAGTGCTTTAAGTTGACTGAGGACTTTTGCCGGTGAGTTTGTGGAACTTTTCGGCTTCAGTACTTACATAAATCCCATATAGAAAGTGCCACCTGTTGGCCTTGTGCGGGGACTGCTCCGAGCATGACGAACGAGATTGCAAGAGGCTTTGCGACCTTAAACTCTCCGAAGAGCAAGTGCATCTTCTGCAGGAAAAGAAACATTCTGAAGTGCAATCTGCCCTCAAATGTCTACTTTTGAAGGAAAACTTAGAAACCCAACCCCTTTATGAGGAAATGTCTCAAATGGAAAACCAACTAACAGCCAGGAGAGGCACTGAAATCTGGAAGAACTACCAGGAACATGCCTATGATCCTCTGGAAAACACTGGAGTTCTTAAGCAACTGAACAGTGAGGCTAACGAGGATCTCGTGCAGGGTCTATTGGGGGCGCTGGACGTGAATGCCTGTGAGATACGAGCCCCGGAATCAGGGGGTTCCATGAGGGGACTATATCGCCGGGCAGGACTCTATCCGCACAGTTGCCTGCCCAACCTGGTAACCGCCATTGATGACGAGAGACGCATAAAAGTGTACGCCAATAGATTCATAGCTGCTGGGGAGATACTCTACAATTGCTACACCAATATTCTTCTGGGCACCGAAGAGCGTCGCCACATCCTGAAAGCTGGCAAGTGTTTCGACTGCAGCTGCTCCAGGTGCCAGGATCCTACCGAGCTGGGCACGCACATGAGCAGCTTTATCTGCAGCAGTTGCGCCTGCCCAGGGGGTTACATTGTGCGCCAGCCAGAAACCGGGACCTGGCAATGTCTTATTAATCCGGAACATACTCTCAAGCAAGAGTTCGTGGCCAATATGTTGGAACGAGCTAAGGAAGAAATATTTCACGCCAGGGACGATATTTACCGTTTGGAACTTCTCCTGGCTAAGCTTAGTCGACTTCTCCACGGAAATCACTACCTTATGCTGGATCTTAAACAGAATATAGCCTCTATTCTGCGCCAGATTCTACAAAACATGGCCCATCGTCCGAATAAAAAGGTCTACGAGCGCAAGATTCGTTTGTGCCAAGAGATCTTGCTGGTCCTGAAAGTGTTGGCTCCCGGAATCTCCAGGCTGAAGGCCATAGCCCTTTATGAGTTGGCCAACACCCAAGCGGAGTTGGCCAGAAAACTTTACAGCGAACAAGAGCAGAGCTCCAGGGATCTTCTGGTGGGTTATTCATAACATAATGTACAAAATTCCCAATAAATATGATATTTTCCAGGTGGAGCTGGATCAAACGGAGGTGATGATGCGGGAGTCCCTGCGTATGTTGCTCTTCGAGCCCTTGGCCACTCCAGAGGGTCAGCTTTCGCGAAGCATGCTCCGGGAGCTGAAGGATCTCCAAAATGACATAAAATTACTACAAGAGCCCAATGATGATGTGGTCCAATGAAAACCATATTTGTTTATCATTTGCTTTTGTTAAATAATAAATTTTGGATCATAAAAATCGGGACTACAAAATGAACATAAACTTTTCCGTTAAAAGTTTAAATTCAAAATAGAAGCAGTGTTGGTAAACTTAAAACTATCGTTTGTTAGCATACCTTACCAGCCCTGGCAAGCTTGCTTGTTTTGTTTTCGCAATTTAAAAATCAAAACAATAAAAGCTTTTCCAGACAAAAGAGTTAATTTAACATCCAAAAAGTGTTACCAAAAAAGTGTTGACACAAAAGATGGCAAACAATGGCTAGGAACAGAAACAGCTGATGGGAAACAAGTCGAAAACCACCCCCGCCACAGGAAGGGAACAAAACAGAGAAGGGCGAGAGTCTCAGCTCATTTGCGCTTTACATCTGCTGCGGTGGAGATAAGTTTCTCTTGCTGATTCAAAACTTAATTCAAGTATCGGAGCCCCAGCAACCACAGATGCTGCTAAAGTATTGACAGTAGTCAAGCCGCCCTGCCCCCGTCTGGAAATGATTCGGACGTTGTGAAATAGTGGGCTTAGTCATCGGATCCGAGGAAATCCCCTCTAGAAATGGCTCTGGCCAGCGCTGCCGCTGCCCTCTTGAAGGGCTCCCAAACGCCGCTGCAGCAACTCCTGGAAGACATCAACTTTCAGCGGACCAAGGAGATGCGCCAGTTGCTCAAGGATGGTGGGTATTCCAGAAGCAGTCTGTAGATAGGAATCCCATTTTAATGGGAGCTGAGGCGTGAAAAATCTCGGAGAAAATTGTCTACATTTGCGCATTATCGATTTGTCAAGTGGCCAACCCCTAAAGGAGTGTTACAGCCTTCATGCGCGAGTGTATGTCAGCTTTCCGCCCCACTTTCCGCTTGCAATTTGTTTTCTTTTATGTAAGCGGCTTTTACTTTTATTTCTAAGTGGGTGGGGGATGGAGGTGGCGTCCCCAAACAGCTGTTCACCTGTCGAACGCTTTCCTCAGGCAATCTTCTCCATTTCTTTACTGAAGAGACAAGTCCCTTGTATATTTATTCATCCTAGCAACGGATGTATCTTTTTTAATGAAATCCTTTTTTTATCCTTTAAAATAAAGGGTTAGTTTACTCTTCTGTGTATTCAACCCTCTCTGGTTCTCTGAACAAATACAAATCTTTCCCCCTTTTGCAGATGGCGGATTTGTGGTACTTCAGGGCACCACCTACTGGACGGACCTGTTCGTGCGCCACTTCCTTTTCCAGACGGAGCCAGTGCACAGCATCGACTCGGACGATCTGCTTTTCTTTGTGCGGAAGAAGCACGTAAAAAGCTCCTCGCGCCACATGCCAAAATTTGAGGTAAGGAAACGCCACGAAAACCTCAATTTGAATCCCTAATCATATCCCTTTCACAGACTGAAGTGGAGGTATTCCGCAAGGACTCGCGCAAACTGCCAATCGGCGATCCCGATGTAGACTGGGAGGAGACAGTGTACCTCAACATGGTGATCCATCAGTTTGATTACACTTTGACCCTGGCCATCTGTACCAGGACCTCGCCCAAGGAGCTGCAGGTTTTGAGGAGGCATTCACAGCGTGTCTATGCGAGTCCTAGTCGCCGGAAGATGGACACCAAGGGAGAGGGCGAGGAGATCACCTATCCTCACATCTGCTTCATGGTAGACAACTTCGATGAGGTGTTCAGCGACATCCTGGTGCGCGATGGAGAGATGGTCTGTGTGGAGCTGGTGGCCAACGACAAAGATGGAGCGGTGCAGGGAGTGATCTTTCTGGGTTCCATTCGCTACGATGCATTGAAGAAAGTCTACGATGCCAGGGTTAGTGGGAAACATCACTCTTGAAGAAGCTGTTACATTTCTTTTCCATTGCAGCAATCCAGTCTGAGCTCCAAGGTGGCGCAACGCATGTCCTTTGGCCTCTTTAGTAGCGGAGCCGGAGTCCAAACTCGCTGCGAATTCGTCCGTATGAAGGGACCTCAGGGAAAGGGCCATGCGGAAATGGCGGTCACCAAGCCGAAGGGTTCCGGGGTGGAAACGCCCACCAGCGAGCCGGGCTTCTGCGCCACGGACATGTGGGATGAGTGGGAGGAGGAAAACGACGACTACTGCACGTATCGCCACCAAAGACGCCTCAGTGATCCGAGTGCCAATCTGAACAACTTCTCCCGCTACGGTTGGCGCACAAAGAACTCCAACAACCCGGACATGGTGGGCAGCGGCACCAGTTCCAGTGTGGGAGCCAAGGCGCGCTCGGAGAACGAGGGTCTCGATTCGCTGGCCAGCGAGGTGTCCGAGATCGAGGCTGGGGACTTGCGCGACGGTCAGTTCCTATGAGTAGTATTATGTATAAGATTTATGTCATGGTTTCCTCTTCATTTGAGCATCCTTTAGTTGCATGCTATTCACATTTGTGTATTGCAATTGTTGCCGTAGTGCTTTAGCCGCTTTTTCCGCTTGCTCCTTTATTCATTTATGTTCAGATTCCTGAGTTACTTCTCGTAATGTGTTGTGGTTCAATTGATTTTCCTTTTACGAGTACAATTTCCAACTATCGAATTTATATATATACTTATATGCCAGTGCCAGTGCCATTGCCCCCCAGAGACAACTCCAGAGTATATATATAAAGCAAACACCAGACATTGCCGAGAAAGCAGGACAAATGATACACTAATGACAACCAAAATTATATTCCTTTTGGCTTTGGTTTCCACACTTGATTTTGATATGGATTGATTGAGGGCAAGGGATATAATGGAGGACATCCTCATCCAGTTCATCACATCCTTCCATTAACCTTCCCTCTAGAAATTTTTGGTTTTAATTCGTGGTGGCTTGTTGTACATTCACTATCCCCCCCCTTAGATGATTTCTGAGTTATTATTTACACCGCTTTCTGTTGCCAAAATTATCTATTAAGTTGCTTGGGCCGATCCTCGGTTGTACATGTGTGTGTATGCGATGTATTTGCTTTTAAAACGCCAAAACCGATCTATATCTACTTGTAGATCAGCAACGTCCTGCTTTCTCGGCCTCCGCGGCAAAACTGCACCCAAATCCGAACTGCGAAGCCCACAAACAAGCTTCCGGTGACCCACAACAAGATACGGTGTCCCATACGTCTCCTGGGAGCTCACCGGAGATCCCAGCTGCCGCTGCTGTACCGGCAGTGACTCCGCCACCACTTAGTGCTGCCGTCGAAGTCACGGTCGTCGGGGAGAGTAATGGAACTGGACAAAGCTCCTCAACGGGATGCAACTGCTTCGGTGGTAAAAAGTGCAAGAAGCGCTGGGCAGCGGGCAAGAGCTCCGACACTCCGGAGATGTCCGAGGTATACTGCCCCAGCTGCGAGGATCCGTCCAATGAGTCGCCCGCCTGTCTGGCCAAGATGCCGGACAAGCGACCCACGCGACTCCAGAAACCCAAGGCATCTAGCATACTGAGTGTGGAGAGCGAGCTGGTGGTAGGGAAGAGGAGTAGTTTCAGGCTGCCATCGGAGAGTAAGCGCAAGCAGCAGGGTGGAGGCATAACCAGGAGCGCCTCCCTGAGCGCCGCCGATCGCAGAACCAGCATTCCCACGGCCAACAAGAAGATTATTCCCCCCAGACTACGCTCGGCCAAGAACAAGGATCAGGATAAGTCGAAAGACAATGACAAAGATAAGGACAAGAACAAGGAGAACGACAAGAAGTCCTCCAATCAGAAGGTTAATGGCAGTTTCCTGTCCAAAATGTCACCCAAACGACTTAAAGGCGGCAAGGACAAGGACAAGGACAAGGAGGGCGACAAGGAAAAGGGGAAAACGAATGCTCCAGCCAAAAATAAAGCGGCAAACAACAACAATCCTAAGCCGGAGGAGAGCTCCAAAAGCGACGAGTACGAAATAGCCGATGATGCCACTTCCCTGAATGGCAGTGAGTCGGAGGGAGCTGCCGCCAAGATGGCCATTCTCAGTGAGAGCGACAGCAAGCTCATGATCAGTGTGCGAGGACGCGAGGAGCTGCCTGTGGTGGAGTCCCCCAAGACGCCGCCGAAGCGCTTCGAGAAATGTGTTCGGGTTCCCGTCGGAGAATCGGAGAATCATCCACTGCAGCCAAACGAAAACAATGAGAACTTGGAGGTGCTCGACGAAAACAAAGTAATCTCACCCACGGAACTAACGCCCATGTTGGACGTGGCCAATGGGAATCAGGAGCCATCGAGTGCTACCCTACCGCGGACCGCAAAACAGGCGCATGTCAGTAAAATGATGCACCTGGTGCCCAAACGCAGAACTCCCGATGGCACTAACATATACTACTGGTGCGATGTGCCCAAAAAGGCACTAAAAGGTCACTAAAATGGATATTTCTTTATTTTCTTCTAATCTATTGCACGTCTTCAGTAACTGTCTGGCTAAGATCCTAAAATAACCTAATAAAATGTATTTTTGGTTCTTCTTCCAGAGCTAGACGATGGCGCTTATAATCCCCTGTGGACCAGTCGTGGCTTTACACAATCCTTTCATTTTTGGAAGGAAAACCGAAGACAGCAGTCCACTCCGCTCAACGCATTCCTCACATATGTGACACTGCCCTGGTGGAGCATTGCAAAGGGTAGGATATATATACATAATTAAATACCATCTATTATTTCAATATCTTCTTTGTTTTCAGATCTTTTGGATCACCGGGAAACGCCTATTTTGACTTTTTAGTATTAACTTGATTTGCGATTGTGATTATTCTTTATAGTCCCTATATGCTTTATAGTCCTCACATGTACTACACGATCGAATGCCAACCATGTGATCACTCTCAGTTCAATCTATCAGTATAGATTTGCTTTGTTCTTGACCAACGTTAAGTTTCCTAAAGCGCATCCACACGGATCCAACTATACAAATTTATAAGCTACGAACTACGAACTACGAACTACGGATAGTTGACGATAGACGACACTGTTACCGATGATATGGGAATATATACAAATTGTAATATTATTTGTAAATTGTACGGCAACATTTACACCACGAAATATATTCGAAATAGAAAAAAGGAATAGGCATTTAAATCTGACAAGACAAATCGGCATCTGTGGTGTACTCGGAAGATTACTCGGAGCCGGAGGCATCCGGCTTCGGGTCGCGAAGATAGCTCTGTGAATCGCTTCTCCGGCTCGGCTCGGTGGCTAGTCTGTTGTTGAGTCTCGCCTGAATCGGTCGCAATCCGTCTTATTTACAGTCCAGCATCACAATCAATTCAAGTGATAACGTGGGAAACAAAGGCATCGAAGATGGGGCAATCGCTGCCACTGCTCATCCGCTTGGTTGTCGTCGTCTGGTTGACAATTAACACCGTCACAGCCTGTCCCCGGGCACCCACCCACTTGCCCCATGGTCGGCGCACACGCGGCGACAATGGATACAAACTAATTGTCGCCGATGGACCCAACGGATATGTGCCCGGCAAGACATATAATTGTAAGTCAGGGAGGCAGTACGTTTCGTAATCACTGCCGAGGGGTCACTCGAAAAATGAACACAAGAATAGCCGCAGTGATAAGAGCACAGAATCCAGAGCAGAGCTCACATAATATAGAGGCGATGTTGGTTGTGTTCTCATTTTTTTTATTTTTGGTTATTGATACAGATAATCAAACTTTCAAACTTAAGCTCCTTACTACAAAACAATGCGTATCAGATTTAAAAAATTGTATAAATGTTACACTTTTGGCTTCTAGTTTAACAGTCTGAGATGGACCTTCATACACTTCTTGTGTATGGAATGTTCTTAATATAACTCTTTTTTTAGTGCTTCAGTAAATGCTTCCTGAAACGAGCTTCAGTAGTGAAATGCTCGTCGCAGTTATCACAAAAGTACAGGAATCGATTATAACGAGGAACAAATGAGAAAAGATTCAAGTAGTGGTTGACGCTGGAGGAGGGTTCTATCTTGTGGAAAAACTTCATGTCCACCTGACCAGTAAACCATGAGGATATTTGATTGAGTAAGCGCTTCAGTTCGTTGACTTTCAGGGTGCAGCCCATCTCTCTGTTTAAATCCTTGACAAAATTGGCCAATATTGTATCGAGTGGACCCTTTATTTTTCTTGTGTTCCAAACAGAGTCGTGCTTTTTGTAAATCTCGCAGAACTTGGCAGCCTTTTTGTGCAGTTCATCCACATCTTCTTGCATCAGCCTATCCTCATATTTGAGGTTGTAGATGATTGGCAACTGGAAAAGGGAAAGTTTGGATAAGAGGGTTTAGGTTCAACTCAAATACAATCTATACCAGCTTACCCCTATAGAGATAAGTAGGACCAAGTCGCTGCTCTCTTTGTTTTTATCCTTTAAATCAGTTATAGGCTTATCCTGCAATACAGGATTGCTTGCCTGGGATTGGATTGCTGCCTTTATTTGAGGTTTTTTCGGAGTATAGCATTGAATCTTCGTGTTTGATAATTGTTCCCTATTTCGAAAAGGCTCGATTGGCTTGGGAAAGTTATTTTCCAATGATAATCTTTCAGCTTTAATTTTTTTAGAATTCTTTTCGCTTTTTAAGCTCTCTGAAAGCAAAGACTCTACAGTCATCGGGGAATTAACATTGATTGGAGAAAGGACTTCCACGTTTCTAATTATTGACTTAGAAGATGATTTTAAACGCTTTTGTACTTGCTGGGAAGAAATCGATCTCTTAAATTGATTTTCTACCAACAAAGTAGAAGTGCTGCCTAAAGAAGACTTTTGAACTCTTACAGTAGACTCTATGGACTCAGTCTGAGCCTCTAACTTGGTGGTGGTAGTGGTAACATTAAAAATCCCTGGTTCTTTAGCAGGCTCCAGCACATTTTCTTTTAGGGTTTTAAGAATATGCTTCTTGATGTGGGTCAGCCGCTTCCTGGACTGACGGGCAATGGTGTGACTTTTAAGATTGCAGACTCGCAGGGGCCCTCTCTTGGCAACCTGGCAGCGGTCATTCTTGATTACAAGCTGTTCATCTTGTTCCTGAGCTTCTTTGTGGGAATCGCTGGAAAACAGCATAGCTTCCACTTCTGCCACCACGTTTTTCGAATCGTGTTCCTTCTTTCGTTTAGCTGGAAGATAGCACCTTGGTTAATAACATGACGTCAGTTAAAGGAATAGTTTACATACGTGGGTTCGGCGGGACTTCTTCTGTATTCGGTTCATCCGACTCTCCATGCATCCCGGAATCACCACTGCTGGTATCGATTCCCGGAGACTGGCGGTCTTCTTCTAAGCCACTGGACGACATCAGCTCCTCCACGCTATACACATTTTGTTCCTGATTGAAGGGCAGGACGTCTCCATGTGCTAGCTGGAGGTGTCTTACAAATTTCGGCAGACCAGTGAACATGTCGCGGCAAAAGTGGCAAAACAAGGCCACCATGTTATTCTTCGGCGATATCACAACATCGCCACACTTTTCGAAGTTCACGTCATTTCCCTCCAGCAAGTCTAGAAACGAAGTCATTATATTATACAATTTTAACAAAACTATACAAAAAATTAAAAACAAAAATCGGCGCGTTGTCAGTGCTAAAAAATAATCTAATGAGGCAACAGTGTTGCAAATCGAAAAAAAACGTGGCCAAATCTGATATCGTAGAAAAACATAGAATGGGCTGCCACATTTTGGAATGTGGAAATATCGATAGTTTTAAAAACATATTAGCGCGATTCATCGAAGAAGTTTAAAATTTGGTTGTTGGCAGTACTTCTTCTAGGATCTCGAACCCACTCGAAAATCCAGCACTTCACCCACTTCACCATCGCTGCTGAGGCCCACACAGGAGCTAGGCGTCCCCAGGCAGCAAGTCCGAGACGCGTAGGCCGATTCCAACTGTTCAGCGATTCCCTAACCCAGTTTAATGATCGCTGTGTGAACACGGTTTCCGAGGCCGATGATCTTCCCAAAACTGAGATTCAGGTGATGTGGGTCGCCCCTGAGGCGGGTTCTGGCTGCGTCTCCCTGTCGGCAATGGTCTATGAAGGCCCTAGAGCATGGTTTGCAGATGATGGCCATCTTTCCACGGTGATTTGCGAGAGGAAACCGGATGCGGCGGCTGCCCAAAAAGAGTGTTGCGCCTGCGATGAAGCCAAATACAGTGTAAGTAAATCTATTTTCTTGTTACACCCTTGCAGAAGTTACTATAATTTAAAAAAAAACCCTTGATTTTTACACACGGAGTCATCTATATTGTCATGACTATATTATATCCAAATTACATCCGATCCTCAAGCGGAGTACTTTTATAAATTTCTTGAAAAATTCTGCATCAAAACCAAAGATCCAAATACCTTGAACGATTTCTAGATCGATTCCCCGTCATTCTGCATCAAAACATCAGAATTAAATTTTCGATCGAAATTTTTCCTTTTTTTTCTGATACAACCCCTTGCAAAATCCATGATTTTCATATATGGCACCTTGCAATGTCTATATCTTTGTCAATTTCCATCCGATCCCTGAGCGGAATACCTTGAACGATTTCTAGATCGATTCCCCGTCATTCTGCATCAAAACATCAGAATAAAATTTTCGATAGAAATTTTTCCTTTTTTTCTGATACAATCCCTTGCAAAATCCATGATTTTCATATATGGCACCTTGCAATGTCTATATCTTTTTCAATTTCCATCCGATCCTTGAGAGGAATACCTTGATCGATTTTTCGATCGATTCCCCGTCATTCTGCATCAAAACTTCAGAATTAAATTTTCGATCGAAATTTTTCCTTTTTTTTCTGATACAACCCCTTGCAAAATCCATGATTTTCATATATGGCACCTTGCAATGTCTATATCTTTCCCAATTTCCATCCGATCCCTGAGCGGAATACCTTAAGAGATTTATGGAAAAATTCTTCCCAATTCTGAAATTTATTTATGATTCATTTATTAATAATAAGCTATAATTTATTTTATTTTTAGTTCGTTTTCGAGGGCATTTGGTCGAATGAAACTCATCCCAAGGACTACCCCTTTGCTATCTGGCTGACCCATTTCTCGGATGTGATTGGAGCCTCTCACGAATCAAACTTTTCCTTCTGGGGTGAAAATCACATAGCCACCGCTGGATTCCGTTCCCTGGCCGAGTGGGGCTCTCCATCTGCCCTGGAAACGGAGCTGCGAGCCATTGGCCCTAAGCTCCGCACTCTGATCAAGGCCGCTGGCTTGTGGTATCCGCATGTTAATCAGAACACCTCTTCCAAGTTCCGCGTGGATCGTAAGCATCCAAAGGTGTCGCTGGTCTCTATGTTTGGTCCGTCTCCGGATTGGGTAGTGGGCATTAGTGGTGTGGATCTTTGTACTGAGGATTGTAGCTGGAAGGAATCAATGGACTTTGATCTCTATCCATGGGATGCAGGCACTGACAGTGGCATTTCCTATATGGTAAGTACACATTTTTATTTTTTCTCTTTAATAACCGCAAAAAATAACCTCCATTCTTAGTCCCCCAATTCGGAGACTCAGCCTCCGGAGCGAATGTACCGTATCACTACAATGTATCCTGAGGATCCCCGAGCTCCTTTCTATAATCCAAAAAGTCGCGAAATGACTCCGTTGGCCAAGTTATATGTCCGCCGTGAGAAGATTGTTTCCCGTAACTGCGATGATGAGTTCCTTCAAGCCCTCCAGGTGGAAACGTCCGATGACGCCGAAGAGCAGGACACTAGAGGTGGGAATTTTCGTTATTTTTTTTAAGGAAAACATTCTAATCCAATTTTTGTAGCTGAATGCCGTGTGAGTGAGTTCTCGGCCTGGAGTCCCTGCTCGGTGACCTGCGGTAAGGGTATCCGGATGCGCAGTCGCCAGTATTTGTATGGCCAGGCGGCGGAGCAGGCCAAGTGCAGTCGCCAACTAATCAGCAAGGAAATGTGCGTGGCGGCGATACCCGAGTGCGCCGGTGGTTCCACCTCCGGCCGAGATCGAGACGAGGACGAGGGCGAAAATCTGGCCAACTCACAGTCCTTGGTGGGAGACAATGGCGAAGGAGCCGGTCTTTGTAAGACTTCGCCCTGGAGCGTGTGGTCGGAGTGCTCCGCCAGCTGTGGCATCGGAATCACCATGCGTACGCGAACCTTCGTCAACCATCTTGGTCGCAAGCGCTGCCCCCACATCACGGTGGTGGAGAAAAACAAGTGCATGCGGCCAGAGTGCACGTACGAGCAGGTGGAGTTGCCCGATCCAATGTGCCCAACCACCCAGTGGAGCGATTGGAGCCCGTGCACCTCCACTTGCGGCAAGGGCGTGACCATCCGCACCCGCTTGTTGCTGCTGGAAAATGGCCCCGAGAAGGAGAACTGCACACGTCGCATGGAACTGCACCAGCAGAAGGAGTGCAATAATCCCACCGACTGCCACATTAATGCCGAACAGGCCAAGGAGATATGTGTCCAGGGTCCGGATACGGGTCCATGCCGTGGAAACTACATGCGCTACGCCTACAATCCTCAGACCCAGAGCTGTGACGCCTTCAACTATGGAGGATGTCGGGGCAACAGGAATAACTTCCTTACCGAGAACGATTGCCTGCACACCTGCAACTCCATCAGAGGAGCTAAGGTCTCTGGAAACCCCAGGGAGTGTGTCCTGTCCGAGTGGTCTGGCTGGTCCGCCTGCAGTGTCTCCTGTGGCGCTGGCTTCTCCGAGAGCCGACGTCATGTCATCAGCGAGGCCCAGAACGGAGGTCGTCCTTGTTCCAAAAAGCTGGTCAAGCATCGTCCCTGCACAATGCCATCCTGCTAGGCCATCCTAGGGGTTCTCTTACATTCACCTGAGAACTTGAAATAAGAATTTATTGATTTTTTGAAATGTAACTAAAAAGGAGTTTTTTAATAAAAATTAAAGCTTTTTTTGCAATAAAATTAAAGTAAAAACTACTATAAAAAGATAATCACATTAATTGAAAGCTTACAGCTTGATATTTTTTTTGTTCTTATCAAAACCCAAGCCATAAAATACCTTCCTTTAGTGCAACTGATTAAATTGCATTTTTAAGAGTGAAATTTTAAAACTCTTTAAGGTCGTCGACTAATTTTGCGATAAGAAATATAATCATGTGATTCCCCTCACTAGAATATTCTTAGCACCGTTGTTCAATAAATAGGGTCTTGGTATATTGCCAGAGTTTAGTTTCAACTGGTGTCTTGTTACAAGAACGCGTTTCAATTGTGAACAAAAATTGTTTTATATTTAACATTTCTTAAACAAAACTTAATATTTCTACCTCAAATGGGTAATAATTCTACAAAACAGAAAAGGTGAACTCAAGATTCTCAGATATCTACCCCAAGTTCTAAGTCTAAACCACACAATATCGCATTAAACACTGTCGCGCCTTCCACTTATTGCCATTCGCTCGGTAGATGAGGTGTAGGTTGAAGGCCACCTCGTGCTGCAGCCCCAGGATAGTTTCGTGCTCAGCAATCAGTGGGTGCAGCGGCACGGCCAGCGCCTTCTCGTAGTATTCCACTGCCAGATGGAGTAGGTTCGCCTGATGATAAATGCGTCCCATGTTGTACAATATCTCTTGTTGAGCGGCGCAATCCGCCAAATCGGTGCCCGCGCACCGAAGCTCTTTGTAGCGCTGGGCAAAGGCAATAGCCTGGCTAACAGCCGCCGATTTGCGGAGGACCTTTCGCTGTATGCCCAACTGATTGAAAGCCGCCGCTATACAGAGAGCCACTATGGGATCGGGACTTTCGCGGAGAATCGGCATATAAATATTTAAGGCATACTTAAACGAAGCGCAGTTGAGGTGGTAATGGCCTTGGAAAATGCGCATCTGCTTCGTTTCTTCCGAGAACCGTTGCATAAGTCGCCGCATGTAGCGGTAGTAACGAACCTCGTCACCCTTCTGTATCATCAGAGCGAGCAGATTCCAGAGGTTCGCCTGGCTGGGCTGTTTGGCAATCAATTCGCGAAGGTATGAGAACGCGATGGCGCAATCGTCGTTGAAGTAGCACACCAGCACCATAATGCGCTCGATCTCGTCGTTATAGAAGGCGAATCTCTTAGTGGTCACCATAGCGAAGCAAATCTTCTCAGCGGCTCCGTATCTTCCATGCTCGTGGGCCGTTCGCACCAGCTCCATGAACAGATCAAACTCATTCTTGGATGTCAAGTCGGATGCCTCAGTGGTAGAATTCTTTCCAGATTCCTGATGATTTGAAAAAAAATTTATATAAGTAGCTCGAAAGCTTTTAATAATGATGTGCTCACCTGTTGTTCCTGCTCCACATTGGCCGTGGTATCGGCGGTCTTGCTTCGCATCTGGATAATAGTCTTCAGGCTCTCTGCATTGTAGGCGCTACCCCCATTGGCGGCGGCCATCATTTCCTCACGGTTATACAGCTTGATAGAATGCCGGCTGAGCAGCACATAGCCTACGTCCAGGAACTCCTCGATTCGCCCAATCTGCTGTAGCATCACGCACCGTTCGTATAGAAGCCGAGCGATTACTGGTCCTTCTCCATCCCCAGGTTGCTCTAGGGCTTGTACCGCCTCCTCGTTCCGACCCTGTTGCTTGAGCAGAGCGGAGAGGGTGAAGCGAGCGTCGTAACAAAATGGAGCAAGTTGCACCACCCGCTCATAGCACTGAATGGCCTCATTTGTGCGGTTCAGCTGCCGCAGGCACTCCGCTTGCCTTAACCATACGAACGCCGGGCACTCCACTGTATCTCCATCCGTTATGGGACTCATCAGAGCTATGGCTTCCGCGTACTTATGCTCCTGCATGAGTGCCTCTGTGATGTCCATGTAGAGTTCCACTCGATCGGCGGTAAGAGTGATATGCTCCTGGACGTTCTGGATGAGGTAGCCCAGCAAATGGTGGGCTCGCATGTGAATCAAGCTAACACACAGCTTGGCCCTCAGCTCGGGAATAAAATCGTCGGGTATATCGCAAAAGTAGATAAGTTCCAGACTCTCCTCCTGGTCGTTTTCAATTTCGAAATTGGTGCGCTCTCTAAGGCACTTAAGTACCTTTGCGTACTGCTTGTTGAGGATCAGCAGCTCCAGGTACATATTTATATCCTCCAGCGTAAACCGAGCCCCACACACGCTGTAGGCTGCCTCCATGGCCTCCAATGCCAGGCCGTGCTTTCTCAGAGCATGGAAGTACCTGGCCACATTCTGGGATGTAGTCAGGCACAATTTCCACTCCTCGGGCGGCATTAAAGGAAGCATCTTAAGGTATGTGAACATGGACGCGTTAGTTTCGCCCATCTTTTGAAGAAGCTGAGCTTTCCGCAACCGCAGTTGGTACACCTTGGGCAGCATTTTGATGGCTTTGGTGTAGATGAGACGGGCGCGGGATAGATTACCCTGTTGCACCAGCAGATCCGACACCCGGATCCACATGTCTCGATCTTGAGGATTCAGGTGCGCTGCTAGCGTCGAGAAGTTGAGAAACTTCACTTCATCGCGGTTCTCATAGATCTCGGCGAGTGTATAGAAGGGTTCGCTGGCTAGAGGATTCTGTCTGATGATCTCCATGCAGATACGTTCGGCAGTTTCGAAGCGTCCACGGACGAAACTCAGATTAGCCTCTCCCATCAATCCTTGAAGTGCTGTGCTCAGCTGACTCTTTCGAACGCCACCGCCGCCGCCCCCGGATCGAGCACTGCTGGTGGGCAGTTCTGACCTGGACTGTGCCTGGGCTGAAGTGCTCGGCTTCATCTCCACATGCTCCTCGTTGGATTCCTCCTCATCATCCTCGTCTTCGTCGCTGGCCTCAAGTTTGGTGCAAAAATCAGGGAACTCTGGACATAGGCCCTGGACATAGCGCTTGATCAAAGCACCCTCCTCCTCCTCGGCCTCGTCGATAATGTCCACCACCCGCAAAGGTTCCGTCTCCTGGAACTGTCCCAGTTCGTTTTCCGGCACATCATTACTATCTATTTCCTCAATTAACACAGATTCCGAGCTTTGGTCCATTTTTGTAAACAAACCGGCCAGTGCTGCCGTTGTTGGCTAGATAGTTTTCAAGCTATTTTATCGATACCACCGATAACAATGACAGTGTTGGTTAGCTTTGAAAATAGTATGGTAAACTTATAAACAAGTGGCGCTAATTTGAGACGCTATGGAAATAACGGAACTTCCTCTGAAACGAAATGCGCTTTTCCGCGAATACGATTTTCTATATAAAATACTTTTTTGTGCTGCTCTTGAACGCGTCCCGTGAATGTTAACTCTTTGTCATTTTTATTTTAAGCGAGCGCGAAACGATGCAGATCATTGAAGATCAGGAATTGGTGAGTTATAAATTTTTAAATATTTAAACTTGTATTTATTTATGAATGCTTTCAGTTGGATGCACAGCTTTCGTGCATTGGCAAGCATGCGTCCAACTGGTTGCACCAGAAGGATAAGTACTTCGATTTGGCTGGCAACCAGCCAAAGCTCGACTATGAGGCCCAGCAAAAGCAGCTCCAGGCCAGGCAGGTCCGGTAAGTTTTGTCCAATTGCTTAAAGCACCATGCTACTTCACGTCCTTTCCGATCTACACCAGAATCTTAAGGATGATGACCATACTTTCTGATTATCCGCCGAGTAAGGAAATGCTCAAGGCAAAGATTGCTGAGTTCACCGACGATTCCTTGACCGAAAACAATGAAATCTTTGCGGATTATCTGGAAAACCGCACGCTTGAGTTCTACAACGTGTGTTCCGTGATGACCACCCTGCTCACCATTGAGGACCTCTCCACCATGGAGCAGTATACCCAATTAATGTGTGCTGATGTGTCTCCAATAAAGGTTTCGAAGCTCGTATTCGAGATAAAACTGCCACCAACAGAGGTAAGTCCAGAGGATTTCGTTGCTCCCAATCTGGATGATGTGGTGCTTGTGCCAAAATGCAGCCAGCTGGCATCACCGCTACCAAAGCAGCTTATAATGGCACTGCTGCCGCACCACCATGAGTATGTGGATAAGAAGGATCCGATGCGCCGCCATGTTGCTAGCGTGGAAAAAGTTAACCGCAACAGTGTGCAGTTCCGTTTTAGTCGTGGCACCTTTCCAGGAGATGAGGTCATAACAGGCCAACGCTTTCTTGTGATAATCCGATCGAGGCGTATACCCACCCGATACATGTACCGTGCTCTCAAGCTGCTACAGGATACCCCATCGGTGCGCCGATATCTATTCCCTTTCCCAGAATGGCTCACCCAAATGGTGAAACAATCGCAGATCCGCATGGACGGATGTGCGGCTTTACCCAACTGGTTGGAGGTGAAGCCCCAACCAATACCAGCTCCCCCGGCCGAAATTAGCCTTTTAAATCCTTCCATCAAAGACAATGCAGAGCAGTTGCAGGCAGTCCAGAGGATTGTGGCTGGACCCAGTCTTCAAGGACCCTACATCGTGTTCGGACCACCAGGTACGAATAGTCTACATCTAGGAAGTAGAACTGGGGGGTTCCCCAAGTTACCTTAACCTAATCTCTTCTAACAAAACGTATTTTATATCTAGGCACTGGCAAAACTACCACTATTGTGGAGGCCATTCTACAGCTACGCCTTCAGCACCCGGGAAGCCGTATCCTTGTAACCGCCGGTTCGAACTCTGCCTGTGACTCGGTCGCGATAAAGCTGTGTGAGTACTTCCAAAGCAATGTCTATCTTCGGGAGCAGTTGCAGAAGCAGATTGATTACCGCTCTGATTATCAGCTGATCCGGCTCTTTTCCCGATCAGTAACGCGCAAAGGATTGAAATCGGTGCCGCCGCTATTACTAAAGCATTCCAACTGTTCGAAGAAGACTTACAAACACCTTGGAGTGTCGAGTATTATGGAGTACCGAATCACGGTGGCTACATTGTCCACTGTCGGGAGACTGGTTACCGATGGCCTCAGTAAGCTTAAGTTTTTCACTCACATTTTTATCGACGAAGCGGGCGCTTCCACCGAACCAGAGACATTGATAGGGATCATGGGCGTGAAGCAGACCACCAATTGCCATGTGATCCTTTCCGGAGACCACAAACAGTTGGGCGCCGTGATAAAAAGCAATAGGGCTGCTTCGCTGGGACTCAGCCAATCTCTGATGGAGCGATTGCTTCGCACAGATCTCTACCAGCTGGATGAAAACGGTAACTATGATCGCAGCCTGCAAACGCGTCTGCGTCAGAACTATCGTTCCAATCCGGAGATCGTGCGTTTGTTCAATGAGTTGTACTATAACCGAGAGCTCATTGCCCAAGCTCCTGCGGCTGAAGTTAACATGGCAGCGTACTGGAAACTACTACCCAACGCAGAGTTTCCAATCATATTCCAGGCAACTCATGGAAAGACCTCGCGTGACGAACAGTCCACCAGCTCGTACAACCGGCTGGAGGCGCAGGTTGTCTGCTGGTATGTCAAGCGCCTCCTTAACGACGGACTGGGCAGGGGCACAAAGGTGAGTCAAGAGGATATCGGCATTGTGGCTCCGTACACTGCTCAGGGAAAACTCCTGAGCCAAATGCTCAACAGCCAGGGACATGGAAATGTTGAGGTGGGCAGTGTGGAGACCTATCAAGGCCGAGAGAAGCCCATAATCATTGCCAGTTTGGTACGGTCCTTTACCAACATGGGATTCATGCGAAATCCCCGTCGCGTCAACGTTCTCCTTTCGCGGGCCAAGTCCCTGCTGATTCTAGTCGGTAATCCTGTGACCCTTCGCCATCACCGCGACTTCCAGTACATAATCCGGGAGTGCAAACAACGAGGTACTTATCTCTACAAGAAAAAATGCAACCAGCAGCAGCGGCCGGACTTCTTACCCGATCTGGATGAGGACGGCTTCGACGCCACCTTGCCATACTGCTCTGATTCTGATGATGAAGAGCTTACTCCGTGGTTTGCTAGAATGCCGCTTGACATAAGCGTGGTCAAGGGCAAAGGCGAAGACCAGAAGCTCCAAGCTATTCGTAAGTATTTTTTAGTGGATGTTCATGTATTGGTAATTAATTTGTTTATATTCTAGATGACAGTCCGGCATCCATGCGTTTTAAAATTAAGATAAACACCCTAAAGTCGGACGTCAAGGCTTTGCAAGCCAAGCTATCGAAAATTCCAATGCCGAGCTCCCAGAAAAATTGAAACTTCCGCAGTTAAACTTAACTCATAAGTTGGCATATAGAAGCTAAAGGAAATATGATTTAGATTTAGATTTAGGAAGAAGAATAGACTTAGGTAAAATGATAAAAGTGAGACCCATAGAATAATACGAGTTTAAGGTGCATTTTCCAGAAGAAAGTTCTTAAACCTGAAATGGATTACTACATTGATCTGTTAAACAGAAGTATTGGTATTATTTTTTTTAATGCAAGTTATATATATAAGAATTCTTAGTGCAGTCTTGGAATAAACTGCAAACAGAAGGATACCACTGATATTCCACTCAAAGGTCTGCAAATGAAAAAAAAAACAAGGAAGAGAATATTAACTTACAAATTACCGACAAAAGAAGTACAAACGGATGAGTTTCATGAATGTTTAGTTAGCTGCGACGTTTCTTTTTTTTTTCTCTATTTTTTAACAGTGTTTTATATACGCTTCTAATATTATATCATTATATATTTATATATTTAAGCAATGTCTACATAATTAGTAAAACGATTCAAAAATACAATGGAGTTGCTGCGTTAGGTTTCGAAAAATGTTTCAAAATAGTTTCGTTCTTGCATATTAAATACTCGATTCTATTTTTTTTTCAACGCTTCTTGATCATTGAAATTCGTTCAGTCTTTGTTAATTAACAACTTTGTTAATGTGTTTAAATGTTTTTGCTTTTTTTTTTGGTATTTTTTTTTTAAATTTAAGCAAATATAAGAGAAATGTGTGTTTACGAAAGAAATGCCAAGTAGAGTTAATAAACGTTTGTTCGATTTAAAACCTTTGTTTCTGTTTTTGGTTCGTATTAAAATATATATATATATTATTATTCTTCATATAAGCTCGGTTAACGCTTTTCTAAAATGTTTCTGCGAGTGTAACAACTACATTTGGTATATATATTCAAGACCCAAAGACCGCTCCAACCAGGCCGCCAACATTTTTCCAGTGTTATATCGGTGTCTGGATTTTGATCTACTTTTGGATGTTAAACTAAAGTACCATCCGCCTAACTCCGCATTCCATGCAGAATTTGGCGTGCTCAATGATGAACTTGGCGCCACATTCGTGGCAGAATTTGGACATTTTCATACTCGAAGACATGCTGGACGTGCTGGAGTGTTGCCGGCTGAACAGAGAGTGTTGTGATGTGCTCGGTGTCATCAGTACAGAGGTGTTGTTATTGATGGTGTTACTGTTGTAAGCTGGCGGGGATTGGGCCTGGTGCTGCTGCTGCTGTTGGTAATTGTAGTTGCTGGTAAGCTGCTGGTGCTGCTGGTGCTGTTGATTCTGTTGCACTTCCAGAGAGTTCTCCGATCCGCTGCTGGACGACTCGGCACCATCGCCACTCCCATTGTTATTGATGATGCTGCTCCCGTTATTGGCGAAGAGACGCTGCCGGGCCTTGAGGGTTCCGTACTTGATTTGGGCCTGGGTGGAGGCATCGGACAGGTTGCTGGCCAACTTGGCGCTCGCCGTGTGCGGACGCATAAGTTGCAGTTCACTGGAGCGCTGACGGGACAAGCTGAACGGGGAATTGCTGCTTAAATGAAAAAGGATTAGCTTTAGAAATCACAATCCACTTAATCTCTTACCTTCCGTATGCAGAATCCGTGCTTATCTTGGAGCCGGTCCCACGCGACAGCATGGTGTAGCTGTCCAGGCTGCTTAGCTCATCCGAGTCCGCCGATGGCGACGGTGTCGGTGGAGAACTTCCTTCTACCTGCTGGTGCTGCAGTGGCTGCTGTTGAAATGTGTGTTGCTGTTGGCCATTTGGTTCTGGATCTCTGATCTGTTGCTGTTCCTCGCTTCGTCCACCATTCGCTATCAAGGTCCGCCTCATGGACGCACCCGCCTCCTCGCCTAGCTGCCGGAAATCGCTCTGCATCTTCTGGATCAGGTTCTTGGCATTATTCAACTGCACGTTGGGAGCCAAAACGCAAGAGCTCGAGGACGGGACCAGTCGATTGGAACTCAATTGGCTGGGCCGATCACCGAGCTCCTCGCCGACGTCCTCCGTGTCGCTAATCTTGCTGAACTTGGCGTGCTCCGGTTCGTTGCCGTTTTCGATGTGCAGGACATCGATGGGGGTCTGCGAATTGCCGACCATATGGCGGAGGGAATCTGGCGATATGGGGGATTTGCCCTGGGCATTCGCCTCCGTTTCAATGCTAATGAAGATCTCCCGCTTCTGCTGATCGTCCGCTGAGTTTCTATTGAAAATCTCCCGCTTCTGTTGATCCTCGGCGGCGGCACGTTTCTCCAGCTCCGCCAAACGGCTTTGAGTCTCCAACTCCACCAGGCGGCTCTGCTTCTCCATCTCGGCCAGGCGAGTCTGCATCTCTAGCTCCGTCAGGCGGCTTTGCTTCTCCATCTCGGCCAGGCGGCTCTGCTTCTCAATCTCTGCCTGGCGGCTCTGCTTCTCAGTCTCAGCTTGGCGGCTCTGCTTCTCAATCTCCTCATGCTGGCTACTGACATCCGTATTTCCGGACATATTCGAATCGGACCTGTGGGCGTGGACATCTTTAGACTTATTGTTATTATTGGACTGGTGGTTTTGATGGTGTTGTTGTTGTTGTTGTTGTTGTGTGGCTGTCGGTTGTGGCGTCGAAGTCGCTTTCTGGAACGAGCGCTGGCGGCTCGTCGAGCGATTCAGAAGGAACTCGCGACAGTCCTTGAACAGGGGGAACTGCTCGTCGTCATTCTCGTTTTCGAATGAGGAGAGGAACTCCTCGAAGTCAAAGTCATCGAAGGTGGGCATATTGCTGTGTCCATGCACCATGGGCATCACCATGGGCAGTGGGTTGGCCAGGAGCTGCTTTTGCTGCTGCTGCCAGCACTGCTCGTCGAATTCAATGGAGGACCGGTTCGCCTCGTCATCCGCCGAGCATCCAGAGCTGGCATCTCCAGCATCCTCGGGTGAGGCATCGTAGAGGAACTGATTGCGTCCCAATCGCATCTTCCGCTTAAGGAGATTCCTGGCCTCTCCTGACTGCCGCCTCTCGTGGACTATGGTGGATTGGGAGCTGCTGCGGCTCCGGCTCTGGGACAATTGCTGCGGCGTGGAACTAGCATCGGAGGAAACACCACTATTCACATGCAGGTTGTCGCAGGCATTGATCAACTTGGGATCTATATAATCTCCGGCCACAGAACCAGTTGTGGATCCGAGGCCCGATCCCAAACCAATCTCCCGTCTGGGCCCGAAGATGCTCTCCAGCTTGATGGGCGTCACTGGCTTGTTGATGGGTTCCAGCCGCAAAGGAGTGACTATGGGCGGGTAGCTGCTGTTCTCCTTAACCACAGTTGGGGATTGAGGCGTGGGAGCCACCGGCGTCAAGGGCGGAAGCTGCGTGGTGGTCGTGGGCGTGCTCTGGGCCAGGCTCTTGGCAGAGTTCTGCTTGCTCAGATTGTTGCTCTTGTCCTTCAGGTCCTTGCTAGTTAGCTGAGTAGCCAGTTCAGTAGCCGCCGCCGCCTTGGCATTCAACTGCTCCAGCTCGTGCTCGTATTTCAGGAACACGGCCAGGGAATCGGTCTTGGCCACACTCCGCGTCGGCTGCGGAGACGAGGTATCGGTCTCAGTGGACACTCCACCCACTGGCAGCTTCATCATCTGTTTCCGGTTGGAGGCACTCGTATCGCGGCGCACAACCCTCGGACTATGGAAATCGTTACCACAGGCAGCCCGGACAGGCATCTCATCGTACTCTTCTGGCTTCAGGAAATTCGTAGAGATGGGTCCTTCGTCGGACAGACCTCTTTGGATGGTGGGCCGATAGTTGGTGGCGAACAGCGGTCGACTGGGCAGCAGGGGCGTCCTGCGTGGTCCCCTGAGGGACGATGTGCGTCTGAAGTTGGAGACTGGCTGAACCTTGGGTGTGACTTGGGCAGGTCGACTGCCCAGGCCGGAAGAGGTCAGGGAGGTGGTCATGGATATACTGGGTGCGGCGAAAGGTGTAGCTGTCAATGGTGTCTTAGGTTTGTTGGGGGTCGGTACGACCTCCTCCTGCGGCGGCGGCGTGTTGGGTGAGCAGAGCTCCTCCAGCTGCCGCTTGGCCGAAAGGAAGGGGTCGTATTTATCGCCAAGGCCGCTGTTAAATAAAATATTTAAATAATTTAATAATCGGTAAAAAAATTTAGTTAAAATATTAGTAAACCACCCATGGGTTGCTCTACCTGGCTGTCGTTTGTTTGGATTCATTTTGAGTTTTGGGATTCACTTTTAAGACTACAAACCTCTTCAAGCGGCGCTTGCCATTGGGAGCTGTCTTGATGTACATGGTGCCATTCTCGTCCTGCTCGAGGAGCACCAGGCGACGGCTAACGTTGTTGCCCTGCTTGATCAGGGGCGGCAGGGTCATCACTGGCTCCTCCACTGCCGCCACTATCTCCTCCTCTTCCTCACTCAGTGGCTCCTCCACCACCACTCGGGTATCGTCCTTCTCCAGGTCATCGTCGAAGTCAAGTTCGCTGGTCTCTTCATCTTGATCGTAGGCCTCCTGTTCTTTTATCTCGTTCCCCAGCTCCAAGCGTGGTAGGGAGACCTTCCCAATGGATTGATTGATGGCCTCCAGACTCTGCTTCAGTTGGGGCATCGGCAAAGCTCTCATGGGCTCCGAGCTACTCAGGGCACCAGTGAAACCTGCCCCGGAACGCTTCTTAGGCCGGCACAAGGTGCGCATGGTGGTGGACTCCAGCTTTATCTGAATCTCGGCTCGAGGAGACTCGTCCTCGGAGACGGAGAAGGTTGCTTCGCGTTGCTTCCGGTGCAGAGGCACCAAACTTGAGTCGAGCGAGGCAAACTCCACATTATTGGGCAGGACTGCATCTTGTTCCAGAGCGCGCAGCTCAAGATTTGGATTCTCCCGGTTCCGGAGGCGTCTACGTGCCTGGCGCACCAGTGGTATAGAGGTATGGGAGGTTTTGGCCGCCAAGCGGGCGATTTCTTGATCATCCAATTGGACATTGCAGATTGGTGTTCCACCTGAGACGGAACAGCGTGCAGGAGATTCAAAGGAATTTCTATTAGGAATGTTTTCAAGCTCTGAAGGTACCTGCACTCCGAAACTGTATAGTTCTACTTTAAGAAATAAATCCCCTCAGATCAATCCCTTTATTTCTAATTCTAATTTACTATATCTTTCCTTCGTTCCCCTTGACTTCCTTTTTAAAAACTGAAAAGCCCAGTGGAGGCACTTCCACCTGGACTAACACCAGAGGAAACCTTAATGCTTGGCTGGTCTCTCAAATGCCCCGATGCGAGGCGCACTAATTAACGATCATGAAATCGTTCCGGGTTCTTAGATCTTACAAGTTGGAGTGTGTCGGAAGATAATTGGAAAACTGCATGCACCATGGAGGGAAAGGCTCTAGCCCAATCCCCCAATCCCAAACCCACCCGTACCTTTGCGCTTGATCAACCCGTTGAGCTCATCAAAAGTCATGGTTACTTGCGGAAGATTGGGCAGGCTGATCTCCTTGTCGCCCATCTCCAGTTTGTCCCGCCGGGATCCACTCTTGCGGCTCCGGGCGGGCTTGAGCGCTTGGGGCTCCACGCGCCTCAGCCGGTCCATGGTCTCGTCGATTTCGCTGCAGGCCTCCGACGGCTTGCGCTTGGAACGGTGGCTTATCCGCTCCCTGGGTGGCGGCGAAGACGGCGGATCCTCGTCATTTGGCCTGTACAGGCTCATCTGGTTGTTGGTGACCTGGGTGGTGCCGCGAGAGGGTTCGCCTCGAACCTTAACCATTTGATTGCTGAGGATCAGGGCGAGGCATGAGTGAAGATCGTTGACTGACGGCACTAACTACAGTGTGTATTCGAACTATGCGACGGTGGCTATAATTACGTTATACGATTTACGGTTTACGGCTTACGGTTTACGGATTAGACAACGACAATGCCAGTAGAGCAGCGGGGGTTAACGACTAACTAGTCTAGTCTCTAACTATAATACTCACTTATCGCTGTGCACGGACGAGGTCATCGATAGAGACATCATGTTAGGCTTGGGTGCTGACATGTCTCCCGCTTCCAGTACCTCCTCGTGGTGACCGGAGTACTTGTCCCGGGCGAGGGATCGCTTCGTCCTGCCGAACATCGCAATTAAATGGAAAAAAATGAGAACAAGAATCACAAACAGAAAAATTAATATTGGGTTGTCAGCAAGATTTGGGTATTGTAGTTCCATATGTATGTCAGTTCCCGCCAGGCTTACTTTAGATTGGGTGGCCGGTACTGTTTCCTTGCCTCCAAACGTTCCTTTGCCTTGCTTGTCTCCTGGGAGTTCCCAGACTTCATTGTGGCCTGTATGGCCTTCTCCTTGCACCACTCCACGTGGCGGTCGAAGGCCTTCGGGTTGAAGCTGCGGTCGCAATGGGGGCAGCGATCGCAGGCAGGTGCCTTGATGCGTTTGGCCAAAGATCGTTCCCTCGGTGCTGGTGGAGCTGCAGCCGGAGATGGTGTGGCAGCCGCCACTGGAGCCGTGGCCAATGGTGCTGAATCCCCAGAGTTGTTGGAGAGGGTGGAGGCTGCCTTGCGCAGAGAAGCTCGAGCTGTGGAGCGAACCATTTCGGTTTGTGATTTGCGACGGACGGGTAGGGGCGAGCTAACGGGCTGTTAACGAATAAAAAATTCATTAATTTTAATAGAGCCAATCTTTAGAATGTTTTGGGTATTTTTAGAATATTTATGTTACTTTTTTGGGTTAAAATATAAAGACTTTCATCAGTCTTTTGAGTGTACTATGCCTACGGAACGTTTTCTTACTTTTCTAAGATGGTTAGGCGGTTCTCAGATGGTTCTTGTCATAATTTTAATATTTTAAATACAAATCTACAGTCTTTTGTAATTAAATCTCTTCTTCAGACTCCAAAAACCCTAAATCTATTAAATACTAATAAAGACTCCCAAAAAGACCCCCAAGAACTCACCTCTGGTGCTGCCTCCCGGTTTTGGGACGATGGCGAGACCCCTGGATTACGTTCCGCATTCGGCAGGCCAAAGTTCTTGGGCAGCACATAGGTGGACAAGGAGGTGCCCTCACGGCGCTGACGGGACGAGTCGAAAACCTTGCGCTTCTTGGACGACTTCTCACAGATGACGACGTGTTTGCGAAGGGCACTCAGGTTGAAGGTGCGACTGCAGCAGGGACATGGTGTCAGGTCGCTGCTTTGGATGGGGACGTGCTCCGGCACTGGAACAGGCAGACCGCTGGTCAAAGGCGGCGGCGGCGGGGGCAGCGGATCGTCGTCCGTGCCCCGGATAGTGTCCTCGGCGTCCAGATCCGTGGTGGCGTTGATAGCTGAACAGAACGAGAAAAGGAACGGGGTTGAAAAGTGAGATACGAATATCGACTGGAGTTTTTTTTAAGGATAGCTGCGAGCACTTTGGCAATGTTTTGTAGATGATGTGACTTAAAAACTAAATGTTTTCTCTACGCTAACAAAATAACAATTGAATCGAAATCATGAAAATTCCAGCTTGCTCACTCCGGGCGTGTTTTCTTCCATAAATACTTCAGAGTTGAAAGGTAAAGGGACCACCAGGTGTTGCGATTTGAACTTGAGCCAAAAGGAAAAGGGCTTGGCTCTGCAAAGGGAAAGTCTAGACTCCACAGTCTAGAGACCGAGGAAAAGTCATGGAAAATGGCTGACAGCCAAGTGAAAAGCACTTTATGGTGGATTGTTTTTTTTTTTTTTTGGAGCGACAAGTTGTCTGTCTCGCAATAAATTCCCCCAAAAAAACACAATAGGGGCTCTTCTCTATTAGCCGCGTTTAATTTATTGCCATTATTTTGGGTCTTTGGTGCGCTGCCTATAAATTGGTATTTATCCGCCTGGCCGGAGACTGATGAAATGTGGCCATGTCCAAATCGAGAAGCTGGTCACCGCCAAACGCTTTGGGAATGCAAGCCGTGGGCGGGTATTTGATCTCGAAGAGCAACTGGCTGGAGTTCAGTGGATCACAGGTGGTTTTTGCCAACGTAAGCCCACATCGAAACACTTTATTGTAAGTTCTATTATTTGATGATTCCGTTGGGATACTCTTCAAACGTCTTTTCAAACGTTCTACCTCTTGCAAAGCCCATGGCGGAATGAATCTGTAACTGTGCCAGCTAGCAACTGTGTGGGCATTGAGGAATAATAATTAGAATCAGCTCAGAGTTAGCATATGGAGAGCTAGCTGAACCATCAATGAGGGCGGCCACTAATCACAGACATGGAGCAGATCCAATTATAATGCCGGGCCAGTCTCACCCACAACCTGGCATTCACAGTGCGGATTGCGATTACATCAATCAGCAACACGCACACCAGAATTTCCGCAACAACTCGAGACCCTTGTCTCATTTCCATTTCAAATCAATGCAAAGTCGTATCTTACGCAGTCTTTTATTTTATACCATCTAATGTGAAGAGAAGTGGGTGAGTTGGATGGCCCCCCAACCACCAGGAGGCAACATAACCATTATGTATCTGTCTGAATATCTGTCTTGTGCTAATGATGCTGCTCTGGTTATGAGATATATGCAGATGCATTATGTGCATCTATATAGTATGGTCGCCCATTCCACTTGAGATCTTTAAAAATAACAGCGGCTGGGCGTCTGGGTCTCTGATTCTGAGCAGATCTCTGAAGATCTGGTCAAGAGTTTACCAGATCAAAAGTTGAAAGCCATTGAGGCGAGTGATGAATGCCACTTTCAATAGTTTCTAGTACAAGTACGAATATGATTTTCCAGGTTGCACAATACCCTGGCCCATCTAAAATTTCGTTAGTCTGTGTCTTAAGTATTTCCATAGTTTGTTGTGTGGTTGGGCAAGCTCTATAAGCCACTTAAGTCTTCGGTGGTCCCATAAATGTGTTGTTGCCTTTGTGCAATATGGTAAACAGTTTTCCCCATTTCCCATACGAAGCGGTTTCAGGTTCTTGGCTACACCGTGAACTCTCAACCCTTTGACACCCGAGGGTACCTGAACGGGCATTAAAAACAAAACCCAGGAGTACCTTGGTACGGGTTAGCTTTAAAACTGACTTGTTTACACTGAGGAATATTTTAGTGGAAAATAAACAGTCTGCTGAGGAACTTTCTGTGAATGAAAGCCAAGACTTGGTCTAGGGTTTCTCTGTTAAAACAATGATTCTTAAGAAGTCTATAAGATAGGCAGTTTTTAGAGGAACTGAACCGATCAAAACCCTATTAATTCTATTATTTTCCTAGTAATTCCCCATTAATCAAAGCTTTTCAGTTTCAATTTCATTGAGACAACCAGAAGGTGACATCATTAGGCTTAAGCTTTGAATTTGATAAGCCAAAGAAGTCACTGAATAGGTCACCTCCGAGGGAGATTAAACAATTGGAGCACAATGGAACAAATTTCTTGAGTAGATCAGATCTGGGGGAGGTTCCTCAACCTCTTTTCAGTCTCAGCTTTCACCAGACAGGTAATTTGGCGTTTAAAAAACGGTTATTGCTGAACAAATTAGTTGCTAATTTGCATTGAAAATTACTTGATTTAATTGCAGAAGCTGTTGGTTTTGTTGGATTGGCATGCAAATGGTGGTTAGTCGGACTGTTAGTGGCCACATCGATCTTATTGACAACGATTAAGACGCGTTGCAGTTGATTGCAGTGGCTTTGATTGGTTAATATTGCTGATGTTGCTGCAGTTGCTGCTGTTACAGTTGCTGCAGTTGCAATTTCATCAATTTTTGATGCTGCGCCCACACTTGAAGGCGTGTCCGACTCACTTGACTTGGCATTAGTTGGCTGTTTTTTATTGCGTTTCAATGAAAATGTGTTCCGAACGCGGGAAAATGTTGACAGTTGTTGCTGTTGCTGCTGCTGCAGTTGCTGGTGATGTTGCTGTTGCGCCTCACTAAGCTGCAACGAGTTGAAAGAACTTTGCTGCGGCTGTTGCTCGAAAACGTTAATGTTGGCATTTCCATTCGCATTTCCACAGCCATTTCCATGGTCATTTTCCTTTTCGTTTTGGTTGAAATTAAGTTGCGCTTTTTCACCGGCCAGCAAATCATTTAATTGCTGGTACTCCTCGTAAATTCCACGACTGTGCCGCTTATTGATCTTGCCCAATGGCTGAGACTTCTGAGACTTTGATTTGAAGATCTTATTCCACATTTTCTTGCTCATCTTAAAGGCGATCTATTCACAAGGCACTGGTATTTTTAAACACATTATTCGCCGCCCCGACAAACTGCCCCGACAAAACTCTTGTGAACTTTCCGCGTAGCACCGTCGCTTCTTCCGATTCGAATCGACTTCTCGTCTCGACGTTGAACTGGCAACGACTGCCAGCCAGCAAGCAGCAACATTGGAGCAAGCAACCAGCAACATCACAACCAGCAACCAGCAACATCGCAAGTTCCGCTCTCGCAGCAACTATTGCCGGCGCGCATTTTGCATGAAAACAAAAATAGTTGGACTCCAGCTTTGGCCAGGGTGTGGGTGTGGGTGTTTCTGTGTTGCTGGCAGTTGTGGTTGCCATCAACAAAGGCCACGATTCTATACGAAGTGCAATTGTCTGCCGGCTGGTTCCCTTCCCTTGTTTGTCTTGTCTTTGCGGCTGATTTATTTAAAGCCGCCACTGCTTCAGATTTTGCTGACTTTCTTCTCAATGGAAAATTGCCATTTTGAAATTGAAATTGAAATCTCAACCGGCCGACCGTCCGACAGACAGATAGACCGGTCGTCATCAGTCAATCAGTTAACGGACTTCAAAGAGCTCCCATTTCCTGGCTAATGGGAATGGGTGTTGCCCCCTACACACACACACACACACACCCATGCATACAGTTGCAATTATGTCCACTTTTGGGGCATGAAACACATCAGTTGCATAAGTGTGCCAAAAAAGGTAGACGCATTCGGAGTTGCAACTGCAACATTCGTCAGCGACACCAGCAACATTTTGGTGTTGCAGGCAACTCACATAAATAAACAGCTGGCCGCAAAAGTTTGGGGACACATTATCGTCGGAGGGGCTTTAAATATAAATCAGGGGGCATCACAGCTGGGCGATGGAGTTGGTATATACGATACACTGGTAAAAAGTAAGAGTCTGCTTCGAATCTTATTAGTCAGATCATTGTCTCTAATTTATGCTTAGCCCCTTGGCATTTGGCTGGAGGTGATCCATTCAGCTTTTATTGCCTTTGTATAGTGTATTCCATATTCGTTCATCGCCTACGTCTGCCTCACCATATTTGTGTCTTCTGTGGAGCTCTTTTTCGCGACGTTTATTGTGCTTTTCTGATTTTAATTGAAATGCGAATGCACTTTTGAGTATCGTATCCCCATCTGTTGTTCCCATAAATCACCATGTATTGCAGCATCCGCTCCTCCGAGCTGACCCAATGACGTCACTCTTATGCAAGTTGTGGCAACTTGCCTTGACTTAAGTCAACAAAATTTTTTTGATTTTTGCACGTGCCAAGAGGAAACATAAATGCTCGAGTCATGAACTTGAGCGGGCCCCCCAATTCTCGGCTGTTTATATTTATATCTTTATTTATCGACCCAACAACTTCCCGTCCTAACAGGGGGAGGGAGGTGGCATGGGGCATGTGTATTAGGGGGGGCAGGGAGGCAGCGGCATCGTTTGTGGTCGCCCACGCGTCGCGACTTTGACTTGCCACCAAGCCTTGGATAATCTTTGATAATTGTCACGCTTCGAGAGCGCCAAAACGAAAATAGAAGAAAATGTTGCAGTTGCATATATCTGGCTGCTCCGTTGCATATATCTCGCTCTGGCGATTTTCACGTTGCAACATGGCGCCCTTAGGAAAAGTGAAAAGTAAAAGGGGCGCGTGCGTATAAATAGTCGAAAGATCTAGATGATGTGTGGATGGCATTTTGGGGGCAAGGCGGCGACACGACCGAAAAATATATCTAAAATATATGATTTTTTCAAAAAGTGAACTTAAAACTTTATGTTTCCTATGCACTGGGAGAAATGGGGTTCTGTAAAAGGGCTTATAAAGAGGACTTCTTGGAGTACTAACCTCAGGTGAACCTCTGGATATCTATAAATCTCTTTAGAAGAAGTATCTATCAAGTGGCTATAAATATTATCTTAGGGTATTAGGTGCTCTGGGCGACATTTCCGTGGCCCTTATCCCCATCTCCCCAGTCCAAAGCACACGCTTCCCATATCGACAACATAAGACTGCCGTATTCTCCACTAATTAAGTTCTATTTCTTCCAGTCGTCGGCCCCTCAACTACCTCTGCCGGGCCGCCCCATCCCGCCCTGATCATCTAATGAAACCATTTCAGTTCATTGGCGCCCAGCCCCCTCTCCCTTCCCCCTCCCCTGTTTGGGTGTTTTCCATCGAACGCATTTTGCAGATTGCACAATTTTCCCGCTCTGTTTTCATTTTTCCTCCAAGTTTCCAAGTTTCGTTTTTTGTTCTTTTTGTAAGCGAATGGGTCTCGATGTTGTTGCAACAAATTGAAGTTGATTTGTTTGTTGCTGGCACTGTTGTTTGGCAGTGCTGATTGCTTTTTAGAAAGTGTGAAATACATTTTTGTGTATTTGTATCTATATCTTTTGTTTTGTATTTTTGGGCTGTGAGGAGAACTGGGGCCGTTAATTGAGGCAGGTAATTTTTGAATTCGATTTTGATTATAAACAATCGATTAACAATTCAATAAGTAGAGTGTTTAATAAAGAATTAGTCATTAAATTAATTTTAAAACCATTTAAAAGGCTTTCAAAACGACTCACTACGGCGTTTGGTTCGTCACCTACATGGACAGCATTAGTAGTAGCAGCAACAGCACGGCAACACTGTTGGGGGTAAAGCTTTCATCAAAGCTTCTCTTTTTTTTGTATTTGGCGGGTTTTGTTTATTAATTTTTAAGCTTTACTTTTAACCAATAAATTTGTACTTCAATTGGACATTTAATTGGGAAACTGCAATCCATCAATGACAAATCTTGGCGATGGCAGAAGTTGTCCCTAACACAGAGAATAATGTCTTGCAAAACGGGTTTTATTCCAAAGCCACTGATAGCCAGACAATAATAATTACTTTTATTCGAATTGTCAATAAAACTGGTTGGGATTTTGACTTTGGCATCAGTTCTATTGGCTAACAAGCTGACTCTACTAAATGTGGTTCAATGTCAAGGAAATTCAGTGGATTAGTCGGTAGGGGGAAGTCATTTGCGAGTGGGCCGAGAGAAGTGGGTCAAAAGCCCCCAACTGCCGATCGTTTAGGCCATATAGGTGGTATACAAATACACACCATAACCGTCGACTGGCACTGAAATAGTTTTTTGTACTTATTTATTGGCAGTATCGGAAACTTGGTTAAACCGGGCACGCAAATCTCCGGGCCAGACGTGACTGACATGGCTAAACTCGGTATAGATACGCCCGATTTCTGTCAAGCCCATCTGGCTTATGATTATGGTCTATAACTCAAACGAAGCTCTTTGTTTCCCTTGACTTTGTTTCAATCTCTAATTGAATTATTCTCGATTGCTGCGCAAAAAAATTTCAAGATCCCCAACTTTGGTTGGTTCTCTCGTTTTGGGGCTTGTCTTTAATTTAATTAAAACTTATTTGATTTTCGTGGGTTCTCGTGGCAGTTTACTGCAAATGGAGAATTGACATAGATATGTCAGTTGCCACCGTTGTTGACAATTTGTTGGCTTCTCTTTTCTGTTTTTAAAAAGTTTATTTGAAATTCCTTTCACGATTGGTGTTTGTTTTGGTTGAGAGCTTTTGCAAAAAAATATTCTGTTAAATATTTGCAATAAAAACTGATGTCATCTAGTGGTTTGATAGAAAGCTGGGGTTTTTTGATGGATTTTATATATAGATTTCTTCAAGGGGCTTCCTATTCTATTCCTAAGAGTTACCTATATCCGTTGTAGATTTTTTAATGCCCAAAGATTTTATAGATCATTTTATATTTTATAGTCTTTATAAAAACTTGTATTCCCATATCGATTTAATTTGAATACCATGTTAACTTGATCATAAAATGTGACTTCATGCTTTATGGAGTTCATTATATATTCATATAGCCCCCATTTCCTATCCCCCCACCTATTGGGTAAGTGGTTTTCTAAACACTTCCTCCACAGTAGTTGGAGTTTGGAGTTTCTGCAGCCTGGGGCTGCATGCCAAGTGTTTTTTTTTTCGGTTTATTTGGGATTTTGTTCGCCTGCGCGGAAGTGGCTTGAATATTTGAGTATTTTGAATTAGCCGCACTTTGATTTTACCAATTGGAGAACTGAGTGATAAGCACTTAACTCTAGGGCCGTTATAATTGGCTGGCGGACTTACCAAAATCAAAGTGATACATGGTCGGCAGTTCCCGGGGAGTTGTGGTTCGGGTCACCGAGCTGTGCTGCAGCAGGGGAGTGTGCGGCGGCGTGGCTATGAATATGGCCTCCAGGGGCCTCCTACTCGACTCAGATGTTGCCATTTTCTTCACATGCACTCACTATCACTATCACCAACACCGAAAATTGATGCAATGAACTTGCTTGTTAATTTGGCCAAGATCTCTTCCGCGGTTGGAGCGTCTTTACTCGCCGGCGTTTAAAAACGCGCCAAACTCTCGTCCGCTCCACATGCAACTTTTTGCTTCACTTTTTCCACTTAATATTTTGTTTTCTGTTTTTCGGCAGCTTACTTAATATTCATTAACGATTTTGCCGCATTGCTAATTAATCATATTTCGTTTTCACTGCACTTTCAAAAAATAATACACAAAAAGCGTATTTGGAAATACTATTTTGCCTAATGTTTCTTTTGTTGTTTTCACAATATCCAATTTTTTTCACCATGCACGCTATTTTTTGTGGGTTTTTGTGGAGCTGGTTGGTTGTGTGATTGGTTCACATTTGAAATTCGCTTTGTTAGTTGCAAGTTTCCACCAAAAACTTATGGAAATGTGGTGTCTGGGCATGTAATTTTGGGTTCGCAATTGCTTTTGGATATCCGAGAGGTGCAATTGGAGTTACCAGTGGAGTGGAGTGGAGCTCCTCCGAAAGTTCCTTTTTGTATCTGTATCTGCAAAAGGTCAGAGCGTGAGATATGAATTTTAAACAAGCTGTTGCACTAAGAGATGTGTACTATATGGACATACATATTTCTTCAAAAAGTCACTAGATATATTGGCTATACCAATGCGGCTAAGCTCATATTAGCTAATTTGCAAAAAAAAAAAAGTTCACAACACAAGCGTGTATCTAATGAATACGCAAAACAGAGAATATGATGAAATCATCTAAACATAGACTGCGATTTGGCGAGG